GTCGTCAGTGAAATCGTCGTCTGATGGGAATGTACGAACTCTTTTCGAAGCGCGTTGAGCTGCTTGTCGTACAGGTTTCCTTTTACTACTACCAGCGGAACCACCGGCACCATCGATGTCGTCAAGGTCCTCTAACCTTTGCATTTTTGATGGTTCGATACCAAGAACTCGATGTATGTGATTACGATCCGATGCTGGAAAATGTTTTTCCACCAACGATTGAAGCACTCCCTTCGCGGTGGAAACGAAATCGCTAAGTTCGCCATCGTCGCGTTCTAATTGTTCCAATGTACGAGCTTCGCCGGTGGATTGCAAACCAATAACTACGCACTTCCCACATTTTACGGCCTCTCTCGCAACCGCAACAGCGTGTTTCACTTTAGCTGCGATGCACAAGTATTTGAAAAAGCGTTGATGCGACGACCAAAATTGACCCCACATTGTTTTCTTCATACGATTCTCAGCATCCAACAATTCAGCTGCTTCTTGAAACCTTTGCATAGCTTCGACCCAAAGTCGGACAGAGCGATCATATACTTCGGTAAATTCTTTGGATAATGGTACTTCTTCTATTTTAAACGCTACACCATGAAAACTGAGCTGTCGAGCAATGTACATGCCTCGTAATTTCATGTCCATCGCTACGATCTCCATTGCACCTACTCCTCGTTTTTCAACAGCAGTAATAAAATCGTTAAATTCAGGAAATGGTGTTCCTTCGCCCCACATTCCTAAACGTACCATATAGGCCATGTTACGGGGTTCGGAAGCACCTGTGGCACTGGCGTATACTACTCTAGCTTTAGGAAGCTTATTCTGCAATTCTAAAACTGTCAAACCAGTTTTGGTAGGCTTTGAGCTACCTGTTGGACACAAATTCTTTGCACGGTGACACTCGTCAAAAATAATTAGCCCATCAAAGTCTTCTCCACACCATTGTAAAAGTTGTTTTAATCGACTTTTATATTTTCCCCCACTCTGGGTAGATTCTCCAATTAAAGCGGAATACGTACTGAATATTACTCCCCTTTTTACATTACCATTTACTGCTGACGAAATTTTTGCATATTTAAATTTATTCAATGCATGAACCTATAATTATATTACCAATTTAGAAATCTTTTGTTAACTTCAATGAAATTTTTCATTTAAAGTAAAGATAAAATACCTCAATTTTTGATGCACCAATGTCATTCAGATCACGTTCTGCATCATATTTCAGATCATTCGAAACCGAAACCCAAATAGCACGTTTTCGTCCTTTTAAATAGTTTTCAAATATGATACCAGCTATGGTTCGTCCTTTACCAACTCCCGCACCATCACCGATCAAAAAACCAGCACGCGAACCGTCCGGTAAAAGATGTTCGTGTTGCTGAGATGCGTACGTTATTGATTCAAGTTGTAACGCGGATAAAGCCCCAGTTCGTATCGTTTCTTCCGGTATCGAAACTTTATACCAAACATCTGTTGGTTCAACACTGGATAACGATGCAGTTTCCACAACAGGATCTGGATGCTTCCGTCCAAGTTTAACTATTAAACATTAAATTGATTGTTATGCAAAGGAATATGTATAAAGTAGCATTTAAAAAAAGAACAAACGTACGTTTAGTAGGCATATAATCAGCATACGTTTCCGCAACGCCCATATCTTCGTCGTCTACTTCTTCTTCTTCCGGTATAGTTTGTTGTATATTCATTTTAGTGGGGTCCCCAGCGTTCATCCATAATTGTGACACAGCTTTACCTGATAGGCCAGCTGGCCAATTTGGATGTAAACCGTTTTGGTTTAACAACTGAACAAGGGGATTCACACCCATGTTCATTCCAGGCAAACCCATAAAACCACTCATTAAGCTCATATCCATGCCTAGAAATTAATATACATAAAACCTCCTGATGGTATGATTCTTAATTATATTTAAATCATCATATACAGTAAAAATATACTTTCATCAAGAAATTTCGCCATGTATGTGCATAAATAATTTATACATACATTAAATATGTACTTCATTTATACAAAACAACAAAAATAAAATCATTTTATTGTGTTATACGTGTAGTAAGACTACTTGTGCTTACTTGGTGAAAAAAAGGCTGGATTGAAACCTGCAAGAGTTGCTAATCCTGGTGGTAAACCGTATGCTCCACCAGCAGCAGCTAACTGACCTAATTGACCTAACTGATTTGCATTAACAAATCCAGGTGGTACACCTTGTGATCCTCCTACACGTACCATTTCATATCCTGGTGTTGCAGTCTTAGTTACTAATCCATCAGGGATTTTATTTCCAAATTTCTGATTTAACACTGTTAAAAGAATGAGGTATTTTAATTGATATAATTTATACACTGATAAATGACATTAAATTTATTCTTACTGTTCATTCCCCCCTGCCCCTTTGTCATAACATTAGATGGTGCATCTGCAGGTTTTTCATCTTTAATATTTGCAATCCCAGTTGCAGTAGCAAGATCTTTCCCACCACCTAAAAAAGTTATATATTTTATTAGAATAAGTTCACGATAATGATAAATACATTATATTTCAGGAACAAACTTTACCTGGAACACCCATGTTATCAGGATCTTCATCCTCATCACTGCTGCTGTCTTCATTCATTGCATCCTTGTCCCTTTTGGCAGACTAAGGAATAATTTTTTATTGTTTTATTACTAGCTTATTATTAGGTAAATAATGAAATCACTTCTTTTTTACTACTATTGTTGTTACAGCCATTCTTAAAATTCAATGAAGTAACGATTAATTATATATTTCAACTTAATTTAAAATTAGTTACAAATTTTCAAAATATCATGCAATCATTAATTTTCTTTTTATTTACAACCACCAATATAAATTGTATCTTTTAACAAATATCATAAACAATTTTTTTTTTTTTATAAACCTTGTTTGAGTTTAGGAAACATTGAGAAGAAGGATTGGGAAAAGGGAGAGGGAGAATAGCGTGAGTCATTTAAAATTACAATAACAAAGACAGTGTTTATTCGCAATATGTATGTATCGCGTCTATAGGTTAGTTATACCAAGAAATGAATGCTCAAAAAAAAATATATATATGAAAGAAGCGCGCCTTCTTATGAATAAGTGAAATGAAATGATTATAAACAAAAACTTACCATGGCAAGAGGTTCTTTACAATTCTTACTATTACAATAAGTTCAAAATAAACGAATACTTTGATGGAACACCGACGGTGAATATTATTTTTGCTGTGTAGCCGAAGATGCTGACTGACAGTGCACGACACTTTTTTTCCTCTCAAGAATTTCCAGTATTGTGTTTCGTTACACGGACATCACCCAGTAATGATCGAGTACCCAGTGACTTGTGCGAACTAGGAAATCACAGTGTGAGAAATTATTGTGCGTTTAGGCCGAGCCATTTATGCGGTCTAAACTAAGCACACTTGAAACGCGTTCGCCAAACACGGCTGCCGCCATCTTGGCTTTCGCCCGGCCCACGGTGCACCGCGATGCAAATACAAAAACACACGCTGCTGCTTGCGGAATATGATCGCGCGACGTTGCCAGTTCTATGCATTTCAGGGGACGTTTCTAGGAGTGCGTTAACCAAAAAATTCTACCCTTTTTAAGGAATAATTAATCAATACACTTTGTTCAATTTAATCAGCGGTAATTTTTCATGATCATCAAATCCTTAGAGCGTTCAAACGCGTACAAAAAGAGGCTCTGCTAGCATTTCCAATACGAATAAAAAGGGCGGAAAATTCTGACATCTATCGACTATTTCGTAACTACATTTTTCATGACAATGCATGCAAATTTAAAGCAAAACAGCGTGTATTGAGGTAAACAATATTAATAAAGTTTTTAAACGTAACAGACAGCATTAATAACTCAATATATTCACAAATTAATAGCTGTCAGTGTTACAAACAATTTCAAAGTACCTTTCAATTTCATTAAAAAAATTCGACTGACGTATTTGTTTTTAATACCATTTAAATAAATGATTCTTCGGTTTACACGTTCCTCCGCGTTTGGTAGCAGAAATTACACATCACTGTGACAAAAAGTAGCGAAGAAATGAAGAGACAAGTCGTTGGCACGTGATGAATTAAGTACTATAGTTTTAACAATTGCTTATTTGAGCACGTGTTCTTCCAAATCACAATGAGCAGTAAACAAACTATGTATATCGAGTATCATGTGTTCGTACGCGCGTGGTTACACTTAAATGAGTATAGCCGTGTAGACACTTGGCAACGCTGCTGAAGCGCCACTCTGATCGTTAGTTGATTTAAAGTATTCGCGGTAAAAAGAAAAGAATATGGCAACTAACTCTACACAGAAACGCCGAATAACGCGTATTTAACCAGATTCGGAATTGTTTGCTAAAATCAGACGATTCCAAATTATTTCTTTACTAAAATAATGCATATATATTTTGTATTCTGCGTTTGCTTACCTAAATCTATCTAAAAAATAACATCGTTCTAATACGATCGATCCGAGCTTCGCGCCGCTGACAGCGCCACGTAACGATCAATTCCTGTATTAAATACCATTGGGAGATGATTTGATTTTGCTAATTTTACGTCATGATTGCAAAATTTCAATGTTCTCAATTATCTTCAATTGATACACCAATGTACTTAAATATAAATAATTATTTTTGTTCATTACTTAGAATTTATCACTGATGCTTTTCATTTCGATACCAAGTGCATGAATTCATTCAAATATTTGTTAATTGACTGCTTATACCAGTCATCTACTAATAAGTTCAATTTTCATAACAAAAATGTACAGAGAATATTGATATTTATTTATCTCATAGTATAAAAGTGTAATAAATTTTTTTACCACGTTTTTTTATGTAGTTTCTTTATGCGTTTGTATTTTATTCGACTAATCAAATTCAGTTCTCAATAGAATACTTGTTTTTTTTTTAAATTACATCATATACATTAAACAAGTTGTGCATGTAGAAAATGATTAAATCTTGATCTACAAAAATTATTCAAAGTTATTAATAAAATGAATGTAAAACATAAAGCATGCAAATTATATCTAATTTAATATGTAATAGTTTATCGTTGTGGATGGGCAATGGCGACATATCCGGTATGGTATTTCGGTATTGTTTGTAATTTCTACCTTGTCGTACGTGAAGAATGCTTTTAACGGATTGAAGAAATTATTAACAATAATTGTTTATATTTCTGATTCAAATATTTGTTGTAGTTGCATGTAACACAGATATACGTTGAAGAAATACAAATGTAAAAATTCGAATTGCTAAAAATCGTTTGCGTTAGATACCCTAGCGTTGACGTGAGTTGGAGCAGTAATCTCGCATAATTGAAATTTTGTATGAGAAAAATAATTTTGGAATTCGATCATTACGTGAGAAAATCAAGGGATAACATGAGGAAAGGTACGAATATAATTCGGAAAAATTTGTGTACACTTTCACTTAAGATTTTGTGTTAAAAGTCAGGTTATGTTTTGAGAGATTTCACTTCCTCTCCTTCTCCATTTCGAACGTTGTATTAGAAACACTGATTGTTCAAAGCCTCGGATAATTTTTTCAAATCTTATTTGTAATGTTCTCGCCAAATTTGTTATATATCTATTTTTCACAGTGTATTTAAAATGTGATGTAGAATATAACAAATTTGGAATCTGTAAATAAGCCTTTACTTTGTATATATATTTTAATATTATTTGCTGGTAGTTGTTAGTGCAAATTGTACAAAATTAAATTAGTTAAGATATTGTGGTTATAAACAGTAAATGTATAATATTTATATAGACATGGATCATATAAGTATAGCTTATATAAATACATACATATACCTTATGTATTATGAATACATACCATGCATAGCATAAACTAGAAAAGATATAATGTATTATTATAAAATTAAGACAATAGTATATTATATAATTTTACAATTGATTAATGGATTATTATAGCAAAAAGAAAACAAAAAACACAAAAAGAGCAGATGAAAAGTGTAATTTGTACAAGGGCTGCTGTAAAATCTACACAGTGTAATGATATGAGTTCCCCACTGAAAAAAGAAGCCAAATTAGATAATAATATGCATGTAAAAAATGATAATTTAGATGAAACACATTCAATGACTGAATATAAATCACCTGTCCACATAGATTCGTATTTCTGCCAACGAGTATGTACTTTATTTTAAATACTATATCATAATATTGTTTTCTTATGTAGAATAATAATATATATTTTGAACTGTAGATCACAAATGTTGAAAGTTCAAATATTTCTAATAGCAAAGCTTCCATATTGTCTATTGAAGAAATATTCTATACCAATGAACAGATTAATGTACAAAATGATATCCTCACTGATGTTGGTCACTTCAGAACAGATGGTAATATATGTACATTGATTGTCTATGATACACATATTTTTTTAAACAGTGTTAACAATGTAATCAATATAAATTTCAGAAACACCTGTAGCAGTACCTATTCATAATCCATCTACACCACATAGGATAAATATGCCAAACAATCATTTAGAAGATTCAGATGAAGGAAATGATAAACACAAAAAACCAGTAACTCCTGAAGTTAATATACAACAGCAAGCTTTAAAAAAGTCTACTAATCGTGGTCGTAGTAAATTAAATAGTAATCAAATTATTAATCCACGTTCAACAAATTCTTCAAATGACAAAAGTACAAATCATAAAGTTACCGATTATTTTCCCGTGCGTCGCAGTATAAGAAAACCTAAAAAGAAAGTGTTAGAGGAAAAACAACGTGATATGGAGAATAAAGTGCTTGAACAAGTAGAGGAAGGGTTAGAGGTAAAAAAAAGTTACATAAAAATAAATGAATAGTAGGAACCACAAAAATTTGTTACAGGTAAGACCTTTTCCTGGTAAAGGTCGTGGCGTCGTAACAACGCGAGAATTTATGAAAGGAGAATTTGTAGTAGAATACATCGGTGAATTAATTGACCAAGTAAAAGCAAAGGAGCGAGAAGAAGAATACGCACAAGATCAGAACACCGGATGTTATATGTATTATTTTCAACATCGTAATCAGCAGTATTGGTAAGCATGTTATGAACAGTGGATATGTAAAGGATTATAAACCAGAGATTATTTATGTGTCACTGCATTTTTAGTGTCGATGCAACAAAAGAGACTGATAAGTTAGGTAGACTGGTAAATCATTCAAGAAATGGTAATTTAGTTGCACGAATAATCGAAGTAAACAAAACGCCTCATCTGGTACTTACGGCAAAAGAAAACATACCTGTTGGGGTAGAGGTAACATATGATTACGGGGATCGAAGTCGTGAAGCTATTCGTCATCACCCATGGTTGGCATTATAGCACCTTCAGATTAATTAATTGCGTAGTATGGAATTGTATTGTACAAAATTCTTTTAACTGATTTTATTCCTCCTATGAAGGAACATTACATATGGAGAAAATTTTAGTTGAATTTTACAAAAAAGCATACATGATATAGAATATATTCGTATATCTGCTTCGTTTAGTATTTACATATTTCCTTAATTGTTTATCGAAAAATCCATTGTGTGTCTATTTTATATTGTTTTTTTGACTGTCAAAAAAACTAAACTTACAGAATATATGTACTAAAAATTTGTAATATCTTTCAATATATCTAATTATGTACTATTTTAACACTTCACAATACTTATCTCTTACAAATTTATAAATATCCATTACTATTCAATTAATAACAAATGCTTCATCTAGTCCTAGCTTTAGTCTAGTATTTATTAAAGTTGGGGGTTTTAACTACATACCTCAATATACTAGGCCAAAACTTCTGGTTGAAGGATTTGTGATACCATGACTCGGAATATTTTCATGTTCTAAATTTTAAATCACGGAGTACTTCGATCTCTGTACTGTAATATTTATGTTTTAAAATGACTTTGTTTCTATCAATTGGTCACTGCCATGATTCAAGTAACGATCCAAAAGAAAAGATACATTGGGAGTAATTTCTCAGATATCCCGAAAGAATAAACAATGTCTTCGTATGAAAAAAATAGTTTTTAGTAATTATGTTAAATGAATACACATAGAATTCGTATATTGTGCACCTAAGTACTTTCACCAATATTTCATCAGTATTCTTTTATCTTTTATTAATTTACTTATAAGTAGTAGTACTAGCTTATAAGACACTTGTTCATTGTAATTCTACAGTTTTATTGATATGTATTGTATTTATGTAATAATGTTTAATATTATTTATTCATACATTGAAGTATTTTATATAATTGATTTCATGACAATTTCCAAATTAAAATTCCATGTTGATATTAATATTGTAATATGTATTGTTGTTATTCATTATTATCATTAGTAATATGCAAAATATGAATTGTAGAGATACATTCTTGTTTTAACCACATTGTGTGTAAAATATATATTATTTATTTTAAAACTGTAAATAAATCTCAAAAATATACTATCATTTGCGTGCTTCAATGAATATCGAGTATTAATGATAATGAAATACAGTTTTGTTAAAAAGGATAAATATGCTTATTTCAATATTTCCTTAATAATTGATTGAGTTTTATTGATCGTTTGTATCAGTGATACTTTCCTCATCTTCAGAATTTTCACCACTACCTATAAACGTTTCTTCGTCAGCTTTTAAAAACGGTAGTGGCAAGAACGATGAAAATTCTTTACTTTTTGGTAAAGTTATAATTGGAATTGATAATGTTTCTTCAGAAGAAACTTCATTCAAATCCTTTTCTTTTAAATTTGTTTGACTTTCGGATAATAATTTTATGTTATCAAGTTTTTCAGACACTTGATTTAATTGCAACTTGTCAACTGGGCTATTATAAGTTTGCTTTGTTTCAGTATGGTTCTGTGCTACTGCAGGTGTGTTAAATGAAGGCATTGGTGGAGGTATAGGAATCTGATAATGTTGACTATCTGCAGTAGTTTTTTTCATTACGCTTTTATACATTCGTTCGAGGGCTTTCGATTCTCTTTCAGACATCAATTTTTGTTTATCAATTAAAACATCCTTTAATTCGGACATGAAACTTTTAATTAATGATTTGTCCCGTTTATAATTGTATAATGAAATTTCATCGCTTTCATCAATTAAAGGTTTCAAATATTCTTCTTTAATGTATTCTTCAAATACTTCATCTAGAATTTGTGGTTCTAAGTTATATACAATAGGAATATCAGAATCTGGGACTGATGCTGAAATATTTGTTTCTATAGGATTATTTGTAAAATTATTAATTTGTGTTTTTACAAGGAATAAATTACTAAATTCGACAAAATCTTTTGCATTTTCAATATCTTTCTGAGCTGCATTCAATTTTTGTTCTATATTTTCTACCATATCTTCACATGTCATGGTTTCACTAACATTATCAATATTCTGAAGTATTGATAGTATGTGACTATAAGCTAATTGTAACTTGTTAGAAGCTAAATATACGTGCATATATAAATCTTGCCACTGTGTTGAAAGTGGTCCCCTAAAATAATAAAAATCATATATGTATAACATATAATATTCTTATAAATAAAAGAATTTCCTATAAAACATTCTTACTTGTATTTGTACACCATTGGTTCCACCTTAAAACTATAGTATGCATTGACAATTTCTGACAGTTTGTTTTTATATACTGTCAAGCGTTTGATTAAAAATCGTATAATGTAAATTAATTTTAATTCCGGAATTTTGCTATAAGATTGTTGCCAAGTATAATTATCATATGCAATAGCCATTAAATGTAACATTTCTGATTGTGTGAGAATGTAGGTGTGATATAAAGTCTACTAAAATAAAAAAGTGTAAGATAATATGTAACATATATAAATTATATACATAAATTATTTTCATCTTAACCTTCAGTTTTTGATAATGTATTTCACCCTTTATTGTAAATGATGTAGATTCAAATTTAGTTAATAAATATTCATGCATAACATTTGCTGGTAACAATTTTATAAGAATTAAGGAGGTGCAGTAATGAATATGTGAAGCATTTTCTAAACAGTTTACCAAATTTTCTACCATGGGTTGTAAATATTTTAGCCTATCTGCTGTAAGATTGCTGTGAAATAAAACATTAATTACTCACATTATATTAAACACCTAAAATTTAAGTGTAAGAAACTTACTAAAATTGTTGAGAGTTCTTTCCTTTGTTCAGTTTTATTTTATACCCATATTTCAAAATTTTTAATCCCTTTTTACAAAGACTGAATAAGTCATTTTGTAAGATTACAAAGGATCTTAAATCTACATATGATTGTATTCTCAAACACTTTATATAACTGATGTAACATAATACAACAGATGTGAAAAAATAAGTAAAACTTTTATACTGAGTTTTATATGCAATATACATTGCAGGTAATGAAAGTACACCAAGTGAAACAAACTGTAACACTGTAGTCCTGTAAAGTGTTAACACAATTACCATCTCATTTTTTAATTTTTACTTGCAGATTCAGATATTTACCTCCATGATCTTAAATGATATTTGTCAAGAAAATTATGTATGGCAATTGCATGATCACTTAAGAGTACTTTTGCATTTAAAATAGTGTTTACCTGCTTGTAAGATAAATCATCATCCTGTTAAAGATAAAATAGTACTTAATATAACTCCCACAAACAAAATATTATACATTATCATATATGTTATATTTATACCTGAATAATTTTTAAACACTTAACAAAACACTTTCTTAAACAATCTTTTACACTGTATAAAAGGCCCTAAAATATAAAAATGTTTATTACATTAAACAATTAAATGTTAGTTAATTTGTAAGGAAGAATAGAAATATACAGCTAATTTAGATTCTTTTTCTTCAGTTTTGATTATAGATTTAGGTATTAATACACTTTCAAAATCCATGTACCCTAAATTATATAAATGTTCATATATAGCAGTGCCCTAAAATCAAAGAACAAAAGTTATGAGACATTAACATTGTCATTTTAAAATAGTATAAAATGTTAATAATACTTTATACCTGTATTATTACATCTTCGTCTTCATTATCAATATTATTGATGTTCATGATGTCATTTATATTCAAACAAAACAATTAATGTATAATTTTATATTAATTTGGAGAAATAAAATTTTGTTTTGTTAAAATACACTTGTCATAATTGATTATTACTACACTGTAGGTTAGAAGAATACATTTCATTACATAAATCGCTTTGCTGAATCCTTATAGTATCAATAATATTGTTTTTTACTGCACATATTCGTATTATTTAATTTATTCTATTTGTGTATGACTTATTTTGTATACAAAATCATGTAACAAATACAACGCAATAGCTTACATTTTGTTATGTCCATATAATAGTTTGCCTGAGTGTGATACATTTATATATATACCGCAGTTCACCAGAGTCCATAACTGCGACGCGCAGGTTGGAAGATGGTGGGGGAACGCAGCGAGCTCTCTGCTAATCGCTTTCCACTTCGTTTGGGAGTATCGCCAATCAGAGCGAAGATGCGTACTAGAGATGCGCGAAGAACGAAAACTGGTCTTTTCGCAGTTAGGGACTCTGGCACACTCTGTATATGTATTCACATGTAACATGTGGTTAGGTTAGGGTTAGGTTAGGGTACATTATTTTGCAATTGTGCATAGGTTAAGACTCAAAGACCACGCTTTTGTACTAATAAATTACAACAAACTATTTACATTATCCTTTTATACATCATAGGTATACATAATTATTAAACAATGAAAAATCTGACAGTGACTCAACGTGCTGGTAGATTTTTGGAAAGTTTAGAAATTCAAATTTCTAACGATTCAAACATATTACACGCTGTTAATTCAATCAATGATGACTTTTATTTATTATTGAAAAATAAAATATATAAAATTCCCTCAAACTATAAAGAAGATGTAGTTTCATTTGATATTGATGAAAATTTAGATTTTATCGGATTAGAATATTGCACCATATCTCAAGAATTATATGGTGCTTGTAAATCAGGCGATATTATGAAAATAAATGATTTTGCATGTGAATTAAAAATTCAATTAGATGTAAATTTACAATGTATGAAATTAAGTCCAGATCATGAAATAATTGTATTGGTTACTGCTAATGATGTTATGATTACAATGGTATCAACTTTTCAAATAATAGCAGAGGTAATGATAGTCTAAGTCTGTGTTACAATTTACATTTTGTTATACATTTATATCTATTTAAAATGAATATTTTAGGTTGATTTGCATGCACCAGATGTTGGACAGAAGCAGTTTATAACTGTTGGTTGGGGTAAAAAAGAAACTCAGTTTCATGGTTCAGAAGGAAAGAAAGCTGCAGTAGCTAAACCAATAGAACAATATGAAAATGATTCAGATGATGAATTATGTAGAATAACTTGGCGTGAAGATGGTTCATTATTTGCTGTTGGTTTCTTACATTATGAAAATAAAATGAGGCAGTTCAAAGTATTTAACAGAGAGGGTATTTTACAATACACAAGTGAACAAATTAATGGTTTAGGAGAACCATTATCATGGAAACCATCTGGTAGCTTAATTGCAACAACACAGAATTTGTGCAATAAATATGTTGTTGCATTATTTGAAAAGAATGGCTTGAAACATAGAGAACTAGTACTTCCATATAAAGCAAAAGGAATGAGGGTATGTCTACATTTACTTTTCTTTAAGAATTAAAAAATTAAAGTTAGTATATTAATCTAAAATTTATGTTATAGGTAAAGGATTTATTTTGGTCTCCAGATTCAGAAATTCTAACTATTTGGAGTCAAATGGAAGAAGATTCTTCTTCAGTAGTACAATTGTGGTCTGAAAATAATTATCACTGGTATCTAAAACAGTCAATTAAATTTCCCATTGATAATTCACTGATTTGTGCAACATGGTGTACAGCATCATCTTTGAAAAAGCTGATCCTTCTAACATACAAAGAGTTTATTGTTTATGATTATAATTGGGCTGTTCATCATAGTAAAGGCAAAAGTGTAAATGACAAATCTGTTGTTGGTGTAATTGATGGAAATAAATTATTAGTAACTGGATTTAGAGTAGGCATAGTGCCCCCACCACTAGCACATCAAACTTTGGAAACTTCTGAATGCATAAATGCTATTGTTTTTGCACCAGATATAAAAAATGAAGATACCTGGATAAACAGTAATACATTCTTTTGTGTTTCTGACACTAATAAATTGGTATTTTACAAGCATATAACTGTAAGTATAAATAGATTGAAAGTTCGCAAAAGTATGATAAATTCCACTAAAACATATACAAAATTAGGATGCCTGTCTGTTGGAGTATGAATATATTGGATCATATGATATTAGATGGAACAATACAACAAAGTATCAAAATTGTTTGTATAATATGCATCATTTTTTATGGGTTGATGAAAATAACATTTTATGTTCACTATCAATGAACAACCAAAGCTTGCTTTGTATTCTAACATTAAATGCAATAAATGATCAAGGTCGAGAACAAGTAATAGTGAGGTATAGTTATTTTATACAAAAGTTTTATATGGAATATTTTTGTGTTTTAGGAAGTACAAAATTTGTATGCGTTTTTGTTTCTTTCAGACAAACACATATTATGGAAGGTTTAATTCAACATATTATTCCATCTCCTGATCCAAAAGAAGCATATATAATTGTAGAAAATTCTGTTATAAAATATACAGAAGCAGGAATAATTCCAATTGACATACGATTACAGGGCTATATTTATAAAGTAGAAGTTGTGAAAATTGGTACTAAACCCCTTTTTCTATCATTATATCACAGAAACTGTTTTTCAATTAATGGAAAACAAATTGCTAACAACATTACAAGCTTCTTCGTTCATTCCGAATTCTTGCTTCTCACAACTGCACAACATACATTAATATGTGTTAATTTGAGTGAAGATGACCTCGAAGAATTAACTAAGCAGAATTTGACTATCAAACCATGGGAAAATAAAAAGCCAGAAGAAACATCATTTACAAGTATGTGCTATTGTGAGGTCATACTTTCTATGTAAATAATCTTAATTGAAAATGTAAATAATTTTCTAGATCTAAACATAAGACGTCTAGAGAGAGGATCTCAATTAATAATATCAGTTCCAAAAGATTCAAGAACTATTTTACAAATGCCCCGTGGAAACTTGGAATGTATACAACCACGAGCATTGTCTCTGTATATAATCGGATTTTATTTAGACAATTATAATTATCTGCCAGCATTTGACTTGATGCGCAAGCAACGAATAAACTTGAATTTAATTTATGATCATGATCCAAAGAAATTTATCGAAAATGCAAATAAATTTGTGGACCAAGTTTCTAAGCCAAGCTGGTTAAATTTATTATTGTCAGAATTAACAAACGAAGATGTTACTACAACGATATATGCAAATTATTATCGAAGAGATAAGTCGAAATCAGATATTTTGACGAATAAAATTGAGGTAGTTTGCGATTTATTACGACATATTATGGAAGGGAGGAATAAAGATAATCGTCTAATTCAACCGATATTGATTAGCTTAGTTAAAAATAAAAATAAGCAAGGAATAGAAGGTGCACTGATTAAGATAAATGAAATTAGAAAATTAGAAAACTCGGTAAAAAGCGAAGAATGTATCACATCCGATGAAGCATTGAAGTATTTATTATACATAGTGGATGTGAATGTATTGTTTGATATAGCTTTGGGAATGTATGATTTTGATTTGACAATGTTCATTGCATCTAAATCACAAAAAGATCCTAAGGAATATATTCCCTTTTTGAATAATTTGAAGAAACTTGATGAAAATTACATGAAATATTCTATCGATTTGCATTTGAAGCGTTACGATTCTGCGCTTAAACACATTGCCAAAGAATCGAATAAATTCAATGAATGTGTAAATTTGATACGTAATCATGATTTATATACAAAAGCTTTAAAACTATTTGGAAAGGATACTGAACAGTACAAGGAAGTAGCTAGAATGAACGGAGAATTTTTAAAAAAACAGAGACAATATCATGAAGCTGGAATTATGTTCCATAGAAGCGGTGATTTTAAGGAAGCCTTAAATGCTTATACATTAGCTGGTAGCTGGCAAGATGTTATTATTCTGTCCACCCATATGAAATTAAGGTAAATATGAACATTCAGACTTACAAATTTTAATACATCTGTACGTATATAATTAAACAATATTGTAGTGAAACAGAGAAACGTACGTATTATAAGGATATGGTAGAACATCTGAAAATGAATAAAAGATACGAGGAAGCTGCTCACATTTTAACAACATACTTGAAAGATCCAACAGAAGCAGTGATTGCTTTATGCAGTGGCAAACGTTGGAAGGATGCTGTTAGAATTGCTTATGACACTCAAAATTTAGATTTAATTGGTAGGTTTACGCATTTAACAATAGTTTTATAGTTAATTTAATACTTAAAATTATTATGTTCTAGAATTGCATGTGAAATCGAGCGTACATGAACATGCAAACTACACAGTATATCAGATACAAAAAAATAAACAAGATTTTGAGCAATATAAAGCGCGTCTGGCTATAGTGAGAGATAATATTTCTCAACGAAATATGAAATCATATAATGACATATCTGACAATGAATTGATATATAATAATAAAGGTATTTCCGATATTCTTAGCGATACAAGTAGCGTTGCTAGTTCAACTTCAAGTCAAAAGTCAAAATTTTCTACTTTATCTGGGTAAGAAATCTGCACATAGATATTCAACATTATTTAAAAACCTTATTTACAAGTTATAATTGCACCGGGAATTATGCATTTTCAGAAGGAGTTATAGATCAAGTAAAAACCGTAGGAAACAAGAAAGAAAATTTTTAAATTTAAAAGAAGGCAGTACTTTTGAAGATTTAGCATTAATACAAGCTTTATATCAAATTGTCAGTAATACATACAAAGAAAGAGGTTTGTATACTTGTTTACAACGATTGATTGCACATAAAATCTTAATATTACGAAAACGTACACATCGATATATTGCATTTCAGATGAATTATATGACTTAATTCAAATGCTTTTATATTTCGATGATGACGAATATGCAGAGAAAGTGCAGAATTGTATGGAACAATTTCTTGTAGCTATAGATAAAAGTAAATCTGAAATTTGGAATAAATCTGCACCTTCGAGCCTAATAGAAATGGTATACAATAAATAAAACTTGTACTTAATGTAATTAGCAATATTAATTATGACGCATTTATAAAAATTTTAGGAAAACATGGAACTTACAACATTATCTGAAGTGCAGGGATTATCTGCATGTCAAAAATTAATTGGTAAGTTAATATTGCTTGCTACAAATATTTAATGGTACTATCATATTTAATTATTTTTTAGAACCTTACGTTTTACGCCCGCCGGTGCCTAGTTCTTTATCTTGGAAACTAAATATATTTTAATTTTGATTACAATAAATTTTTTGTTAAGTATATATAAATCGTATTTATTATGACTTTTGATCCATTTTAAAAGAACTAATCAGATTTACTTTCTTACTTGTTACATATTTTATTAATACTTATTAAATTACCTAAATAAAACATTTGTTTACTTTGTAATTAATGTTATGTTGTACAACATTAGTCATGAAACCGATAAGAAAAATTTTGCGAAGATTGAGTCTTACACTACCTCATCAAATTTTATTATAAAATCACAAATATCCTGATATGAGATTATGTATAAATATTACAGTTTAATATTCAAATTTTATATTATTTTGGGAACATTGTTAAAGTTTATTTTTTACTGAAGTTTTCTTTACATAAATTTTATACAATCTACGTTTGAAACACGCAAATAATCTGGCTAAACACCAATAATGAACACTTACGTTCATCGATATAATATTTGTGAAAATATTGATATCAAAGTATAAATTAGTATCGTCTGGAATACTCGTATATTTTCATATATTAATGTTAAAACTATTTATAGGACTAATATCAAAATAAAAATGTTTTTATAATCGCGAATAAAAATTAAAATTTCATCAATATTTCAGTATAAAAGATATAATTTATAATTTAAATACCTACAAATCTTGTTTTAAATTAAATAAAAATTCGACAAAATATTTAAGGGATCATTTCATAAAAGATTTAAAAATTATTTCAGTTTTAGTTGATCAATCAATAATTTATAATTTATGAAAGAGCTAACATTGATGATCCGGACATTAAATGTAACTAATTGTTATTATTACGATGTAAAATAGGCTTTCACGTTTATTTTTTTTTGTTTCAAAAAAACTTACAATTTTTAATATTTGTGGAGAACGGATTTGTATTTAAAATTTTTTTTTTCTTTAATACTTACATATTACGTCATTTTGTCGAATTTTTATTGAATTTAAACCAAGATCTTCTGACAAACGTCGTTCGTTTTACTATAATAATCCAAAATATAAACTTGTCTCTAAAACTTTACTATACTCTCATGCTTCTTCCCTTTTTGCCTATACTAGAAAACTTTGTATACAATAAATCTAAATTCTGTAATTACGTGGAGAGATAAAGAAAACCTTTAATAAGTAATTTACGTGTAAACATATACTTTTAACAAATAAACTACTCTACATATGACAGTCCATTATACTTACGAATAAAAGATACTCGATATAAATTACACGTAATTCCTTGTTTAAGTTTTTCTTTTCTTACGAACTTTGTATAATCCCGTAATATTCAGAATTAAGATGGCTATGTCTTATTTTTAATAGGACTCGCACCTTTAAAACAAACATTTCAACATTCATAATTATAAACGAGACTATCATTCACACGTTTCAAGTTTTAACTAGAGATTGAAAATACACAAAAATTTAAATTTTTTCTAGCAATTACATATTCTTTTATTACATACTTTATATAAATATAAAAATGATCAATTAATCCAATGATTTTGATTATGGTAATATTCCACACATATACGTAATAGGCTTTTTTAATTCATTTACTTCAATAAATTTCGAAGTGAAAGTCATCATTAGAAATAATGAATTAATTTAAGGATGAATGAAGATAGTCTCGTCTCTCTTTTTTCATTTCCGGTTTCTGTTTTCCCTTCTGAAAATGGATCGTCTATTTAAGCTGCAACTTATTTTGTCCAACATAATATTGAACAAACCAACATTTATCTACAATTACCACTTAAAATGCCTATTATACTCGTTCCTTATTCGCGGTAGCTATAGCAATCATAGCTGACGATCTAAGTTCGGGACGACTACTGATCTTCATATATTTTGGTTGCGCGTATTTTTTCCTTACAGCTTGATATTTGCTTTTATCCGCGTTAATCATAATAATTGCTGTCTCCCGCACCACGGGTAACACATCATTTTTAATATAAGTACTGTAATGCGCCAAAGTATGTGTCCAGACAACTTTTTCGTCCTCGTCATCGGTACCAATAATTCTATGTAATAACGAATTATTAGTATTAATGACTGGTTCATATTAATCGAGTTTTTCTATATTTCCTATAAGAAAAACTTACGCAAAGGCTAAATATATTGCTGCAGCTGCAATAAGACTTGGTGGATAGTGACACATTTCATAATATACCAAACTTTGCTCTAAGAAATATTTAGCCATTGTATGATGTATGGGAAGTGCCTTATAAATACATAATTTATTAAACAAATAATGCTATGAATTTGAGAAATAAGAAATAAGAATTTATACAAAGTTATGAAACTTACCTTTCCAGCTTTGCTGTACCTCCTAAGAAAATGTAAAGGCAATGGTCTGCCAAAAGAGTAGTCCAGTGTTTTTACAATAAGCATCTCCATTTGTAATATCTCTAACTTTGAATATGCATTATCTGTGATATATACAAAATCATTTATGTCTGGAGAATACATTTCTTCATATTTGCTGGCAATAAACATAGCTGTTACACCAACTAATTGAAGCCTTTTTCTATCTATTGAATGGAAAGCCTGTTGAAAAAGCTAGGGTTTATTTTTAGGGTACAATTTTTAATTTTTCTTTTCTATCTTTATATAAACATATATATTCTGGTAACAAACCTGTAAAAATCTATCAATAATAGCAACAGTAAGATATAATGTCTCTTGCATTAAATGAAACTGTTGATGAACTTCGACTAGCCAATCAATGAGTACACTTCTCATTTTTGGTGTAACTTCCAGACCATTTAGATATCCTTTTGTGATAGGAAACTTACTCTCTAGATCTCTTAGGTATGCATATATGTCATTACTATAAATAGAAACTAGACTAGGATTTCCCTTATCTTCTTCATCAATATCCTCAACTTCCAAAAGATCTGAAGAGAATGATTGTACTTCCTTTTTTGAAGGAACTGGCACCACATTATTTTCTTGAGGAACTATAACTTTTACTACAGGCTTCACTATCTGTACAGGTGCTTTTTCTGATATCTTTTCCGCTGGTTTAATAATTTGTTTTAGTGCTGCTACATTTTTCTTTTCTTTTGGTAATAAACTAGGTTTATTAATAGGCTCTACACCTCTTAATGTGTTCACTTTATTGCCTATTTCTCCTAAAGCAGCTCTTTTTGTCTTTAAGGGTATTGAAGTTGTTGAAGACTTCAAATTCTTCACATTTTCCTGATTTATGGTTGTCTGAAAATTTATTTTATTCTACATTCTAATTGTAATAATAGTAAACTTAAATTATTTATTTACAGTATTATAGAAATACATAGAACTATGAAAATATTTAAATAAAGTTCTAATGATTCTTTCCACGTCATTTGTTGAATACATAACTAGTTGAATGAATAAAATTATAAAATTAATTTTCTTAAATATTTAAGCACAACTAAATATATACAATGTTTTACTTATTATTTAAAAAATTCTTTGTATATTCGTATATTTTTAATACATAAAACTACATAAAAAATTTGTTATACAGATAACAATAATTAAATATATATCGAACAATACAGGTAAAAATTATTGGGACCTTTGAATAACATTAGCACATAAATAATAAACATTTATTAAAATGAAGAATGCTACATGAAGTATCGTTTTAAGAATTCAAGATAAAATTAAATTGGAATTCTTTACTATTACGTGGCTGTAGGGATTCAGTGAAAGCAGAATCCGTATAAAATAAATTATCCTACAACGAGAAATAAGAGTAAATTATGGTAGCTATTAGTTCAATAGACTTTAAAACGAACGAAGGGCATTTAAAGATGTCAGGAACAGACGGTTACCCTATTCTGTTGACCTCCCTCATCAAAATTCCGCAGCTAATAATCCAACATTAATTGTTTTATAAATCTTAAACTTACCGTGAGTGCAGTTCGATTTCTTAATGCCATTATTAATCCAGTTAAAAGAGGATTTTATACAACGGTCAAAATCAGTTTCCTGATACAGTTACTTCCACCGTTTCCCAAACAACGTTCACCTCGCAGTAACGACTCTGTCGGTTTGAATTTGTTTAGTCGTTCGGACGGAAGTTCACCCTCTGCGGATGTTAGTATACAGAAGAAAAACCGCGAAAATTGAAGTTTCTGATTGGCTGGTCAAATGGTTACATATTTTAAACAAGTAGTCAATTGCACTTCAATTTTTTCATAAATTGACAAATTCTAAATTCCTATTTTCGTATCTTCTAAAATCATTAAATTATCGATACAAAAATAAGCTTTACTAACAAGTGCAAATGTTCCTGTTAAAATTTATTATTTTTATGTGTACTTAGAATTTATTTTACGCAGCTATATAGATATATTTTATTGTATAAATATATATCATTAATATATGACATTTATTTTGTTTTGAGTAACCCACTGACAATTTTTACAGCTGTGTATAAATATCTATCCTATGATCAAACAGCTGATCACGTTCATTCATATTCTGTCAAATTATATTTAGCTATTTAAATACATATTATTGTAATTGATTTTGTATTGCATTAACACATTTTCTTATATATTTATTATAAATGTAATAACTGATAAGCGTATTGATTTAACGAAATCAAAAATACAGATGATAATTTTCGATAAATGTCATCCTTGAAAATCTCCACACACTTTTTACACATTTGTTAATGAACTGTTAGTGATAATTAATAAAATGTCAATAAATATTGATATCAAATTAAAGCGTGCTAGTAAAATATATCGTGAAGGGGTACGTTTTATTACAATTTGGGTACATCAACAATTGTACAGAACAAGAAATGTAAAGGTTATGTTCTAGGAAATAGTTGCTGGTTTTATATTATTACAAACTAATGCAGATGTTAAACACGATGGAATATTTCTAAGTATGGAAGGTTCAGTTAATTTGCAACTTAGTTCTAAAAATTTTGGTATTTTTGAAGCTTTTTACAATTCTGTAAAGGTTAGTTGTTGACTTTTTATAAAAATTTCATCAACATCCATATAAATTATTATTTACCACCGAATAAATTTTAATAGAATCATTTATTTAAAAAGATATATATATGTATATTTTCAGCCAATACAATTAGTTCAATATACTTTAGATGTAGCTCCAAGTGGAAAAATACCAAGTGGTAGAACAGAAATACCATTTGAATTGCCATTAAAACCCAGAGGAACTAAATCTTTATATGAAACGTACCATGGAGTTTTTGTAAATATTCAGTATCTTATACGTTGTGATATAAAAAGAAGTTTTTTGGCAAAAGATGTAAGCAAGTCTTTAGAGTTCATAGTAGAAGACAAAGTGCCTCCTAAGATAGATAAAGAGTCTAGCAAACCAGTGTCTTTTAAAATTATGCCAGAGTCTTTGCAAAATACTAGAGATAGAACTAATATTCCCAGATTTTGCATTTCAGGAAAATTAAATTCATTGTATTGCAAAGTTTCTGAACCATTATCAGGAGAGGTAAACACATGATCATATTATGATTTGTAAATAACACTGTTAATTTACTGTTATGAAACAACAATTATTTCTAAATGTAAGGTTGTAATTGAACACTGTGAGGCTGTAATAAAGTCTATTGAACTGCAATTAGTCAGAGTTGAGACATGTGGTTGTGCTGAGGGATATTCTAGAGATGGTAAGGTCATGCAACCAAAATACATATAAATATGTTGCTTATTGTTTTGTAATATTTTATTGGCATTAGCTACAGAGATACAGAATATACAAATTGGAGAAGGAAATGTATGCACAAATCTGCCTATACCAATATATATGATATTTCCAAGACTGTTCACATGTCCCACATTAAGTACAAGTAATTTTAAAGTTGGTAAGATTATGCTGTTACTTTTATTTTAAGACATTAATAAATTGTAATACTTTTTTTATGTCAGTTGTATTTTATTATACTTTGTTACAGAATTTGAGGTGAATCTTATTGTAATATTTGAAGACGATTATTTAGTCACCGAAAATTTTCCCATTATATTATCGAGATATTAAATTTTTATATGGAAGTATAATATTGTATATAAATTATGTATATTATTTACAAGGTATATGTTTCTTACAATAAAAGTAATTTTGTTGGATTTAAGTTAAAAAACGTATAAAACAGGACCTTTTTTTCTTAATGTACAAATTAACAGATAGATAGAAGTTCTTACTCCCATCCAACTTTTTGAACAAATAATTTATAATATTTTTCCACTTGTTTATTATGAGTCAGACCGACTGAAGCCAATAATACTACGTAACCAAGTACAAATGTTAATAATTTATGTTGTTTGAACCATGCTAACAATCCTTTGTTATCATTACACCTAAAAGGTTGTACATTCTTTTTCGCGTTAGTGTTTCGAAAATATATAAATATAATAGCTATTCATACCTTGTTGTTTGAACTTCTTGACTGTAAACAAGAAGATAACGTACTCTTACCAATTCACTATTTGCAACCAAATAATACTTATTTGGTACCAATCCACCCATAGAATCTGTGACTGCTCTGCGAGCATTATCTTCTGCAAGATGTAGTGGATAAAAATGATAAATAATTTTTTGAGCTGTAATATGTACTAACCTGAATCCCCAGTTTTTACATCAACATGATTAATAAGTTCGCATAAAGCTATGCAACTCATTTCACTTCCTAGCATACTACCTCCCCATCCATACCCTACAGGACTATATGGTAAACTTACACCTAATTCACTTGAAAGATATATTCCTTTACCAAATAATGATCTCTAAAAGGCATAATACCATAGTAACTTAACAAATTATATTATCATTGTAGCTGATACTATTTTTGAACAAATTGTTTTACCTTACACATAGTTTGCTGTAGACCATAATGTATGATGGAATGAAAATTCTCTAACCGACTGCCATGATAAGCATAAAAAGTTGAATGTCCTTGAGCAATTGTTTTCCATTTTTCTTCTGAAGTAGATTGCTTTGCACTTGCAACTTGAAATATTAAATTTGGTGCAGCTACTGACATCTCTGAAGGGATTTTCCTCAGTATTGAATCATACTATATTACAGTTTCACATTTTTACAAATTATAATTAAGAATAAACAAAATCTTAAAATTAACAAGTATATTATATCTATCTGCAAAATAACTTACAGACTCTTTGTTAATACTTTTTATATAAGGATCTCTCAGTCGTACTAAAATCCAATGTAAAAGTTCTATAGCAGTTCCATATCTATCGTATACATCTGATTCTGACAATGCTTCAAATATTACAGCCAATGGAGGAATTAGTTCTATAGCTCTTCTCTACAATTAAATTTATCATTTACTCAATAAATTATTACAGACAAAAATAACAGAAGTACCAAGACTGATAGCTTAGAAATTCTACCAAAGCTTCAATATCCTTGCACTCATTTTTTATATACATTGGTGGAAATGGTTTTAAACATGTGTCATAGCGATATGTATTACAAGCTGCTACAAACAAGGACCATTTCAAATCAGCTGCTTTTAAATCCTTTTCCAATATATGTTTCAATGACAAAATCTTTTTTCCAATATCTTCTTGATTTGCAGAATCCAAACGTGTTGTATACAGTACATCTGAATTTGTATTTTTGGCAATTTTGTTGTCTTCATGTTTTATTTGATTTTCTTTTTCCTTTTCTTTATCATTATGAGTATGTTGCTTATTGTTTGTATTATCCATTATTACAGATGAATCTAATCTAAATTATTATCAATAGGTATTAATGTTAAATATTAAAAAAAAAGGATTCCTGCAAATTATCTACTTAATATTTAAATTTATGGAGTGAAAGGGGATGAAAGGGGTTAACTGTATTGTAACGTGTATTTTAAAAGAATTCTTTCTCACTTGATACTTAATCTATGATTAGATCAATGAATTGTTCAATAATTACATTAAAATGTATTTAATAATTTTAATTTCGTTAAATTAAATAATAAATGACAAGTAAAAGGTAAAATTCCCAATTGTATACTTCAGTTCATATGGCATAGCAAACCGTTTAATTTCGTTGTAACGTACTTACAGTCCACGACGGGCATCTTCGAAATTTAAATTATCACAGTGATTAGGAATGAGAAATAGTCAATTATTTCAAATATTATAATCATACGCTACAACGAATTTGTATCGAATCATGAACATTGTCCTAACGTTTCATGCTCTTGTCGCAGATCACATATGTTTTATTACGTTCGTTTGTTACAGCGATGTTTCTCTCTTTTAATCTGCTACTTTCTCTTTAATTTATTACTTAATTTAAAAATGTATTGCTAATACTTTTCCCTTTATTAAAAAAAGGGAATCTATGAGAATAATAAGATACACATTTATATAAATGCATTATTTTCTCTTTTTTCGACCTAATTAAATATATAGAAATCCAAGTTTTCTGCATATTTGCAGAAAACACTGTAACAGAATATTTTCTACGTTTTCTATAATAAATGACATCCAAATTTTTTACATGTATTCTAACCTCCAAATTCAAATTTCGCGGGAATCGTAACTAGTGAAACATTCTTTTTGCCAAATAGTAAAAATGGAGTTTTCTACAAAGTATGCACAAACGTTTTAAATAATACTGCTGAATGAAGATGAAGGATGCATAGGGTAGTCTTTTATTATTTACATGTGATATAAATTATTCATATTTAAGAATTTTTAAACATTTTTTATAGGTTAGAAAAATGTTGATTACAGTTTTCAACGTTATTATAGTATTCTACGCATTTTCGACATTCCTCCACAATAGAATACTGGTGACTTTCATCGGAAACCTACCATTTACATATGACGAATTAACTGTTACAACTAAAAAAGTAAGATAATCATGTAATTTGGGTTATTAGTTTATGAAATCCGTGCGCAATTCAATACAAATAGGGAATTCTTTGCATAATATACATAGAAAATTTAATTGGTTCGATTGGCAGACATGTAACTCAATGTCATGCTTCAAGGTAAACTATCGATGACGTCAGTGTACGTCACTTAACAAGTGGGAGTGGATGGATAGATGTCGGCAACTGTGGTGGCTTTCGCGAATAATCGCACACGAAATTCGCAACAGACGATACCGTGTCGTCGCGATAATGTCGCGTGTTTCTTAGCGATGTAATTCTTTTGCTTAAAGAAAAAAAGCAAATAAGTAACATCGCACACGTGTTTCCGCGGTAAATGGAAAAACACCGAAATCGGTCTGCGCATGTCCGACTACCGATGACGTCACGAAAATTGTGCTTTTGATCAAACTCGCTCTCTCGCTGTTTTTTTTTTTTACCGTGGACGTAATAATGTGGAAAGTGAAATAATTGTTTGGAAAAGCTCTGTAGGAACCGCGGAGAAGCCGGTGAAAATCGTAAGTAAATTTCATTTTTTTCCTTTATCGTTTCAGAAGTCATCCGTTGACTTACAGTCTGTTAACATGGCCTTCAACACATGTACACATAAGCATATATGCACGCACACGAATACACATGCATACAAAGCGTTCATGATTTTTAGGAAAAAAGCTCCTTCCTAACGATGTTCCACTCTTCAATTTTTCTAGTTTTTTCATCATAGAAAAAGTGTATGATTTTTGTTTTAAAATCATACGGTTCTTTACTAGTGAAGGGCTTTTTTCATTGCGAGATATATTGATCTTCTTCCAAAGGAACGATTAAAAATGACAGGTTCTGTGTTCATTTGGATGTGCATCTCTGTCAAATTTTTTTTATTATTCTTAATTCATCGTCGTATGATCCTTGAACTAATGTTATTTATCATTTCTGTTCATTTCATTTCGGTCATTACAATAACGATTTTCAGAAGATATCGTTTATTTCTTGTTCATTACGATAATGTTAAAAGAAAATGTTGTTTTTGGTTTATTTAATGATGATAGAATGTTTAAAATTCTATGGTGAATAGTTGAATAACAGTCTATTCATAAATTCAGAGATGAAGATCAGTCTTTCTTGATCACATGTTGAATGGTTAAATACATATATATATATAACATATATATTATTTTTACAAAAATACCATATTTTTATTTAAAATAAAATATATACCATCAGTTTAACATTATCACAGTATTAGTAAACAATGTCAGAATCGATGAATTACATTGCACCATCTATGAATTTTTAAGTAACTTTTTAATTTTAAATTGGAATAATCTACAATAGTTTCATGTCTTCACATATTCTTCCTTTAGCATACCATTTGATGTACTAAATTGTAATGTTTATTTTTTAGTTTTAACATAAAATTATTTAAGGAGTTTGAGTTTTTGTGTGCGGTTGGTTCTACATATACTGATATTGCTATACTGATGTACGTGTAATATAGAAATGTTGTTGAATTAACATTAAATTAGAATTATGATATTTATTATTCTATATATATGTCAGTATTTCTAATAGTTTAAATGAATGAGTCTTATGAAGAGGAGATAAATTTAATTTCATACTTGATAGGGTTAAAATATTGTCATGTATTAAAGATGCATTATATCACGAGATTTTAAAAAAATAATAGCAAATAAGCTTTCAGTGTAAATTTATTAACTATGTTTTGAATTTCTGATGTATACATTTTATTATTAATTTTTATTGGATATTTTATAAACATCATGAGATGCTGCCATCTACGGATACAAATATCAATTGCAATGATCTCCGTTGGTAAGGTAGGAATTGATACTCTTTTTTTAATAATATTTTAATATTATTTAAAATTAAAAATAAGAAGAAAATGATAGTCGTATTTATTTGTTAGTACGTGATAGTTTGGTAAGGTCATTTTTTTTATGTAAATGTACTTTTCAAGAAGTATTTGTTATTTTCTTGGGTAACTAGCATATTACTCATTACTATTTTTATTCTATTTACTATATAAATGTTATATTGAAACATCTACAAGTACCATGACAAATTGTTTTTATTTTTATTTAAGTTAGTAAGTGATTTTCAATAGCCCTTAAAGAAAATCAAATGGATTGTCTGATTTAGATTCAGTAGAATGTAATATATTGTTGGTATTTAAGGAATTTTTAAAAATATTTCAAGACTCTTGTACAGAGGTGAGAAATGGGAGAGGAAAAAGCAGTTATGTGAAAAATATGAAGTAAGAATGCGATCTTTCGCTTGGAGAACGGAAGTAACACGGGAATCAATGCGTTTAGGTGTCTGTATCAGATGTAGACTTATCGTGGGATCTCACGGAACTTGAACCTACGTAATAATGCGTGGCTGGTTCGTTCTAAAGAATTACACGACCTCGTGGTACAAAGCGCGATACAATGTGGCTCCTCGAGCCTATGTAAATGGATGGATGAAACGCGTATGACCTAAACCTATCTTGACTTTTTCCATTATTTTCAGATGCTCGACTAGCTAGAGAAGTTGTTTTTGTTGTGATGCTTAAAACTCTGCACTAAAGCGTGCCTCCTTTCAGTGTACTTAAAAAACTACACTTTCTTATAAAAATTCTATCAGTTAGTTTGTTTGAGTTAGAGGGACATAATATTTCAAATCTAACGAGTACGCTCAAATCAGAGTAGATTTCTCTTATTTTCGATCTATGTATCTGTGCAGCCGAAAAAGATAGAGGTTCATAAACATTCCATGAAGAAATTGTGCACGTCGCCCTCGACATCGATCCTATCCACCCACCCACTACAGAGAAAGAACAGTTTCATCGATAACTTTCCTCAGAACAACCCCGACCACTAACGTCATTCATTTTCGAAACTTCACGTAAGCTTCGTGATTTGTAATCGAATTTTCGACAATTTTTCTTAAGAATTGTAAAGATTCCACCCTTAGCGCCCTTATTCCTAGATGCTTTGCTTCTTTTTGTGCAATACATCAATTTTGTAGTTTCAGTTTGGATAAATTATTAGTTCATTTTATATTTCATTCAATTTGCATATCGAGGTTGAGTCGAACACTAAGGTTTATGAAATTTTAATATCTGTTTGATATTTCGAGAAGTTGTCCAAACGGAAGATTGTTAGGTGTTTGTATATTTTTAGAAAAGCGAGAAATGTAGGTTAGTCGTTCGTTTACTTGAATGAATTTGACATTTCATGGGAAAAAATATAAATTAAGTATAAATTGAGAAAATAGAATAGAATAGAAATAAAAAGCTTAAATTTGAATTAATTCTTTATCATCGTTTATCATCCAGCAGATTCACGTATTAACGTATTAATCGAATTAAAGTTTCGAGAAATCGAAACATAAGAATTGAGATAGAATTTGGAAATATCATTTAAAACGAATTTGTCGGGAGCTTTTAATGGGACCAGGTGTCGACTAATTTCATTTAACCACTTAACGATTCTGACGCTCGTCTCAATAATTTATCGCCCTTACGTGTTATTTCTGGATACCGAGAATGGATATCCCACGATAAAATATATTCACGAAATATCTCGATTTTGTAATTTAATCGTTTGCAAACTAACAATCAAGCACACCGAGTGCCACAATGAAAATGGACAGGTGTAGTCAGCCGTGGCAGAACTTATTAAAGAAACGAATATGAAATTTTCAAGATTGCCACTTTATATTATTAATATAATGCTATTGAAAATTTATCCTCTCTTTCATTTTGTCACGGTGTTCAACACGTTCAATTATAAAATAGTAATATTTATCTATTTCTACTAAACTAGAAGTGGAATATTATTGAATATTCGTTCGACTCGATTTCTCTGATGCGTCGTAAGAAGAACCGGATGTCGGACCCGTTGGAAAGCTCTCGTATCGGAAAAACCTGGTTGCAGGCTCGTTTTCCTTTTAACCGTCAGCTTTTTTCCCCTCTTTGTTGGCTGGGGATGTCTTTGAAGCTTTGCGCGTTGGGTCACGATTGACGTAAATCTGAACGCAACTTCGATGATTCCTTCCGCCTACCTCTCACGTGCGACGTACACGTGTCATTATTGGTCAAAAGTCGGTCCTCTTCTGCAAAGTTCCACGGTACAAACGTCGACGCAGGTCCGCGTGCCTTTTGTGTTTTAGATCGAAGGAAAACTTGCGTGTTTGTTGTCCGTACAGGATCGCCAAAGCAACCCCTTCGCGTTCATCGTTTTCGTTGTTTACACCCTTTAGCCACGTGCTAATGACACGTGTCTTCTACCAGTTATGTATCTTTCGAAAACGATAATGCATTATTGCGGAACGACAGTTCGTCCTGCTTTTCCGCTGTGTTTCGTTCATAATTTTCTCTCGATTAACCCTTTTGTTGTGGACGATAGAACTGTACCGACACGGTGATCGAAATAATACTTAGCTGTGGAGAATTAACCCTTTGATTGTCAAAAACGTATGTAGATGGACCTAACCTGTGTGTATTAATAAACATACCACTCTGTCTTGAATTCTTTTTGGACAGTGTTAACTTATCAATATGCATTCACTTGGGTACAATAACAACAACAGTAATTATTAATTATCAGGACGAATATAACCCAACGTAGTGTTTTTCATACTGTATATCAAATTATAAGGTATCTACTGTTTATTATTCGTTGTGCATCAGTTGCAGCTACGACGTTGGAAATGAACGTTCTTCATCTTATCGAGAAGAAATATGATTATCACTAAGATGGACAAATCTGTGATATAATCGTTGATGATAGTTTCACTCATAAAAAGCGAGATATTTACGCGGGAACACATCCCCTCTTTCCTCTTTCGGTGTTGCCCTCACCACCTTGCCCCGTTCCCTCTCTACCAACGATCACCACGTGTTGGTAACACGTGCTGTTGCGTTCACCTTCCGCGGTTTAAACGTGCACGAATTCTGATCGATTCGTTAATATTTTCTGTCTTCTGACAAATAAAATACCATTGTCGCGATCGATTCGTTAACGAAGCATTCGGCGAGAATACGGTTCGCTGAAATTTCTCTAATTGTCTAGCCCCATTCGCGTTCGTTTCTCGTTTCGAACAGGGTACACGAAAGGTAGGACCCCTGTTCGTTCGAATAAGCTTTATCTTTTGTTCAAATACATCAGGATATTCTGAAACGGTAGATAGTTACGTAAGACAGGGAAGCTGTAGGGGAAGATTAAAATCTAACGTTTGATGAAATTTTAGAAAATAGAATCACTAAAACGCTATTTTAACTTCTACTTTAACTAAATTGTCGCAACTTGTCCATAAATCTATGGTCGCTGCAATGGATCCAATCTATGGTGGCAGTGGGTCGAGGAAAGATAGGAAGGTAGAAGGGTACGGGTACGGTACGCGTCAGGGTGCGGTATCGAGGGGTCGATTATAAATTTTGCACGCGTGGTACGGCAACGTGTACGCTCGAGAGATTTCTATCGAGGATCCGATCCGATTCACTCGATACACCGTGCAGATAGGACAGCTTGATAGGGTTCGAAAAGAAGGATAAGCGAAGTGTGGCGAGAGGGTGAAAGCATGAGGAGAGAAAGGTGGTGGGATAAGCTCGTCGCACAGGTAGAACGCGCACTTACAGTGGCTCGCAAAAGTATATCTTCCTTCTCAATTAACCCTTTCCCAAATGATATATCGTCTAGGATATTTATTTTGGAAAAGCATCGTAAAAGTTCAGTTCATCTGTTAACCGAGAAGATGCAAATACTTTCTAGAAGGATTTGGACCTTCTAAAATACGAACTGCCTCCACCCATCTACCAAAAAGTATTGACAATGGGTAGATCGAAATTAAGCAACATTAGACAATTAATGTTTGTAATAAAGTTAAAGGAAAAGAGAAATCCTAATTACGCCAATGCGAATACTTATGCGACTCACTGTACGTACACCTACGTTCCCCTAAGGTTGCTACCTACGTAGTAGGTAGATAGGTAGGTGGCTCGTTGTGTGTACTCGTGAAAGGTGTACCCTGTGTATGCCCGTGGTGTACAGGTAAAAGAAACGTCGTCATGGAAACGACCATGGCCACTCTCAATCAATACGCGATGGGATGTCGAGTTCGGCCGGTGACGTAGGCAAAAGGACCACGTGGTCCTATCTGGCCACGTGCGATACTTTTCTTTTTTTTTTCATTTTTTTTCTTCCTTTGATTTGCGAAAATTCTAATTATTTTTTCGAAGATTCATAGTTCTTGGCGGACTTTGATAAGGTTGATCGACGCAGTGAAAATGGACGCGTGTAGTAAAGACATATTGGGATTCAAATTATTAAGGAAACGGATATTTAATTTTCAAACTGAAGAAAATTATAAACCCTTTGAAAATTAAAATAATTCATACGTACTGTAGTTGTATCAGTCGGGTCAGTAGAGTCACAGTATATCGTAAGATACTCGAGTAGGAGCGCCCTTAAGCGGCAAGAAGAAAAAGAAGGAAAAATCACGAAGGAGATTACAGTAAAAGAAAAATAGAAGATGAAGAAGGTACACGAGAGGAAAGTAGCGTATAGAAGGTGGGGATTGTGGAGGATAGGAGAGAGCAAGTAGAAGAGGTAGATGAGGTTTCGTGGAGGCTGTGGCGCGCGGTTCGACTTCTCAAGGTGTCCGAGGCAGAAGTGAGAGAGAACGAGTAAGGGAGGAGAAGAGTTGGTCGGGGTTCGAACGACGCGGAGAGGGCCGTTGCGACGCCGGGCGTCCAGTGATCGCGCCTTAAATGGTTCGACGCCGCACGCGCCCAACATCTGCCAGCTCCGTTTCTCCTCTCTTCTCTTCTTCTGTAACGCGCAACACGCTTGCCTGCTCTTGCCTCTCTTTCTCTTTTTTCTTTTTTCTTTTTTTTTCTTTCTTCTTTAATGAGAGCGAGAGAGAAAATACCTCACGGCAAGTTCGAGGAAAGAACATTGGGGAGAAATTTGAAAGGGACATGTTAGGGAGAGGACAAGGAAAAATGAACGATCAGCGATGATTTAACCCTATAGGGTCTTTTTAATTATCTTCAGATGCAATCGCAATGTAGTTTTTATAGTATTTCCATGATTTTTAAGCGTCTTTCAAATCGTTCACACAAAATCATATTTCATAATTTCCTTTCCACCCGTTTATTCATCTATAGACACTGCTTGGTATTGTTTTCCTTAGAACCCGTAGAATCGTGAACAATTTACCCAATGGAGCTCCCAAAATATTCGTTCAGTTACGTAAGATAGACTGTACATGGCAGAGCAATTGAATTCGAAAGGATTTAAGGACAAGGTGGGGACTCTTTTGTTCTTGACAATTTCGTTAAGACGATCAAATTGAAGCTATGTTTCAAATAAACGTAGTTCCACGAGATTCTTCTATCTCTTTCCCTCAGTTAATTCTTCTTCTTCTTCTTCTTCTTCTTCTTCCACAGTACGTGGCTCGAATGTGCGTTCACTCAACTCATGAACCTCCCTTCTTCTTCTTGTTTTCCTCTTTTTCCCGAGCCTCTTCCTTCACCACCGTCTCGTTTTCCCTCTCTTTTCACCAGGTCGTTTTCATTCTGCTTCGTTTCGAGTAGAATCAGCTCCGAGTATCGCGTTTCAAGCTTCCAGCTTGAGAAACGAAGAGAGGCGAAGGAAAACGCCGCCTCCTGGACGACTCGTTTTTCACGTTGTCTTCGTCCAACCGATCCCTACAATTATCTTCTCCAAAGGTGGATGGAAAATTTCTGTGAACAAGATTTCTGTCAACATTTCGTAATATTCTCACGGAGAGGTTAATAAAGTTATAGAGAAAAAAATTAATTGTGCAGGAAGAAGATCTGACGTCTGCAAATATTAGTTGATTAATATCTATAAAAGATTAATTGCTCTTCTTTTACACCGTTGGGCGCATCGGTGCATGAAAGAAAGAGAAGTAATTCGACGAAACTCCCCTTTATTTTCTTCGATCTTTACTTTTGCACTTTCTTCGTCGATACGCAATTGCTGTTTAACGATGTCGAGGGAGGCAAGGTCACATCTATCTAACGAGGTACGTCTAATAATTGATACAACGATTGCTAACAAGTGAAGAACCGTGAAACCGGTCGAGTAAATAAGAGAGACGATGTTCAACGAAATGCATTTCTTGATCAATAGAAAACAGCCTTATCTGTAACTTATTGTTTGCGCGATTAAACATCAGATTGACGAAGCAAATGAATGGTACTCGAAAAACCTCCGAACACGAATTGTCTTTGTTTTACAAGCTTAACCATGAGAACCTGATGTTTGTCTACGTTGCGTTATTGTCCAAGCAAGGGAACATCTAATATCTTCAATCTGGTTGCATCGCGTTGGCCATATCTAACCGTGGGGTCCTTTAACCGAACATACCCTTCGAACCCTTGTTGCCCTCCTGCCACGTTCTCTCTCCTCCCATTCCCATCAATTTTACCTCCTACTTGAATCTTACCGATTGCTGATCCGTATCAATTTACAGTACGTGCAATGGAATTTTCAAAGTTTCGGGTTTAATTTGTTCAGCTTGTGCATTATAGGAGGAAGACGATGATTCTAACCACTGTCCTTAAGAATGTTGTTTGTGGGTTATCGAAGGGCATGTTCAAGATTGAATGCAGGGAAGTCTCTGTAGGAGAGGGGAACACGTGTTTTCCAGTCCTGGTTGAAGCCACGTGTGAGGTGCAGGATGTTTGTATCTGCCGTTCGAAACGTTCGGTTTCGTGGCGGATGAAAAATCAATCAATCATATTCAGTCAATACGGTAATAATTCGTTTCGCTTAGTGTGAATGTGCTTCGAGGACGCGGCGTCACTTGGCGCCGTTTCTTCAGGGTTCGATTCTAGAAAGACCGATATACTCGGCGCCGCCGTTGCATTGGGTCGTAGGGAAAGTGTCATCCTAAGTGGATATATCCGCCCAATGCACTCTAAGGGTTGAGTTACGATCTGGCTAGATCGTCGCAACGACTGTACCTCGCGGATGGTCTAAGGATCGGCGAAAAATCGTTCGATCATCAAGCAGAACGAAGCGAGGTAGCAAGCGAGGAGCGATGTTGGCGCGAGTGCAACTCGCGCCATATTCTTTGTCCTATGACACGACGAAGTTAAAGCTCCATGGCTAAAATTAAACTCAGCCGCCAGGGCTGAGTGTAAGACCCGAGGCTGAGCAGGAGCAGCCGCCAGAAACCAGAGCACGTGCTTCAGCTAAGTGACGTGTGCCTTCCTCCACCTCTTCCTTCGCCATCCTCCTCCTCATCCTTTCCTTTTTCTCCCTTTTACACTACTACCATCTCTTTCACTCGTTTCCATCTTCTTCGTTTTCAAGCGTGTAACAGCTTTTTCCTATCTGAACGGATTCCTAATCGCACACGTTTCCACGCATACCCATGATTTGGTTGATCTAATTGTATGACGTTCGAGGAACAGGAAGCGCGTTCGCTCTGCTCGCCAAACAATTTCGTTGGCTCCGTTCATAGGATGATGAAGTAGAAAGTTATTCTTTGACACGATGCGAATAATAAGGTAGATCGTTAACAAGGTATATTCGCGGTCTTATGGTGTTCTCGCGATGGCCAGGGAACCGATCAGAAGGAAATTATCGCGTCGAGAAGGAGCCGCGCGTCTCTTGGCCACCAATGACGCAAGTAACTTACTGATCGATGAAGCGTATAGCGTACACGTATAACTCGTTGCTTTATAGATAATACGTAATATGTGATACGTGACACGCGGCGCGCGCTTCCATCTGTTGCTAACATAGAAGCGTGCTCGGTTGGACGGCTGCGCCTCGTGTGTCCTGGAGTTGCATTTGATGCTGATCAATTTCATCCCGTTGGATTTTGCGAACAAGGGTATAATTTGATACGCGACTCGCGTTCATCTTTTAATACCTTCGCTACGACAGGCAGCTATTTTAATTGAGAATTGCTATTCGTTGAATTTAGATAAATAACTCTGTGTACAGTAGGGTGCAAAGTGGGAGAGGCAGCTCTGACAGATTTGTCTTTGAATCCTGTGAAAATCCAGGGAGAGGCTCACCTAGAACTTCTGGTCCTTACAAGTAAAATACATGGTCAGACATCTTCTTGGGGGTGCATGCCCTCCTGGATCGTTTCAGACAGATCCACTGGAAGGTCTTGTCCTGTCGTAGAATTTGTTTCAGTTTATTTGAAAAACACGTTCCTCCTTTTCTCAAGGAAAACATCAGAGAGGAATCTTCCTCTTGTGTAATTTCGAAACGAGTCTTGAAATTTGATCTGTTCGTTGCCTCGGTAGAATTAAATTCATCTCCGTTAATTGAAGAGTAATTTAATTTAAGTAATTGTAATTTAAAACGCTTTTAGAATCGAGACCAAAAATTGGATTGAACTTTAATTCGATTCTGAGGATTGTTAATAATTGGGATTTTTAACTTTTTTAGATATCATTTAATTAAAGCGAGGTGTACCCTGAAAAAGCAAGCCAAGTAGTTCGATCAACTGATTCATTGATGAGATCACGCGCCTAAATGAGTACCACCTGGTTGAGATTACTCGGAAATTTTCTGTTGTTTTTCCTCGACGATCTCTTATTTACACCGTCAAATTCTCATTAAAGTGTTTCACTCCGTTATAAGATTATCTTCTGGTTAGAAGAAGGGCAGAGATGTTTGAGAAAGAACGGAGCTGTTGTTCAGGAAATCGTATTAGCAGCTGAGACGTTCGTATGGCGAGGGTGTCGTCGTTTCTAGGGGAAACAAACCGCGACAATAATTTTTGCCTTGCTCGAAGGCGGCGACTAGAAAAGAGGAAGGCATAAAACGACATTGCTCTCCGGATCGGCACGTGCCACTCGATAAATCTGTCGGCAGCTGACGGTACAGCCGGCTGCTGTAGCGAGTGCAGCCTCCCGCTTGCACTTGCCTTCTTCTTTCTTCTTTATTCTTCACCCCTTGTCGCGCCTCCCTCTTATCCTTGTCTCGCTTCTTCTTGTTGCAGGAAACTCACGACCCTCCTTGAAGAGAGCAGTCTCTCTCTTCGAGGAGCACGTTTCTACCCAATATTGAATTTCGTTGAATTTTTCTTCAATTTTTTCGTTAAATACAATATCAACATCTTATGCCTTACCATGAAACGGATTGAACTTTCGAACTCTGGCTCTACGCTTTACAGATAAATGAAATTTCCATGATTTTAATGACGTTTGTAGGAACGGTGGATAACGATTTTCCTGGTAGTAGCTCGGAACCGCATTAAGAGTGACTTAAATTAATAACGATCGCTATTTTGGAGAAGCTTCTATGCTCCGTTAACCCGATTAAAGCTCGAACACGGAGCCGAAGCGCGAGATGGCATAAAGAATTCAAGCGAAATCTTCCAGCTTGACTGACTGGCTGGCCCGGCTGATTGGCTGAACTGATCCCATTGCCCGAAGTAATTATGGAAACTTGGACGTTACGACAGCTCTTTACAGACGCGATTTTACAACGGCCAGGACACATAACGATGTGAAACGGATCTGAGAATCACGTTATGTCACGTCAAGTGTTCGCCAATCTCGATTTATATCGATTCCCGTTTGAATAAAATAAATCCTGCTTCGCATAGACGAATATTCCTATCCGATCGATTTTCATTTTACAAAATTACACATTTTAACCCTTTCTTTGCAGTAATAACCCTTTAAAAATGTACTATTTTCTTTATGTTTAAGGACCGTCGTCGTGTGTGCAACTCCGATCCTGTATCTTGGCACCTACATGCAATAGAAGGGTAGGTAAGTTATTCATATGTCAAATAGTTAAAGAGCGTTAAGAAATGAAAGCTTATTAAACGAAACGGGCAAACGAAATTTCAATTTCCCTTCGTTCAAGTTACGACGGAATCACTGGTACCAGTTGTGCAAATAATTCGTCAACGATCACAAATGATTACGGTATATATCGTGCTACTAAAACCGTACGAAACGATTCTTGAAATACTGCCACGTGTACGCAGGGTGTTGGTGAATTACAGATACAAACTTTTATGGGTTGGCCAGAGTTTACGAAGAGACATAAAAAAGGTCTTGGTGAATGTAAAAATTCCTACCTAAAATTCAGCAATAACCACTGATCACAGACATACTACGAAAGACTACCTCCAACGAAAATATTCCAAAAGAAAACCTAACACACAAATATCTGTATATCCTGCGTCACAATATCGTCACAAAAACACTAGCATCAGTGAAAATATTTAGAAAATTCTGCACCAAGTCACGGACACTGAACACATATCCAGTGCAAAGGAATAAATGATTGATTAAATATCGGTAATTTAATTGATGATAAAAGAAACGTGGCTGGTGGTCCAAATTGAAAGCTTCGTGGGTAACTCGATCCGGTGCTGTTAGAGCATTGGATCGTCACAAGCTCGTCACAAATCACTGACGCATGCCGGGTATCCTGCGACAGGAAGCCGTTAGAACGGAAGTCGGGGAGAAAAGCCATGTCTCAACAGTGAACGACGTAATCATCCTAGTTGGTAGTGTTCGATATTAATTATTACGTCGCTTTTCTTTTTTTTTTTTCATCGGCACAACTTCGTCATCATGGTCATCTCCGCGTTTGATGAGTGTTTGAAGCTTATGTCAGTAGGGTCAGTTAGTCTTTGTACGTATCAAGGATATCATCATCCTAGTAGGTTAATATATATCCTTCTTTTCTTTTCACCAACGCACCTTAGTGTCTTTCTCTTCTTCGTGGACGGTTGCTCGAAGCTCATGCGAATAACATCAAATCATCCTACTGTTCGATATCAGTTAATGCATCCTTTTTTTTTTTTCTTCTCACCAACGCACCTTAGCCTCTTCGTCATCATGGTCGTGTTCGTCGTCTTCTTCGTAGACGGTAGCTTCTAGCGTATGTCGGTAAGGTTAGTTCGTCGTCGTTCACTCCGGTGCAAGCCGGTTGGACGTTCGTAGGAAAGAGCTGGTTGGTCGCGCACACAAAGACCATCGCAGAAAAGCTATATCGGTGGTATTTTGGTTTTGGCTCGACTCGACCCGCGCAGTTCTGGGAGTGGAGTTCTAAAAACAGCAGAGGTAAGTCCTGCTTGCTTGCTTGCTTGCCTGTCTCGCCTTGCCTTGTCTTGTCTTGCCTTGCCTTGCCTTGCCTTGCCTTGCCTTGCCTTGCCTTGCCTTACCTTGCCATGCCTCGCCATGCCTTCGTCTTCGCTTGCCATCAGCAAATCGTCTTGGTCTCTTCAACTCGCGGATATATTCCTCTGTGTATACCGTGGTCCGGATACGCGAGTACTCGGTGCGTTTCCTCTTGGTGGCTGACCCGCGGCAAAACTCTTTAGCGACTAGCCGATGCGATCGCTTCACCGCTCTTCTTATAACTCGCATACTATGCCGGTTTCATTCCCAGAAGGCACCCGGTGGCGAACCTTCTTTTAGAGAGGCACCCTCGCGACCGCCTCGCCCGGATTTATTTCTTCACGGCGAAATTATTTTTGGGATCTTTTCACGCGGTTTGTTAATACACCAGCCATCGCCTTCGTCTCCTCTCTTTCCGACACTCTTCCGTCCTGTATACCGATCTACACTCCACCAGAGAGAACAGACTCGTGTCCGATGATCGACGAAAACGACGACACGACGGAAAGGCTCGATCGCTCTTTCTCGCGGACTAAAATCAGACCTGTTTGCCACACGATAACTTACACGGTTTTAGTTGTCGTTACGCTGTCGGCTCATCAACTTCTGTGTCCTTTATCCTGGATCGATCGCGATCGATACCGAGAGGATTCGTTCGTCTCCTGATTACGCGATATCAACTATGGCTATTCGATACCTTTGCACGTAAGTTTTTTCATCATACTCTGCGACACATGGGCGCACGTGGGATCAGTCGCGTTGCTAGGTGAATCTGATGGAAGCTGCATGCACGACGAAGGTTACTGCGATCATGACACTCTGAAAGTTACACTGTTCATCAATTAGCATACTATAAATGTAGATCAACGAATCTCGTCATTCGAATCACTTTGCGCGAGGCTTGTCACCTTGATCATCGTCCAAATCGTACGTAACGACGACGAATACCTTGTCCACGTTTTTGTCTACGTCTTCGTCAACGTATTTGTTCTAATATTTCTACGAATCGAATATACCGGAGCCGACCTCCTTTTCTTTCTTCAGCTGAATAAAATCGATCGGTTTCGTGCAATGGATTAGCGCAAAGTAAAGGCCAAGAGTAGTTTACACGTTAAATTAGTTCGCACTTTCACTAGCCTCTTTACACGCGTTTTATCTTCTTTCACCTCGTATAATCTGCAAGAGTTATTTCAGGGTAAGTTTGCCGCGCTCGCGAGCACAGAAGGGTGAATGAGGATCAATTTGTAGCTCGTCACTCGACCACCTTGAAATCTCTTATAATGATCGTGTTTTACCCCCCTTTTTTTTTAAAGAGGCGCCTAGCAAGGTATATCTACTTTCTTCGAAAGTTTTCTTTACAAAAGTATTGTATATTGATATTATCATGATAGAAGCATTAACCCCTTTAATAAGCTCGATACGAAGCATTTATATATTTCTAAATAGCAATCCTAAGCTTCTTTAATCTTTTCGATCGAGCAAAGGTTTCGTTGATGGTCAAAAGGGCTTCATCCCTCCCCCCATAGGATCAAGGAACCTGTTGCTCCCCTATGCACCGCCACCAAACTGATACAGGGGTGCAGTGTAGTTGGAAGCAACCCGAGATTTCGTTCGATTTTCACAGTACGAGTCACCTGGTGACGTCAGGTCGGAGTTTGATCTCATTCTCTCTCGTTTTTGGTCTGGTGCCAAGTGCGCAGATCGCACGTGCCTTGGTTAAATGGCGGCTCTTGTCGGTTCACCATGAAACGCGAGCTGCTTCGTTGAAAAAGCTGATTGCGAATGAAGCTTATGTCGATGGATCGTCCAGTCGGATGGATCATCTGGATGGTAGGATGTGTAAAGTCTTCCCTGAAGTCTGAGTTTATCTCCAACTCATGAAATCTGTTCCTCTTTGTTAAAGGAATTGTTGACGAGGTGGATCATTCGAATAACTGGAACACGTTGATTCAATTCTCTCGGAACGCTGCTCGCAGCCTGTGTTCTCTGTTGATCTCTAGGAGTACTTATCGAAAGTTCGAGGGGTAGAGAACGACACGTGTTCGTATTTTATAAGCGGGAGAGATTTTCCAGCGTCGGAACAAGATGTTTCTCGAGCCGTGGCCCAGGATGAGCGGATATCCGGTGTGGCAGCAGACGCCTGGACCTCGAATGTCGTGGATAGAGGGACAGAAGCAACCGTTAAGTCGAGGAGAAGTTTGCCGGAGTCAAGACGGTTTGGCGGCCACCTGGTATTTTCCTTCAACCAGCCAGACTTTTCTTCTTCAAGGGGAAGTTAACTTTCTTCGATGGTGACTTCGCTAATGGCAAAGCCATCTTCTTACTCGTAGGATTTTTTGTCGTGTTTAAAGATTCATTTTAATGATCTGGAGAATGTTGTTGTAGGAACGGATTTGTTTTTAGAAGTTAGTTTTTTCATGGCTATAGTACTGTCACTTTCTAACTAAATTCTAACTAAAAATTGAAAGGAATAATCGATACTGTCAAGGTTATCGCACTATAATTTTATTATTACCATTGAATTCTGAACGAATTATTAAAGCTTATTAATTTTCTATCAACAACCACTGCCACCAAAACAGAGTCCGTTAATATGATATAAGCTTGACGAATAGATCTTTTATACATTTATTTCTGTAGCTGGGTCAAAAACATCCTGCATCCATCCTTGGTTCACTCATGACCCGGCTACCGTCGCTCGAGGGTTGAAGTTAAAACGCAAAATCATCGGCTCGTATTCGTACATATCTAACCTAAGGTACAACACATATTGTCTCCCGATATTCCATCGATCGATGCTCTCCAAAGGTATTTGTTACGTGCATTGTTTTTCCTTCGCACCGTCGAGCAAAAGGAGATCACGAGGGCCGACATCCCTTTTACACGGTGCTCTAAGGTATCCGCGTCTAGTTAACCGTTCCCTTTTTTCCTCGCTTTTTCCCCGCTTTCTCCGGGGCGCACATATTTTTTTTCACAGGGTTACATGGGACACCGTATTCGCCATGCGATCGAAACCCCGTTGCATCCTACGGGATATCCCGTAAGTTCACCACTTTTACTCGTCTTTGCTATTTCTTCTTGCTATTCCCTTACCAATACCGATATCGATACTCCAGTATCAGTATTCGGTTAATTTCAAATGCATTAGGCGAATGTAATCAATTCGATCGATGTCTTTCAAGTGATCGAAATTAAATTCGACCAATCATTATTATCGTTATTACCGTGACAATATTACCTATTCATGAATATCTACCTTTTCAGCTCATTTTCCTTTACATTCGAACGTATTTTAAAGTCTTTTTATTAAGTGATGAATAAACCGATCAGTATTTAGAGCGTGAGGGAATTAAACTAATAAGACTTATTTACATAATTGACTTAAACACGTTTTGCAGGATGAAAATAAAAAACAAGGGAATGAAACATGAGGTCGATAGGTCGAACTTGTTCCTTTTCGATATTTGTAATTTATAGAACTGAAAGCGTAATGTGCATCAATTAATCCGTTACTAATATTAGTCATTGCCACTAATCACTGTCACCTGTGTTATTATAAAAACAATAATTTGGTCATTTGCATTATTCTGTTTTGAAAATGATTACTTTAGCCGACTGGAATCGATTCGATTCAATTCGATTCGGCGACTGAAACGGCAGTGCGATCTGTCGCGCAGCGATCTAATATTAAATTCTTCAGGAAAATCTAGGGATGTCGATCTTCATTAGCGGCTGAAGGCACGCTTAACCGTGTGACCTGGTCGATCCAGCCATAATCTCGTAAATAGAATCGTATCGAGAATGACAGAAACGAAACGGAAATAGACGTTGGTTCTTGTAACTATTCGCGAAATAATCGGCATTGTGATGAACCGCATATCACCGAACCAATTATTCTAGTTCCATGCAATTTGCCACCCCTGACGTTTATTCAATATATTCTCTTCTATCGTTTCGCGATCTATCTTCTCATTTCCTTCTCTTTTCCATACCATTGTTATACGACGTATGTATCTAAACGTTGTCTTTAAAACATCAAGACTTTCGTAGTTTTTCATGTAAAAACTTATCCAAAGTATCTCCCGTAGACTTGCATGCTACAGAATGCATAATGTATCGGTGTGCCTTCACAAAAGTAGCTTACAATTTTGTATTCAACCGAATTCAATTGTCAATTGACAATTTGACATGTTATCCATTGTTGCAAGCACAATTGCTACATAATATTTGAGCGTTTAAACAACCTGCATCGTCATCGTTGCCGAGACTGACTTGTGTACCAATAATTAGGTATTCATTTTCGTTCGCCTATTGTACCTAGTATCCCTGTTCTAGATTTTTGAATATGTCGTTTCGTAGAAAAATCTTGAAATCCCGATAAGAGATATACAGTCGTAAGAAAGTTGGTGTCTGAGACGCGCGATACGGGGTCTCCCTATGGGAAAGCATGTGTCTCTCTGCATCCTGTCCGCTATATTCCCCGTGCGGTTCGCGTGTAAGCACGCGTATACACAGCAGGTTCCATCGTAACGGGGCGAGTGTCGGTTATCCATATCCGGAGAATATTAATTACTTATCTATGTCCCGTTTCTCGCGTCTTTTCGCGCTCGGTCGACGAGATCGATAGGCTAGGATATATTGAACACTTGCCGGCTCTCGACGGGTTAGGTTATCCGACCTCTGTAGGGGGACAGCTACATTGCAGCTCATGCATAATACATACGATCCGACCTGGAGTAGATTTATATTTACCCGCACCTGGGATAATTCGTTAAATATCGACAGCCATTGGCTGCCAGCATCTTTGCCCTGGAGATTTTTTCGCCCAGACGATGATTCGACGGGACATTTTGACACTCTTCGTTTCGACTGCCTTTCCTTCATTGTTTGTCCGTTTCCTGTTCCATTTGCTCTTTCTCACACGGGAACCAGAGTCCCACGGTGTAGCTTCTATCCTTTGAATTTTGAAAATCTGAGCGCATCGATAAGAATTTACTGATGATCCATTAGGATGGTATTTAACCCTTCCGGTGTTTAATTTCGATTTCTCCACGGTAGAATATGCGGAAAGGTAGTGAATTTTATTGTCGTAGAATATGGAGATTTCATTTCATTTTCCACGACTATTGTCGGATAAAATCTAGTCACTGAGAGGGTAGTAGCCATCAGACGTCTCGATTTGTCGTTTAATATTTATTTATCTTCTCGAATTTTCTAGTTGATAAGTCTACGAAGATAGGACCTCCGTGTTTCTCTACCGGCAACTCGACCTATTCACCGCGAATATTTGATCAATCGCCTTGTCAATTCTGCTGGAGATCAGAATATTTGTTTCTGACATCCGTGTTTTTCTCTTCGAATGATAACGTTCATTCTTCTGGTCAATTTCTAAGTTTTTATTCACAGGAATATATTTAAAATAATTGAACTTGAGAGTTGATACGCTATAAAAGTCACAAAGTAAATTTGAAATTCAAGATCAGTCGAAATTAGGTACGTTTTAAGTAGGTATTGTTGGAAAATCTGTGAAAATGAAAAGTTTTTTTCAGAGGGGCGTTGGTGGATTGCTAGTCAGATAAAAGCGTGATACATGCAATTGTTAAGTACTGAAACGCTTTAAGTGAGTCCTGAGAACATTTCGATAGCCTAATGATCTCTCGTATCGAAGAAGATTACTATTATTACTGTTATTCTTATTCTTCATTCTATATGTACGAATGTATCATAAAAAAGCGCCTTTTAAATCGGCATACGAACGATGTTACGAAACAGCAAAAGAAATCAATTTGTTTCTTTTTGCATTCTGATTATATATGTGTGCAGAATTACACGTAAATTTGACATAAATTTGACTGTAAACAATTTTGTCACTCTCATATGGGTGGCATCGATGAAATTAATAAAGTAACTCGTTTCGAGTGATCATATAACGAAAACGTAGATGAGGAGAACAGCAGGATTATAATAACTGAACGGAAGTATGGTATGTAAGTTGTAACATGTAACGCCTGCTGACTCGCGTATAACGACAAAATGCATGGAATTAAAAATCTGATGACGGTTTACGCTGCAATAAACAAGCTACCTACTGTATATGTATGTACAGGCTGTTGGTTCAGCTGTGACTTTTATACCGGTACACACACTGTACTTGCATCGAGGTATTGATACGTAAAGACGATGTTCTCATTGTGCGTGATATCGTATACTACATGCACGCGTGTGACTAACTAATCCGATGATTTCAACTCCTTATAAAATTTTGTGTGGAACAATTTGTTTGGTTTTCTATTTTAAACAGTTGATTGAGTTTATTTTATTATACTGACCCGATGTCACATTACGTGAAAAAAAGAAAATCTCACGTTATCTAATCGATAATCATAGTTTAGTAAATATAAATTTTCTATAATACAGTCGTTATTTCTATCCATGATCGTGCACTTTAGTGAGACAGTAATGTAACACGTTGGTTAAATACTTTAACAAAGTGTTATTTCTGTGCAGAAAAATATTAATAAAGTGTAAAGATGCCACTTTTATGCGTGGTTATCTAAACCTTCTGCGATTATAATTTACACCAACTATGACGTGATTGGACTTAAACTTTACGAACAAAGTTTATGAATGGGCTCATATTTCGGTAACTTTGTGTACTCTTGAAATCTTCAGCTGTGAAAATAATACACGTTTTATCACTTTAATACTTTACGAAATTATTACAATAATATCGAAATTATACAACATTTTCTATTTCTATTTATAAGGAATTCCAACATCTTTTTATTAATCTCAAATAATTTTTTGGGATTTTATACTGAAAGATTAAGGTTTCCCATTCGTTAGGATAATTTAGGACGAACGATACCCTAAAATGAATATGAATTCAGTTAACAATTAAGTATCATTACACAAAATTGGAAAGAATGTCGCTTCATCCGCGGTCGAAGCTAAAATGCCAGCGGGACTATTCTACTTGGAAGTAGCGCGCATGCGCGGCGCAGTCAGCGTCGCGCAATTGGCGAGTCGGCGTCTGACGTCGATCTCGGCATTAGCCAATCAGCGTTGAAACCTCAGTCGACGTTAGCTCGGCGTGCCGAGGCGAACTTCAGAGACGAGGTGGACCGACTGGTATGTGCAACACGGCCAGACCCCCTCCTCCTCTCTTTTATCATCCTTCTCTGTTTCTCGTGCTCTCTCTTTCTTTCGTTCCCGTGCTCTCCACGCGACTTCCTCAAATCTTTATTTCAGGCTCGACCGCGAACTGGTCGAGGCGCGCGGCCCGCTTTTTTACCGTCCGATACGACGCTTCTAAATTTGAATCTTCTACGGAGCAGTGCAAATCGACGGCTCACCGCACGTGAAAAATATTTTAAGAAAGAACGTGCGTTTCTAGTCATCGTTTCTAGTCAACCAGGATATTCTAACCTAGCTAACATTGGTTCCTGGTTAGCCTGGATCCTGAAGAAATCCCTTCTTCGTACGATCGTGCACGTTACTGCATACGAGAAAGACGGTTCGTAAAAGTGATCAAGCATCGATATCACGTTTATAGAAGAGAAGGAAAAAGTACGTGAAAGGAGAAGAAGAAAAAGACGTAGAAGAGGATCGAAAGGAAGTTGTGTTGTCGTCGTTGTTACGAATCGAATACGTGATTGGCTCTTGTCCGGTGTTTGACGAACCGATGAAATCCGGCGTGCGAATCAAGTGACGCGTGTTGATTCGATCGCCAGAAAGGAGTGCAAGTTGATTCGTGCCAAAAACTTGTGTATTTCTACGTAATTGTTTTAAAGAGAAGTTTTGTTTTGATCTTAAAGTTGTACCTTTCGCGAGGGTGTTAGTGGGGAGATATCGATCGCGGGACCATTGACGTCCGTTCTGGAGAACGAGCTTTTCTCCTCGCACCTTTGACTAGGCTAACCTCTCGATAATCATATTTTCTCACTTTCGGTACATACTTGCATATATATTACATTATATATTGTATATACATATATAAATCCTACGTGTATCGTCTGATGTGCACACGTACGAATGAAAATTAGATGCTGGCTGGTTTTCAAGAGTTTGAAAAACGTGCCTGTTTCCAAAGTAAACTGTTTTGTGACAGATGGAGGCTGTTCCATGAATCTTTAGTTCGATGTTTGTCGAAAGGATGTGGATTTGAAAATAAACTTAACCCGCCGGACATCGTCTGTGATCGTAACGCATTTGAAAGAAAATCACATTTACCAGGCAAAATTTTCGTTAAAAAATCCATGGAAATTTTATAGACATAGAGACTGGTGGATTATTAGACATCGTACATAACCGAGTGCCTGAACGCGATTCTCCAACTATATTGTGATAAAAACATCTGTGAAGAGTGCGCGATCTCCGCCATCTTTGTTTTGATATCGATTTAGTGTACGCGAGAAGATCGATCGATTAGTGAACGGGCCATCGAGATGTTCGACTGATCGAGTTCATTTCAAATTGGTGAGTTATCAGACACGGACTGTGCAGTTGTATATTGTTTATCAACAATAATTTATTGAAATATTATGTTTAGGTTATTAATGTAATATATTACAAATGAATACTATTTTCAGCGATACAAATTGTAATCTTTTTTTTAACGTTTATTGATGTTTCATTTTATTTCTTTTTCTATTGCGTCATGTAGTTAGAATTACACGAATCTTCAAAAAAGTTTCAATGTCCTCTAACACGCATATTTTCGTTTTTTTCCTCGCTGATGTATTTTTTTATTTGCAAACGACACAATCGCATGATGTATCAACAAGCAAATCGACCTCGTGATATCGAGATAATGTCGGTCCGGTTGCAGAACTACCGAAGGAAGCGGTTTGGCAAAGTTCAACGTATCGTGATATATACCAAGTACGCGTGATGAGCATGGTTTAAATATGATAAAGCTCGTCTTATCATAACCCATGTATTGGCGCTCCTATCGAATTTGATACACCAAATTAAAGTATTCCATCTGGGTCTTAACCTAAGTAACGTGTAACGCTCTTAGCATTAATAATGTTTCGAAGAATTATTAATACCATTATATTATATTAATACGTTGTATGGCACTGGACAAGATTAGTCTTTTAGTTCCCCGAGATTAAGCGTCGTTCTTTGCGATCCATTCTAAGATGCGTGGCGGTCAGTTTAATAATTTAAATATTTAAATATTGAGTATCCGATGTTCATTTGTAGATGTGATTAGAAGAAGGAAAATGATGATTTTCAGCTTGACTATAGAATAGAAGATATTCGGTATTATAGGTGATAGAGTTTATTTTAACGCAAGTGCAAAATGTGACGTGTATAGAGAAATACGTGCTGGTCGCTGACCCTCGCTTCTATGCTCTTGTATAATAAACCGAATTCGATCGGACGAGACATCTCTCTTACTCTAGCCGTCTATGTGTTACTTTTATTGTCACCAGCGAAGGAAGCTTCGGTTCTATTGCTTTTTCGCTCGACTTCGTCCCTTTTCCACTGCACAATGCCCAATAATCGTGTAGAGAGTTTCGTAATACGAATCATGCACGATCGAACGATCGATTCAGCTTCTATCTTTTTATTTGAATAAAATATAAAATTCATCAACGGCATCTTATCTGTTAATATTGAAAATAAAAAAAATACCGTGAATCGTGTCAGTCGCGTGTTTTAGAGGTTGACCGGCGTCGGCGATATATCGGAATCACTTTTCGATTCGATCAGACTCAATGGATCCACGAGTGTGATATAATTATTATCGTCGAGGGTGCAACATAATTTCGCGATGCACAAGATAGTCGCGACAAAAATAACGTTTGCCCGTGAAACACGCGTTAATTCATATAGCGAGAGATCGCGTGCTCGGAATGAATGAAAGGGGCTTCGGTAAATATAGTTGATGGAGCTTAGAATTAGAACGACGTTAAAGCCAATGTTTTTACTAGAGTGCTGTCCCGCGGCACTCAAAATTTAACCGCGACTCGACAGCCCACACTCGATCTATCGAATCGAACCGAATCGATCCGTTGAAACGTTCGAGTCTGATGCAACTTTGTTAGTTTTACTTATTCCATAGAGAATACACTTTGATTTATCGATTTACGTCCCGAATCCAATCTTGGATTATTTGAATTTTATGATTTATCGCGTGGACCGAGTGCACGTTGTAATTTTCTGTTTACAGTGAATGAAATTTCATTTATAAAATCTGTTATTCGATATTCGATTCGGGGAATTCTGTATTTTTTTAATTGTATAACTTACGCGGGCAAAACCCTAGATAAAACTAATGTAACTCAGCGAGCTACTCGTGATCATCCTTTCAAGATACATAGCATATCTAATCGTGTCTGGTGGCAAAGGTAATTCGACTTTTCTGCTCATCTGTCGCTGACATTGCGTTACCGCAACTTAATCGTTGATTACCAGTAACGTACGCAGCAATTGTCCTTTATGATAATGGGGTGTATAATTTAAATTGAAGATGAGAGAGCGTTAAACAGCAAACCCATTGCAATCATTTTGGTCGGGAAACTTTGCTCTTGAATTGAATATTGCTTACTTGTACACTTTTTTTTTTTTTTCATTTTTATTCCACATATCTTGCACTAATCATCGTCACGTTATTTCATACATTAGAGGATGCTTTTACGAGTGTTATCCCAAGTTTTTAGCTTGTTACACAGATGTACTACTAATTAACTTAACACTCATTTTATTTAATGTATTCTCTTCACAAAAAAAAATCGTAAACAACTTGATCATTATCCGTGATCTTGTTGTTTAATACATTTCGCCATAAAACAGAAAAAGCACAATCGAAGGTATTTCTGAAATCGTTCACGGCACTCAAACGGTTAATTGGCACGGGGATAGGTCGTGCAACGTAACTCGATGTACCCTGTTGTACACTTTGAGGAAAACTCGAGCGACAAAGTCGATTATTACGTACGTTAATTATCGACGATAAAATGAAAAACGATCGATCGTTTATTACGCATTTACGCCGTACTAATTGCTGTTACGTCGTTATTATTTACCTACGCCTTGTGCCTCTTTAATTTTACCGGCGTTTGCGGAATTTCTGCTTTGTTTTTAGCATTTTAAATAAATAAGGAAACTTCAGAAACAATGTATAGTTAATAATATTAAATACAACAAAAAGCTTTGAAAGAATTGTTAGTTAAACCGTAAACGTAACAATAAGGGGTGATGATGAATCACGAAGAGAATCGTTCATTGAATTGTCCAATTCACAAAGGATATTCGAATTTAACCCCAATAAATGAATTAAACTGCTCCCTCTCTATATAATATATACATTCAACCAATGGAATTCTGTGTTTCAATAGAATTTATACGTTTATTCGTGAAAATATTAAATTAGACTCAATGTATTATAGAGCTTTCAACGCGTTGAGTGCCACGTGGATCATCGCTCTGATCCCACGATATTTGATTAAAATTAAACGACAATTTGAACGATAAACTGATAGCATATAAAAGAACAAAAATTTGCGTACAGCTCAATCGTTATGCTTTTTTAATTACATTAAAAGACAGCAGAGAACGATGTTGGGTTGAATGAAAAGCAGGAATCACTCGTTATTTTCCATCGAATTTCATGCATTATCGAAGTACATACTTCACTTGTACGCTGGACATTAATCGATACGTGAAAACGAGACACGTGTTTTGTATGTTTCGCATTAGGCTTGGACGCATGGTCCAGTTCTGTCGGGAACTCGTAGGACGATACACACTCCACCTCTCGCACTCTAGTTTTCTATGGGCCGGTCCTTTTTGTTTTCACGCCGGTTGAAATCGCGCCCTTTTGTTCGAAAGTTGCCGCCGATTCAAAAGGCGCGGCAATATTTCAAGCTGAAATTCAACGAAGCGGACATTGGGACGCTTCGTTTACATCCTCTTTCCAATGATTACATTTTTCTCACATTTTTTTTAAACGTTCACGTAGAAAAATTAAGGGCTTTCATTTCTCTGTTTAAAATTTAAATACGCACGAATAACAATACCGTTTGTCCTTTTTGTTACAGTGTTTTTAATATTCTATCCAGTGGTTCCGAAGAGCTGTCCCATCTCCACAACGCCGTACAAAAATGGGTCGGAAGAAGATTCAAATTTCGCGCATCACGGACGAACGGAATCGTCAGGTATTCCTTTATGATTTAACGAAATAATGATCATTGAATTCAAGAAAAAAGAAGTGCGATGAACAATCAACGTATTAAAGGCTAATCAAAAAGTAGATCATACTGTAGCAATGATTCACATATTAATGTAGAATGATCTTATCCATTATATAACATTTACTCAGCGTTACACTGCGTGCTTGTTTAATTACCAAAGAAATCAAAATAAAAGGTCAACTACCATCGAATGTATATTACATCACACCCACCGATAAAGTGTTCGAAATACGCGATCGATATCGCGTATATCATCGAATACTTATACTAAAGTATTTACACATCAATTTGATCAATACGATAACAAGAACATGTTTCACCGATCATTTTTGCCAGACAAACACTGCATAACTTTATAATATACAGCGAACAGGTTAATTGTTTGATATCGTTATCAAAATAAACACTCGGGAAAAATCTCTTTTTCATTGATAAGCATTATCTTCGTATCCAATCTGATTGCCGGTGATTAACGAGTTCTTTTCGGTCATCGAAATGTGAATGATTTCGAATTTGGTTTCTCGAAACAGGTGACCTTCAACAAAAGGAAGTTCGGGGTGATGAAGAAGGCGTACGAACTGTCGGTACTGTGCGACTGCGAGATCGCCCTGATTATCTTCAGTTCGAGTAACAAGTTGTATCAGTATGCCAGCACCGACATGGACAAGGTTCTTCTCAAGTACACCGAGTACAACGAACCCCATGAGTCCCTCACCAACAAGAATATCATCGAGGTGAGCCGATTTCTCCACAAGTAATTTTCAACATTCCAACAAAACTTTTCCATCCCTTCATAGTGCGAGAGAGAAAAAATAGGAGATAGCATGGGGTAAATAATCGTTTTTGATATGGAGAAAATTTGAAATCGCTTTCAATTGTATTCGAATCCTAAAAAATCTCGAATGCCTTGAGGTCTTCAGACTCTTGAAATTCTTGAAAATAAAGAGCATGCAATGGTATGGAAATTTTAATAAAAATTATTCTACGCCTAATCAATGATGGGTAAATTCTGAATTCTTATGCATTTATAATATGGTAGAAAGTGTAAAAAATATGGAAACTATGAGGAATAAATTGTTGAAAGCGTGTAAGATATGCAAAATATGTGAATGAGGATAATGCTTCGTATCATTTGGAGAGGATACATATTTTATAAAAACATATATTTGCATAAACATTCGTGATTTACTCATCGTTAATTACTCGTAGAATAATTTTAATTCATAACTTGAAATTTACATATTATTACAATTTCGTGTGAGAATCATCGCTAGACGTATGAAACACCATAGCTAATTTTCTATGGTGTTGTTTTTCTGATACTGACACATAGAAAAATCATTTTTTTTCTCTCTCAATGCACAAAGTTTTCCATCCCATTGTCCTCGAGTACATGATTCTTCGTTTTAGATATCGAAGAGTTTTTTTCTTTTTCTCCGCGAACCATACGGACGTGTCTTAAATTCAGATGTCTCTCCTGAATAAAAAATAAAAAACTCGTTCGTTTTATGTTCATTTAAATAATATGTTAGAGTACGTTTAAACGTGTCTCTGCATTTCCAAGGCCGATTAAGGTGAATACACATCTCCTTCGTAAGGAGAAGAGGAAGAAAAAGAAGAAGCAGTGGTTACACACGATGTGTTTAAGTCGTTCAGTTTAAAATAAAAAAGGACAAATTGGCAAAGAAGAAACTAGCGAACGATAGTTGCGTTTATTTCGATCTTGAAAAGTGATTATTCGAAGGCAAATATTATTATGCGAACGTAATTATAATGATTATCTTCTCAGACTCTTCCAGTTCGAGTGTAAACATTATTTTCAAAGCTCCTTCTTATCTTTCTCTCGTAATAATTCGAAACATTTTTTTTTATATATATCTTCGGGACTATCATTTTTATAGTAAGATTATCAGTAGCCCGTGATTCTTCACTTTTTTTATTTATTTAATATTTTAATATACCAGACGAGTTTCTGAATCATACGTTTAACAAGATTTAAAATTACAGTGATTGCAATTAAATTTAGATGATTAATTACTTTTTGTTTGTCAGAAAATTACGAGTTTTTTGAATTAGCGAATAAGCTGTTCAAGTTTTGAGAACAGACAAGTGGGAATGACGGAATATTCCGTATCACGAGGATTTTAGAAACTTTTGTTTCGTAAAGGACGAATTACGTGTTGCCGGCTCTTTATTCTTTTTTTTGTCTTTTTTTTTTTTCAAGGAAATTTGGAGGTACATGTTTATGATGCATAAAATAGGACTATGAATTCACGAAATTCGTAGAAGGAACTGACTATCTCAGTGCTTCTGTCTTGTTCTTTTTGATTTTCGCTATTTTGTGATTAAATTTACATTATAATTTATATTAAATGTCACCGTCGAGATGCGTTATCATTACATAGACGTATCGATGACAAAAGTTGTTGGAGAAAGGTATCTATTATCGATCGGAGGAAAGTAATTGTGCCGTTGGTTCATTGATCGTAAATAATAAATTGAGTCTCGTTGCAATATTTAACTGGCCACGGTGAGTAACAGAAAGGAAAGAGAATGAAGCGAAGTAACTTTACGACTGTCGTCTAATGTAGAATAAACTAAGTCTGAACGATGTTCAAACACTATTTTATACATATATACGTTTCGTACTCTGTGGTGCTCCAAAAAATTAGAGGATCGTGTATTTATTAATTGCTCGTTTACCTAATCCCTAATCACTTATCCAAGGTATCAATGTGCCAAATTGTTGAACTATTTCCACGATGATCGTACAAACTCCATACGAGGCAAACGAAAGTAAGATGGCAAAGAAAAGAAACCCGGTCCCCTAATTACTTGGAGCATCACGTGGTGTGATGGTCGTGTGTGCTACAGACAGCCAGATCCGCATACGTCCATGGACACTATCGCGTGACACGGTCCCGTATGATCACACACGACCAGCTAGATGCGAATGGTTAAGTACACAGAGATGGCCATTGGCGTACGAAAAGGCGAGATTAGAGGAGGCTAGTCCCGCTGTTAGCGCTAAATTAACGTGCATGCGAAGGTTGAGTGCCCTCGGGCGGTGTGGTCACGTGAACCTGTCTGCTGACACTTGCAGGCACTCAACAAGAAGGAACATAAGGGTGCCATGTCTCCAGAAAGTCCGGAGCCAGACGCGATCGAGTACAATCTCACACCGCGCACCGAAGCCAAATACACCAAGATCGACGAGGAGTTCCAGCTGATGATGCAGAGGCACCAGCATAACGGCACTCGGGTAAGTATAATCCAGCCACACCGATCGGTGTTGTCCCCGATGCTCTTGTACGGGTCACAGTCGAATTTCCATCAGACGTTCGAGAGAAAGTTACGTTTCGATGTTCTGCACGCTCGAAGCTGCATTTAATTCTAGATTTTTTTTTTTTGTATTTTTGTTATTTGGATTAACCGTCATTGAAATTTCGAATTATGGTACCTGATAGTCCATAGATTTTTACCGTAGGTATTGATGTTTCTCTTTGGGAACCTCTGCCTCCGAGTTTTCACATGATTGGGAGCAATTCGTTAGTCCTCGTGATTATATTTATTAGCTTTTAACAGCTCGCTATCAAGCAATTTGCCAGTGACGCGGTTCGATTTAATTCGCACTGTTTAATTTGTTATCGCGATACAACTCATAAGTTTATGAAACATTCTGATCGTTCGTTTGTGAGCCAGTTATAGGAAACTTTTCAATGCGAATCTCTGCGAGATGTTAATCTGTTTTTCACCTGATTTGCTTAGCTTTATTGCGTTTAGCTCACCTCGTAACGTTTAATGCGGTATTCATAATTATTTTGGCAAGCAACAGATAACGAAGAGAATGTACTTGTCTTTAAAATTCCATACAGAGGGTTCTGATTATATTCATTGCTGTTTTTATTTCTTCATTTGATTCCTCTGATCGTATATTCTATATTTCTTTCACTTTTTTTTTTGTTTTTCTTTGTATGTATGATATTACCTCGCAGAAGTGGGCAAGGGGATTGAAGATTTAAACTTGAAGACCTTACCAGATTGTGGTGATCAATATTAATGTCATTGTTAATTTACTACAATTTCAGGGACAATCTAATTACACTCTACCTGTATCCGTACCAGTGAATAGTTATGGCGAATCTCTACTTGGATCTAGTCCTCAAATGGCGCACACCAGCATTTCTCCAAGACCGTCGTCTTCTGAAACAGACTCAGGTATGTTAATATCCTATTCTCATCGAACAAAATCAATGAAAGCAATATATCCATGTATCGATCATTTATTTTTCTTTTGTCCAGTATATCCACCCGGAGGGATGTTGGAAATGAGCAATGGTTATCCACCATCAGCATCACCGTTAGGAGGTTCACCTAGTCCTGGACCTTCACCGGCGTTAGGAGTCGGAGGGGGCATTGCAAATAAAGGCAGTAATCCATCTAGACATTCGCCACAACCTCCGCCTCCACCACCACCGCCTCATCCTCATAGGACTAATCTTCGAGTAGTTATTCCAACACCCCTTACGCAACCTCTTTCTGAAGACACTAGTTATGATGTAAGTACATTGTATTCGGTTCATTTGAATACAATCATAAATAAGTGTTACGTTTGAATAGCTGAAAATGATGATGGTAATGAATTAGTGAAGTTGCAAAAATGAATTGTATTTGACTGGTTTCGATCATAAAAGTTATTGAAGCTATTAAGAATTACAAACAGTTGAAAGATCTCTTTTCTGTTATGATACACAGAGTGGTCATGCGCAATCGACATTGAATACACCAGTAGTGGCACTACAGACACCATCAGTTCCAGCTGGATATTCTAGCTTTGGACCAACGGATTATTCCACAGATCTTGGGAGTTTAGCATGGTCTCATCAGAGGTACGTTGATGACTTATCAATGTATTCGGCAGCCACCATGTCCAGCATCAGGTAAATCATATTTCATAATTATTGTTATGGAAGAAAACTATAGTTTTATAGTTTTTCTCCCCTGTGTGGATAGTGATTTGTAGCGTGTTTGAACTACGTAAGCATTCTCATTGTATTTTAATGCTTTTCATCAATCAGATATTTACTCGTACTTATGTTTTTAGAAAGAAGATAAAGTGGTTCAGAAACTCTCTAATAAAGAGCAAAAAGTCTTTGCGACTGTTTCATGATATTTTTCATTGTCTAATTACAGTGGTCTTCCTCATCTAGCTGTGTCGAGTAGTACGCCACCACCAGCTACGTCGCCATTACCAGTGAAAATAAAAAGTGAACCGATCAGTCCGCCAAGAGATCCTCACGGTGGAAACAGTGGTTCGAGCAGCAGTGGACCCAGCAATACCAGTAATCTTCATCACACAACTCTGAACGTTGGACCGTCGTCCAGTACCGGTGGACCACCCCCGCACCATGTACCTCATCCTGGGCCACAATCGTTGAATCTTGTGTCAAGCAGACCGAGCAGTAATCCACCGCCATCTCATTCTGGTAGTATAACACCGACGAACTTACCGTCACCAGGTAACGGTACCGTCGCAGATATCAGAACAAGCCACTCGAACGCGGGTGGGAACGGTGGAAATAACTCGGACTATGAAAACGGGCCGTTGATGAAACGTTCCAGGATCACTGAGGGCTGGGCGACTTAATGTCAATCGTACGGTTACGCTCGATCGTTTCATACCTCTACGTACAACGGCGTATAGTGCTTGTGAGAGAAGTTCCAGGACTCGAAGTTGAAAACTTATTTACACACACGTTTGACCAGTTTGGGTTTAGGTGCGTATGTGAGAACGATCCTCGCAGTCCGCCTGGCTGGTGGACGGAAACACAAATTTGTTTATATTTTGAAGTCCACACACAACACAGAAAAAAAAAAAACACATTTGTTTGACGATTAAATACGGTGCCATAATGTTGAAGCGTTACACGTATATTATATATATATATATGTATATGTACACGCATATAATATATGCGCGTATATATATGTTATGGATACATAAATATATAGATACATATATATTCATGTATATAATACGAAGTTGTTTGTATATATGTCATAAATTCATTGTCATTTTCTTCGTGATATGGCATATTGTGTCTTTGATACTTGTCGCTGGGGCGAGGTTATTCCTTTTTGAACATAAAAAAGGAAAAGGAATCAATATATTAGAGATGTTAAATTGAACCGGGAGCAAGGCATTTTGGGGAATAAGTGCATCGACAACCGAATTTTTAAGAGCTTGCGAACGTCTATGATTTTACGGTTTAGAGATTTACAAAATAATTGTACTTTGTTACTTGTTTTTTTTTTTTTTTTGTGCGTTATGGTAGGTAGACAAATCGCGGCATAATCCGTTAATTGATGTTTTACACACGAATGCCGAGAGCGATAAACATAATTTCTCTCTTAATTGAATGCCTAGTCAGAGAATAATGATATTCGATTAGTGTATAAATTTTGTCTTACAATTTTTATAATCGCAACATTTCTTTCCTTTGATGAAAACCGTACTTTTATTTTAAACGATCAGAATCGATCGTGTCTAACTTTTATTATAAAGAATATATTATATATATACATATATACGTATCGTAGATCGTCTAATCTTCGTTTTAACGATTCATTAAGTGTCAATGATTTGTCCTTAAATAGTAAGGTTTTCTCTTTTTCTTTTCTTTTTTTAGCGAACTAATTAACGGTCTATGTCCGCTAATAAAACTGATAAATGATAATCGGCTGCTGTACTCAAAATAATTACCGTAGAAAACACAATCGGAAATTAATATATTGATTATTACGAGGTAATAGACGAGATATATGCATATTATATGTGAAATAAGCATATTATATATAGCGTTGATTATTAAAAAAAAAAAAAAGAAAAGGTATATTCACACGAACTAGCATATGTATACATACGTACATATGTTATATACATTTTCCACAAGTATTTTGCACATTTGATATGAAGAAAGAAAAAGAGGTAACACGGAAGGAAGAAACTTTGCAACCCTTAAAGCCTAAATCATACACAACGAGAGCTTGTGTTTCATGCAAGCATGTATCATCAAATAGTAATGTTAAATGAGAACCAGCAGGTTCATTTTAATCAGTGTTTAGGTTAAATTCTCTCATTGCACACAATTTCTCTATGATAATTAGAATCACAATAAAAATGAAATATATATATATAAAAAGAATATGTATTAGAGTACATACGTTGTAAAAATGTTTCTATAGAGAAAATGATAATCGTTTGGCAAGAGAGGGTTGCAATTGTAAAATACAGAATTGTCTTCTTCCTAAATTAAACCGCTTTGAGATGGTCTCAGCCTATGCTTTACTCAATCTCAGGATATATCCTGGTGTGAAACTGCTCTCAAGAGTCGTATTTGGTACATTAATGTAATTAATTAACGTAATTAATGGAATACACAAACGGTATATGAATAAATAGTGCCTGGCACCATTTGTGGCCCTCCTTTGGGTTGACTTACCCATGTTGTCTGCACAAGATAACTCGTCGATGAGTTTGGTGTTAAGAAGAGTATATCAGTGAGAAGATACAGAAATGAAATAAAAACTAAGAAGCAAGAAATAAAGTGATGGTAGAGTAGTACAGGGTGGGACAGTATAAAGTTTGTTGTACCTATATTACAATTAGAGGAATTGTGAACTCTGTTTTAAAACGTTCTCTCGATGAATCGGCAACCTGGGAAGTCAGTCTATATTATATTGTAACCGAAGATTATATATGCGTACGTTAAACAAGAAAAAGAGTCATATAATCTTCGATATTAATTTGTTTCTTTACTAACGTATATTAGAAACGTATCTGATGACTGTACGAACAATCGGTGTGCGAAACATAAGATACAATGTATAGTCACTAATGATTAATCACAAATTTTTAAGATGATCACAAAGTGCAATCTCTTAGCCAACACACTTTTTTATCAAAGAAAAAAAAGTATAAAGAAATTGTTATTTTTCATAAAGAAAAAAAGTAAGATTTAATGTATTAAAAAAAAAAAGTATAATGTATATATATATATGTCTCCACTAGTTATTAAACATTTTCCTATTGATGCAAAATTTATTGTATTTGAACTGATATTATATATATATATATTATATATATATATATATATCTCTGAACTTAAGTGTACATGCCTGAATTAAATCCTTGAAAGATAATCTGCGATACTTTGCATTGGTTCTAGATCTTAAATCGTAACAGGTGGATCATCGAATAATATAATTACTTGTTAATTATATTATCAATTACCTGATATTGTACAACCATTTCTTGGCAGCAGCATTTCGAATTCATTATTTTGTGCTTCGTTTGTTCGTATGATAAGAACATTTTGCACAAAGTTTTACATTACTGATTTTTGTAATAAATAAGAAAATTTCTATTGAAAATCTTAAATGATTTTTATGGCTACTTCAGGCACAAGCGATCCTGTATAACCAGCGAGTACATTATTGATCCTAAGTTTGAAATTTACTCATAAAACGTATAAATACATCATTTTATATATAAATTAAAATTATCTCTCTTTCTTTTTGTTTCATTTCTGAAACTTACGATTCAATAGTGTATATATGTAGAATCAGTTCTTCTTTGCATGAAGCACAAAATTCATTTATACAGTGTTATAAGTCGTGTATTGCATACTATTCTTTCGTAAAACTGTAATTAGAATTTATTTTCTCCTTGAATTATTAATCTGCTTGAGAGAAGTTGTTATTAGTCGATCCACCGATCCACCTTTTGATCTTGTTACAAAGGTGAACGTCGCGATACGTAAAGCACAGGGCAAGGATTATATTTGCTTACCGATCTATTTTATTGTAAGGATGCACACGAGAAAAAAAAATTAATGATACGTAGTGGTACCTCTAAAGGTAGGAAACTTGTTAAATGGTGTACGTTAATGATAAATTGTGCGTACATTTTAATGTATATTTTTAATATGACGAAGTATGCGTAAGTTACACATATGTACACACAAGTACACAGGCGACAAATTCGTACGTGTATCCCTTTTTCATCTCATCGCATCTCTCTATTTCACCCTCTTGGCGGGCACAACCGAAACCTGTGCGAAGAAGAGAACAAGTTGGAGCGTATATCTTCAGTCCTCTAAAAGCTCTTGTTAAATGTTTAACAATTTACAATTTATAACTTGTTACCAGTGTGATTAATGTTAATCAGAGATTATTTACTTATTTATTAACTGTTATATACACATATATATATATTTCTTGATCTACCATAGAGAAGTATGGTTGAAGGAAGACTCATAAAACGCCCTGTCATTGAGTTCACTCTATTGGAAGTTGAGGATCCTCGGAACTCGTTTCAGTTGTATAAACTAAATGAAGATGATAAAAAAAGAAAGGTTTCCTTTTATTCTCTAACGATATCGAGGTGTACGGTTGTGCTCGCCCGAGATACACAAACGAAAAGAAATATTGAGATATATATATACACGTAAAGTGACGGCGATTATATATATATATATATATTATATACAGTAGTTGAAAACTCAGAGACTATTGAAGTTGTTGGAACCGCTGTGAACGAAATGGACCATCATTTAGAACATGTTGTCGTATGCAATTTAAATTAGACCACGAGAATAAACGTAGAAAACCAGGTAGAGCTTTTGTACGGGAGCAAAGTTTGTTGGACATGATCGTTAAGTGAACATTTTTATTGGGCGCGTACAGTCGTGTGAATAGTAGCCTTTTCTCGGTTAAGGGAAGTGTAATGGGAGTGGCTAAACAGCCGACGCGAGCCGAACTGTGCCGAAAGCGAACCCGAATGAGTCAGACGAGAGGTGGGGAACGCCTTCCATCGCTCTACCCTTAATCGACGAAAATCATCTATGCACACCTGTGTACGAACTTAAACGGATGCTCGTTTCGATTTTTCCATCCCTCCGTTATATCCTCTTCCACCTTCTTTTCGATTTTTCGACGATCTCGAAGAATTTGCGTGTGTAGTTTCAATTTCGAATATTCGTATACCGTGCGATCTTAAAAAGATATTAATCATTTTAAAAATAATCTTTTATACACTCGGGCGTATCAGAATATTCGAAGTTAGATTAATAATTCATGAGATACTCGGAACAACTTTGACGCTTCGATGTTGTAGAATAGAAGAGAGCGTAGAGAGACAGTTGTAAATATAGAAAGAAAAAAAAAAAAACTTTAGTTTAACGAATCGATTGATTAACCTTTTGTGCCTTCGAGACGAATCGCGTTGCGAACTCTACTGTCGGGAATCAAGGTATTTTAAAGCGACATTTTTCCATTTGAAAACTTCGAAACGATCTGGATTCAAAGAGTACAATTTTGAAACGAGGCTCTTCCTATTCGATTCTTAGTAATAACTTAGAGTTTCACCGTTTCCTATAGAAACACTTTGTTGGAGAACGTTTTTAATATAGGAATTCGTTCACTATGATGGTGAAATGTTAGAAATTTTCAGTCTCAAAACTCCTATTCGTTCACGATCACCATCAATTTACATAGAAAACGAACCGTCCCGATGATAAAGTGTTATGATCGTTCGCCACGTTAGATTAGCGAACGAACTTATCGGAAAACTTAAGAATTTCTCTCTATTTGTCCTCGTTGTTGAACTCGTGCAATTGAGTCACGAAAAATCGAATCGAGCGTCCGAATTCGACGACGTTGTAGCTCGGGAGGCGAAGACCCCCGTGAGTCAATGGTGTGAACGGTGAATCAGGGTCGCAAAGATGCACAAGTATCGGTTAACTCTCGCACACAGGTCGTAAAACTGTGACAAAAAAAAAAAGAAAAAAAAAACAATACAGTAATGCTCGGTGAGTGGTCGCAAATTTTGCCCGCTTAATAGTCGTGGAGTCTATACATCTCATTAACGATGAAGCAAGTGTTAACGGCCCACCGAGATAAAAGTCATTGAAATTTTAAATTTTCTACGTCACACTGAATTAATATTATTAATATTAATACTGCAGTGTGAGCAATCGCTGGAACACTAACGGAGCATTACTGTATATAAAGGAAAATTCAGAAAATTTAAGCGAACATACTAGCCACAACTGTTTTCACCGCGGAGTACATGAACGTACATAATTATATGTATATACACATACACAAACAGATATATGCGCGCATATAAGAGTAAGTTTTAAATACTGAACATATCTGTAAAGCCACGTAGCATCACGTTTTTAAAGGTGATCCAAAATACACACTACTATTTTATCGTGAACCATCGGTCCGTACGTTTTCTGGCTGGTTTGACCGTCATTCGATGTTGATTCGTTCTGTAAATAAAATAGGGTAAAAGAATGAATGAAATAAGAAAAAAATTACGTATATATATATATATATATATATGTATGTATGTATATGGTACATAAATATATAGGATGAACCTCGCTCGAAGAGATTCTTTTTCACATGATCGATCGAAGCTTGAAAACGCACGGGACTACTTGTATGGTTATTAATATACTTTTTAAATATTATTGCATAACGATACTGTTATTTGTACGATACATGTAATATGTACAGAGGATTGTACATCGAAAATAGTTTCTCCTATTCTTTTTTCAAGATATGAAAGAATATTATTTGATGAAATTGTATGGTGTGAAGATCGTAATGTGTTAATAATAGTTTCTTCTATGAATGGAGATTTCAAGGATATTATATTACTATTTTCTTAGCCTTAATAAGTCATAAATATTGTAATTGTTAAATTAGTTATGTCTCCTATTCAATATTTTTCTAACAGTAAATTATTTTATAAATAATATTCTTCCATATTCTTAGAAATAGCAGAAACATTTTCTATGGACAAAGTTAATGCCCCGCTTTGTATATGTACAATTATAAGAAATGATCGTTTACGTTGTACTGTTAAAGAGCGGCCCATCGAACGTCGAGCGGGGTACAATGAAAGGGAGGAAAAAAAGAATTAAGAGAAAAAGAGTAAAGGAAAAAAAGGTGTATAAAGGTTTTTAAATAGACAACACACAAATACAGACAAACACAGACACACGTACTGTATGTAATACCGAAGTTTAACCGCGTAACGTGCTATAGATATTAAACTATTATGGCGTATATTATAGTTGTGCGTTTAAGTAGACTAATCGATCCGTGCTGATAAGCGGAGAGAAGAATAAGATTTTTTCGTAATTTGTATAGTGCCATTACCGTGAATTTCACCGATCCTCAAGAGAGACGAACCGATTTTTATTATTTTACGTTCAAGTTGCCTCCGTTTCTTTCTTCTTTCTCTTTCATTTTATTTCTCTCCTGTTTGCTGTTTTCTGGTTCCCAGATTATCCGAAGACTCTTGGTTTACAGGCTCGTAATCGGTATTGATCGTCAAGATCGTTGTACAAAACCGCGAGATGAATCTTTTCTCTGATCTTGTTTCTTCGTTGAAGAATGTTACACCTAAAACGACAGAAGATAGATTAAAAATATGGCCGAGTAGAATGGTATCGGCATTTGTCGCGTGAAAATCGGGCACCTACGAGTCGCTTCTTTCATTTTGATCTCGATTCAAGGATGAATACTAGTGCAATATTAATGCTACTTAAAATTAATTTTTAGTTACTTTTCTTTCTGCTACCTTACTGTATCAAATTTTTTAGTTTTTGATCCTTCCAAATCTCTTCAGGGATTTTGAATATTTTCTTTTCGTTGAAATTATACAGTATATTAATATTTCTGTGATGTGTATAAAATTATTATTAAAAGTACTCGCCATTGCCCGATTTAAACGTGATAACATTTAACACGTATTTCTTTGGTGCTCGACATATCCGGTCGTTGTTACATGTTATATTATTGTCAATACGTTATAATAATAATAATAATAATAACAATAACAATCCATCGTGATTATCATCATTATCATCGTTGTCTCGCTATTATTACTCTTACTGTTATTACCACACAACCATTACCACTACTATTATTATTACTCTACTACCGTTACTACTACTATTATTACTACTATTATTTGTATTATTAATATTATTATTATTATTATCGATCATGAACGATCATACCCGTCGTATCGCCTATTGCTCGGTCAGTATGATGATGATGATTTTTATTGAAATTCAAGCGATGATAATCGAAAAAAATGATTTCGTACGGTCACTTGTGTACATCACAAACTCAATCACACACGTACACGAACAATATGCAGAAACACATAATTACGTGCATATACATAGGCGCGCCCCCGAGGAACATTGTAAACACACATTGTGCTATATTTCAGTGTATCAAGTGCATAATGATATGATGTTTCCCATAGAATACATTTTACTTGGTTTTTATATTTCGCAGTATTTTAAACGTTCTCCATTAAATATCCATTCTCCTTGTTTTGTAATAAATTGTTTGTTGTACTAATTTGCCAGCTGGCACAAGCATCAGGCTTGTTCAAACTGAGTAGTAGATATGGAAATATTTTTCTAACGGTTCGTTGTTACCCTGAAAAAGATATACATATAAAATGAATTCGAGTTCCTTTGGTACCGGATATGATGTCGAGAGGTATGTGTGCGACCAAAAAAAGAAGTCGTTGGGTCATATATGTACATAACAGTACACAATGTATAGTTAGTGGAAACATTACAGTATAATTGTAAATCCACTAGCGAACAATATGATAGAGATATATAGGAAAAGAAACTAGAACTCGGAGCTCGGTATGAAATATTTCAACTGTGATTTAATTTTCATTGTTATCGTTATTATATAAATGTTTAAAAGTGTTGAAGTATTTTATACAAAGCTCTTTGGTCCAATTTACAAATATACTACGTTTCCCATGACTATACTTACAGAACTATTTGTCCCACTGTTTTTATTAAAAAGAAAAAGACAAAAAAAGACCATTGAATTGTAACATATGTAACGTGGTCCATCTTTAAAATAGAAGAAATTCATTTTCTATCTTATAATAAAGTTAGAACACATTGTAAAATTCCGATTTTCTTATTTCGCGGCAGTTGTGTGATTTACTTGTTTCGATACCGATCCAAAAAGAAATAAACAGCTCATATGTTACAATTTAATATAATTATACGAGTAGAACAAGTACGTATGTATCGTTGTATGAACTGTGCGTTTGTGTCTGCGAACGTGTGCGAATCTACTACAAACAATAAGTATGTTACATTAAGAATTTGATCAGAATCCATTTTTACGATTCCATTCAATGATCGTAAGTGAAACTCGCACACGTTCAAATCAGTGGTAATTTAACTAACATCGTGATATGTCTGTGACTACTGTAAATTCTTTTCTCTAATCCAACAATGTTTCATTCATCGTTTCATAATTGTGAACGTTTCTTCCTCATTAACAATGTGCATCTTCGTTGTTCAGTGTCTCCAAACGTGTAAAAGAAACCTTTAACATGTTCCATATTACATGCTTTCTCTCTTCGATACTAACTTCAATTATATTTCATTTCTTTTTTTCTTTTTTCGAAATACTTATGGATCATTTTTGATGCTCTTCCTGTATCAATCGTTACAGTTACGTCTCTCTTTCTATCTCTATTTTATTGACAGAGAAAAATAATACACGGTTTTCCTGTGTAAAATACAACATCGCACGACGTGTTGTACAATTTGTACCTGTCTTCTTGTTGCTCGATCATCCATCTCGACTTCTTCGATCTCGTACTTGATTTAGCGATAATCTGATTACCATGTATCCGTGCACACACACTCTTTACGAACAATGTGGTATACTATTTGTATAATCGGTGTAACGAGACACGCTGAGAAGCGATGATAACACTGATATGCATTTTTTGCACCGACGTACTAACACAACTTTCATTGTGACGTCCACTAATGTAAATTTATACGATTGTAAACATGTAAGATCAGCCGAGGAGCTCCCAGTTAGATAGTTCCACGTCGTTTGTATTAAGTTTCACGTCTCTACGACTAAACTTTAGATATTGCGTAAAAATACACTCAGCGGTTTCATGTTTATTACATATCGACTATTTCGGTGTTGTTCTACCCAAAACATAAATTAAATATCAGTCTTTGGTTCGCTGATAAATGAAACTTTAAAAAGTATTTTTTTTTTTTTCAAACAATAAGAACGATGCAAAAGTACCTTACATGTATACGATCGTATTTTGTCCTCTGTAGAAATGCCTTATTGTCACGTGCCTCGATTAACAATTAAACTGTTCACCTGCTTACCAATTACTTGTTAGTGTACGTAACAAATATGTACGTGTAATATCGCGTTATTCTTTGTACTGCTCTTGTAAATATATTCTGAACGATTAACTGTCATCTTGTTGTCGTTTATGAAATATTTTTTGACAATTTTGCATCCGCCGCCTAGACTCTGCCTCGTCTCTCCGCAACTTTTTCCTTCTCATCATGATTTCGTGTTGAAATTTTATTTCTACTTTTTAATATACTCATTGCGCGCTGCGAAAATATCCAACTGAAAAGACACAATTTTGACTCCCTTTCATTGTTGTATTCACGTAGTTGTACATTAAAAAGACCGCCATAAATTAAAATTTTTTAAATTCGATACTATCGCTATCTATACAAAAACGGCGGAAACTACTCGACAAGTTACCAATCGATTTTTAGTAAGACGGGAACACTCGCTCCGTCTATCGGAAATCAGTAGAAGCTATTCGGCAACTTGTCGAGTAGTTTATGCCATTTTTAAAGATGTGGCGCTGGGATCAAATTTCAAAAATAGTAAATTTATGGCGATCTTTTGTGATTTTTAAAAAAGAAATAGAATCAAATGGAAGAAAAACTAGTGCAGAAACTCATTAGAATCATGAACATGTTGATTCTATTACATCTGTGTGCCTCGCCTATTATTTTATCCTTTTATTTATTATTTTACCCCTATTTCCGGGCCTCGCGTGGACCACCCTTCCATGTCTTATTATTTTATCCCTCTTCATGAGCCTTGGCTCAACCTTCCCAGTTATTTATTATTTTTTTGTCTTTAAGGACTTCACGAGGCCCAACCCTTTATCACTGCATCCCTTACATGTCTACATCCTTAACATCCCTGTATCCCTTATATTACTACATTCCCTATATTCCTGCATCTCGTATATGCCGGTATTCCTTACATCCCTGCATCCCTTACATCCCTACATCACTTACATCGTTGCATTCCTTACATCCCTGGAAATCCTTACATCTCTGCATTCCTTACATCCCTGCATCCCTTACATCCCTGCATCTCTTACATCCTTTCAACCCTTATAATAAATATATTACAAATAACATACTTATGGCCACTGGTTCGAGTAAAGGTGAGTAAAGGTAAGTAAAGGTAAGTAAAGGTAAGTAAAGGTAAGTAAAGTCTCATGAAAAATAATTTTAAATTTTAATTTTTGCAAAATTCAGTTCCTTTTTTTGCCGACAGATGGCGCTGATTCGACGTCGAGATTTTAGTTCACATTTTTGCCGCTAGAGGGCCAAAATCTGTGCATGCTTTAGTTCCTTTTTCTGAAACCAGATGGCGCTGATTCGACGTCGAGATTTTAGTTCACATTTTTGCCGCTAGAGGGCCAAAATTTGTGCATGCTTTAGTTCCTTTTTTTGAAACCAGATGGCGCTGATTCGACATCGAGATTTTAGTTCGCATTTTTGCCGCAAGAGGGCCAAAATTTGTGCCTGCTTTAGTTCCTTTTTTTACCGCCAGGAGGCGCTATGATGAAATGCTTGCAAAAGGGTTGTAAGGATGTAAAAGGATGCAGCGGTGTAAGTGATGTAGGGATGTAAGGGATGCAGGGATGATGTAAGGAATGCAGGGATGTAAGGAATGCAGGGATGTAAGGGATGCAGGGATGTAAGGGGTGCAGGGATGTAAGGGATGCAGGAATGTAAGGGATGCAGAGATGTAAGTGATGCAGGGATGTAAGGAATGCAGCGACGATGTAAGTGATGTAGGGATGTAAGGGATGCAGGGATGTAAGGAATGCAGGGATGTAAGGAATGTAGAGATGTAAGGGATGCAGGAATGTAAGGAAAGCACCTGGGATGTCTGGGACCCCTCGAGAACAAAAGCACATCGGGTCCTTTTGCATCTGTAGTCACCGAGAAAATCCTGCACACGGCATTCAAGTAAAAGTAGTAGTCAATAAACCGGTTTTCGACTGTATCGCAATAATTACGATGCTACTACCTGTGCCATGCTATCCTGATATTATTGTCTAGGAGCAGGAGCTAGGAACGAACTAACAGTGCGAAATTCTTAGTACTGATTTATTTAATTTTAACAATTAAATATCATTAATATAATACATTCATATAATCTGTATATAATATATACAACGCATACATATATACATATCCATACATAGTTCCTATCCGATAAATCTCAATAAGCGTAGGTTGATTTGCACATATGTACTTCGATAACTTTTTACTATGCAAATAATTTCAATTAGAAGATTTATAATTAACTTTCGCGTTGGATGAAATCTATTTTATCGTATTCACGAGATAAGCAGATCGGTTCTTATCCTCGCCATCTGCCGTTCGGCGATGCTTGCATCTTTAAGATGTAATTTCAATTCTTCTACAAGAACCATTGCTGCATAGATGGAATTATCGTTATCCGGGAGACTTATGTCTGGAAATTGATCTCGTAGAAGTCGTAATATTATATTCATCTGATAAGCAGATCTGTAATTACACGAGCAGACACATTTAAATATACAATTGTAAAATCTATAGTAAAATCGTAGAATAGTTGTTTTCACCTTGAAAAGATTTTCAGCCTTGCTTCTCCATTGACAATAGGCTGTATCTCGATTAAACAGTGCATCAAACTTCCGGTTGCGTTCACTACGTAAACATCGGCACAGATTTCTACGAAATAGTTTTTTTCTAAAAATCCTAAAAGATGTTCTCCTCTCTCGAGATTTCCTTCGATTTTGATACCAACAATTCTCTCAATTGATGCACTTTTTAAAGCTAGAATACTGTAATTAAAGTCGGTCGAAAATTTTATTCCGCAACTATTATCGACCGTTTCTTTGACACAAAGACGAATCTCAGGTACCGGTGTTTGATACTGCTTCTCATTGATTTCGTACGCAATCGTACCATAAACGTCACAAAAGGAATCCTTATGAAATTTCGGTAAATCAAAAACAATCGTAGCTACAACTTCCTTATGCGATTGAATCTTATTCGTTCTGTACCAAAATGGTCCATCCATCAGACACCAAAACATTGACAAGCCACCAATTTCCTCGACTCCATCGATGGTCATGTAACATTGGATGTTATTTAATGTCCTGAAACAAAATGAAAATTTCATACTTAATAAATATATTTAATTAAACGCTTATTGATAATTAAGAAACTTTTATTTAATTAATTCATTAAAGTATGTTCAGTGACTACAAATGCAAAAGACATGTCTTTTTGTATTCGTAGTCACTAGTATAATACATGTATTTTGATAGGCCGCGCAGGCGTAAGAAACGTCCAGCGGTAAATCGACCCGCGAAAATGTCAGCCAATCAGCGAGCCCGTACTAGTCGGTTGGTAGCAGACGACGCGAACAACGGTGTGTGCTCCTTTAGTAATCTGCAGGATGCCGCCGTGATCGTGTGGCGTCCGCATTTTTTCTTCGATTGGTCAACTGTGTCACATGTGTCATGAGTTTGTGTACAGAAAACCATACGAAGACGATTGTATACTGATTTATAAAGTGTTAATTCATCAAAAATCGATTCCAGCAAACGAATCAACGCAAATCGAAGACAAGCGTTGGATTTCGTGCAGGGGTTGCAATAGATGCATCGTTGAATCCTGACATCGGGGCACATATGTCCGCTCCAAGTACGTATACATAAATCTTTAAGATGCTACTACGAATACAATATTAAAACAATAAAATTAATTTATTTATTATATGCGACAAAATAAAAAACAAGAAAATGGTATTCTCTAACCTATTGACCTAGGAAACAAAGTAGACTGCAATCGACTGCATTGTACCTAAAATATTCTTCGTCCGCGTTCAATTGCGACTCATTTGATTGTATAATATATAAGTAGATAAACGAAGTTTGTAAACTTTGTATCGAATGATATTAATTTTATATTGAACCTACTGGACAAAGATGTATTACGTTATGTTTAACTACGTACATTGTTATTTGTAGAACCTTTGTTCGTGTCACAGAATTGATCAATTAAATGCACAAGGAGAAATGTTGGTCGCGTGAGCGTTTTATGCAATGTAATAAAAACTTATCGATAAAGCACCATCGATCCTCGAATCAGTTGTTCCACTTTACAAGTATTGCATGTATTGTTCTGGAATGGCCTTGGATCTTCATCGAATAAGCAAACATATATGTATATTTTATATACAGCATAATTTTTTTTCTCTTTAAAAATATTACTGCGTAAAAGAAAAGTGATATTTGACGATTGGAACGATGCGATGTCGAATCGATACTATCGGTGCCCGACCACGAGGTATAGTTTTCTATCGAACAGTTTGCAATTATCCTGAATATCGATCGGTATCGATAGTCATCCGATACTTTCGCAAAACTATCGATAACGTATCGATGACACCCTCGTATTATACTTGCAGATTGATTTTTTCTAAAGTTACGAATCTAATAAGCAATAGCATTAGAAAATCACTTTGAAAGGGATAAAGATTTTCATATATTATGGTTTCTACAATATTGCTACACTTTAGGGTTTCCAACAGGTTTGTCAAACACACCCTTACGAAACGAACACGTGACAACTCCTGAGACTGTTTATAACGTGTATGCATAATGCACTTCGATAAACCTCTTACGAAACTGTACATAGGTAGTCAAGTATTTTTTTTTTGTTACCGTCATTTTCGACGTTTGTTTGTTCTATTAAGTATAATTAACGTTTCCAGCGAGCAATTATCGCTTGCAAAAATTAGACGTTACGAAAAAGTAACTGTACCTACCGAAGGAGTTCCGTTCGAACTTCGTTCCGAACTTGAACAATTCCTAAATAAGATTTACTAGTTTCATTTATTACATCTCGAGAAAATTAAGGATCAGAAAAAAAAAGTATCCAACTGTCCGTTCCGCCGTCAGCCTCTTCTATAGGCTGAAGTAAATTACCAATGCAAATGTTCGTTTTCTGTTTCCATGATCATCTTTTGCAATCCAGGAGAAAGATAGGAATATTACATCGAATGTTTCAGTTCGCTATGAGTACAGGAGGAAGATCGTCCACCGGGAGAAGATGACCCCGCGACGACACGTGTTCGCGGTGATACGACGAACGCTACTAGCTGCTGGTATCCTCACGTTATTGGTGTTGGCTTTATCGAGTCAGGACACCAGCAACAACACGCAACAAGGCCTTTTGTTGGAGGTGAGTTCGATTATTCTATGCCCAAGGATTTCAACCCTTTTGTTCTTCGAGAAAGAAAAGAAAAGCTTGAATTTATAGGGTACAACTATTCAAAAGTTTTAAGATTCTAATTCAGACCAGCAAAAAATTAGGTGGATTGCTTTCTGGAGAAGAATCATTCTGGAAGAATATCAAGCACGATATTCTTTAGAAATACGGATCTTTTGTAGAATGTCCTCCTTCGAGGAAATATCCTCGAGGGATGATCTTTTATTTTTATAATGTTATTTTAGAATGGAAAATTATCGACCGGATATAGGGCTTGAATTTTGCCTGTGAAAAGGGTAGTTGGATAAGTTTGTGGCCTATCTTTACCGGGACACTCATGGACATGGAGATATAAAAACACCTCTTCCGGTTGTAATTTGTTTGGCGCGTCTTCGTATATTTTATGGATTATTAGTGAGAGATAATTGAAGGCTTTTAGCTGGAATTTTGACTGGTGATAACGTGGAAGGGTTTGGATAACCGGGGTTATCTTCAGAGTACACTCGCGGACGTATAGATATAAAAAAGCTTCTTCCTGTTGTAACGTATTTAGTATTTTGTAAATTGTGATTATTTACGTATCATTTGAAACCTTCTGTCTTGTGGCTTTCGATAGTTTGAGAAAGGTAATTTCACTCTTTTTTTACCCCTGTGCAGAAGAGGTCGAAAATGGTCTCCTTACGTAAAGCAATGCTAGCATAGATTGGCAAAGTTCCAGGCGCAATGCGGCACACAAATGTAGGTGTCTATGGCTGCCTGACCGCCCCTTTAAGTATGCAAAGGGTGTTTTGCGATTATCCCTTAAATCTCGATAATTACTCCGTTGATTGCCGATCGATTTCTCACCGATACGATGCGATATACGATTCCATTTCTCGTTCGGTGTCGTTTTACTGGATATCGATTGCGTATCCGTCGGTAAACGCGAATTAATCTCTCATCGTTCATCCGTTATAAAGAAAGGAAAATGTAACAAGGTAGTATTTTCGTATCCGTGTTGATTTAAGAGGAAAAAATATCACGGCAAGTTTCGTGACGCGACGCAGCGATGATCCGGATAACTCGAAGCCACGTTTACAGTGGGAAAACATTCTAACCGAAGGAAGTTATACAACTGGATACTACATACGAAGCGCCTACGTAAGCCTGCAAATATGTTACATAATGTGTACGCATCGTGGTCCATCGGAATCAATCAGTACCCATACGAAACCGAGGACGCACCTTATGCGTCCTATGCTTTTTTACATCAACGCGAATGGAATTAACGAGGCCAAGTTACATCTGCCCCGTTCACCAGACTTAACGTCATTAGGTTTCTTTTTAAAGGGCAAGACGTTCGTCGTGAAAGAGCAATACCTGTGTTGCAATGATGTCACTGAATAAAGTATTACTCATCGCAACGAATACACCGATCATTTTGTATAATTTCTTACGAAACGAATAGGAAAGAAAACAAAATCGGTTACATCCGCAGGCTATGCGGAATATGATTGTAAAGAGCGTAATCGAGTGAAATCGTGTTGACGGTACCTGAATAAATTGAGCACAGGAAAACATAACTGCGTACTTGATGATAAATTGATTCTTAGAAGATGAAATCACGCTGAATACAAAGAAGCGTAGAGTAATTAGAAGGGTGCGGTACGTGGTAAAGTACCGTCTTATCTTGAAGAATTTTACAAAACGTAAATCTCCAGTCTTACTAACAATAAGTCTTAAAGCTCGCGATTGGAAAAGTTTGTACAGAAAAATAACAGTTGAAAATCAACGGCATTGCAAATTGAATAATCTAAGTATAAATATAAAGCGCTAAATAAAGCTGGAAATAACACCGATTCGGTATAGCTGACAATTAGAAAAGCAGTAAAAATTGTGCGGTGAGTCAGAAGAGTTAGAACCGCAAAGGGTTAATAAATGTCCTTCGGGTTATCAGATTCGATGCTATCTATGGAGAACACGTAAGGTGCACGTGCACGTGGATGATCGGGAAGTTTAGTTGGCTACACCAGCTGTCTGGCCCATTTTCGCGACGTCTACGACGACGTTCGGCTTCTAGAGCGGAATCAATAAACGGAAGCCGGTAGTTCTGCGTTCGACATTTCCGCTTTCGATATCATCGAACCGCTCTCGACCCTCTTCTATCAGAAATATATTAAATAAAAAGAGAATTTTTGAGTGGAGAGAATCGCGCAACCCGTAAGCTGTAATTCTATTTAATCCGAGGACCTTGGAATCGGTCATCGGTTAATCGATACCTCGCGTTTTTACAAGTTAAGCGTGAACTTTAGAAGCATCGTGTTTCATTAAAGAGGATAACTTGTTAACAAAATAACGTTAACGAACCTCGTGAGAATGAAATACTAATAAAGGGAAGCTCCCTCTGATTTCAATCTTTCCCAGCCGACATTAGTAATTAAAAGTAAACTTCCATTTGAGCGGTGCTTCGAATCCCATGGGGAGAAACTTTTATCATATAATTATACGATTGTTAAGAGTTTTTTCCTGTAAGAAAGGTGGTCAACGATGCGTATTAAACTGCAATGCGGCAAGTAGGCGTACTCTAAGCGACTATACGGACAAACTGCGGGCACCGAGCGTACCCGATTAATTGCAGAAATTAGGAAATTGAATTAACCTTGCGTGTATGCCGTGGAAGAAGGTCGGTCGGTGCACACGCAGCATGCAAGAAACGCACGACTTCAAAGAGGCGAGCTTTGAATTCTAAAGGTTTTCCTCTCTCGGGTTTAATCGGCTGAAAACCTACAAGCGTTTCCTCTTGATTCGAAACGTTTAGTACAATCACTGTCTAAATGTTTTCTTCCTCCCAAATTTAATCTAATTTTACGAACATTCATTTCGACAGGAGGATTCGAACCTAACGCCGGAGGAAAGATTGATGGAAGAGGCGACAAACGCCGAAACGGAGAAACGATTGAACGCTAGGAGGAAGTTCCTGGCAGAGAAGTGTGCCGAGGAGGGATTAGACCGGCCTGGGAACGACTCTCTTCATAGACCGAACGCCTGGGAATTCCTTGTAAATAGAGAGTATCATTTGATATGGTGCAACGTGTTCAAAGCGGCTTCTACCTCCTGGATGTACAATTTCAATCTGCTCGCTGGGTAAGACATCGAGTTTTCTAACAAGAACCTCACTGTACCGAGGTGTATCAATCATTTCAGATACAGTCCACAATTCCTGAAGGCTTCAAAAGCCGTACCAGTTTCCTTGGCGAGACAAAAGTATCCTCGACATACGGCAGAAGAATTGAACAGGTTCCTGAACGACAGTATCAGCTTCCTAATCGTTAGACACCCGTTCGAGAGGTTGCTCAGCGCTTACAGAGACAAATTGGAGCACAGTTTACCGCATACATTCCATAGCAATCTTGGAGCTCATATCGTTTGGCATTACAGATCTAGGGTATGTACCTACCTTCGGTTACAGGTAAGGATCTTTGGATAATATGAAATTATTCCTTCCTTCTTTGAATACAATTAGGATCCAAAAACAAATGGACGACACGGTCCGAGGTATCCGCTATTCGAGGAGTTTGTACGATGGCTATTGTGCCAGTGGAAAGCTGGCAATGAATTGGACATGCACTGGACACCGGTGGTGAACTTCTGTACACCGTGTCAAGTGAGATTCGACGTGATTGCGAAATTTGAAACACTTCACGTAAGTATATTTTCTGAAGAAAAATGAATTACACGATTAAGGTGAACTTTTATTGAGAAGAATGTTAATGGTCTTTGAAGGAAGACCAAGATTATCTCATAAAGCAAGCGCACGTAGGCCACATCATTAAACCAGAGTGGAAGAATCCCACCAGAGGTGTCCAAACAAAAGATGTAATAAAAAATTACTTCACTCAGTTGTCTAAATCACAGATCAAACATCTCTATGAGATGTTTAGGTAAGCAATTATAATTTTCCTCCTAAGATGAAATAACAGTGAAACGAACAAAACTTTGGTATTTCGTTTCAGGTATGACTTTGTGCTTTTTGATTATTCTCCTGACGATTTTATCGCTCTTGGAAGAGACGAAGACAGTGTACTAATATGTAAAAAATAATAGCAGTACTTCGTATAGTTTGTAAGTGCATTTAGCATCTGAATTTCATTTTTGTTTGAACGCATTACGTGACGCTCTTTGAGTAGCGTTGATTACAACGAAAATATTAGATAGGAAATGCCTTTTCAGGGCTAAAACGAAGAGAAAAACATATTCGATCGTGCAGGGTAACAGTGTACGCGAAGACACTACTGCTTTTTTAATAAATGAAATACGGTCTAATAAATTGATGATAGGACTTAAGAGAACTCTTAACAAAATATTTGTAAGTTGTTATAAACTGATGCAAGAGCAGTTTTTAATGAATTGAATGAAAAAAAAAAAATTAGGAATATCTCATTGCTTTGATACTTGAGCTATGAACAATGATGAATTTCTTAATGTATAAGAATCTATAGTAGGAATTATTCTCACTTTGTTAATCCCTACTGCTCAAACGAAAATCATTTGTTTCTAAACAAAGTGAGAAATAGAAAACTTTGTATTCCCATTGAATATAAACAAAATAATTTTTCTTTGTTTGATGGAATTGAATTGCAAAAGAGTATGATGCACTTTATAAAGATTTATTGATTCCCTAATCTTTCCATATTTCATGAGATACATTTATATTTTCTCCAACTTTACATGTATATATTTCTGTGTATATAAATATAAATATGTTAATATAAAATATTGTTATAACAGTTTTTATTACCATTGTACAAATGGTAATAGTACTGCCTCAAGGAAATATATGGTATATAACAATATTGTACTATTAAGATACATTAAATTCTATGGCTTCCAAATACAAGAATATAGGAATCCATGAATTTTAAATTTTTTAGCACTTGCATATCCTTTAAAAAATGTATTTAAGTTAAGCAGGGTTACATTTTCACAATAAATTAGCATTTCTACAATGACTTAATAGTAAATATACCACACAGTGCAGTACTTATGGCTATAATGAAACATTTTTCCAGTATTAAAAGATTTTGTGCAAATGAAACAAAGTTCTTTGTAAAATGGAAGTAGCTTATAAAATGATACAATGTAATAAAATTTAATCCCTTATAATTTTATAAATTAGAAATACAAAATGACAATAATTATTTTGTGAAATAAAAGGATTTGAAAAATTGAATTATATGGAAAACTGATTTCATTTGATTACCCATGGTAAAGTACATTAAATCTTGGAAAATCAAAATCTTATTTTGTACCTACATACACACTACTTGTACTTACTCATTTGAACTGTTCTCTAGTACTATGCCAATAATCCATTGATCTGATAGAATGCGTTTCCATTTATTCTTTATAACTAAGATTCTTTCAGGCTTATGATCATTATGTTTTTTCTTCTTTACCACTGGTGTTCCATCTATGGTATACAACTACAAAGGGTGCATACCAAATTCAATATATTTTTATACGTAGCAAGAATGTTATATGCAATGTTTATATTCCTTTTCATTCCAATTTTATGTAACATTGTAAACTAATTAATCTCAAAGTTTGTTATATCAATAATAGAGACTTCGCAATTTTTGCTCAACTTTTTTCTGTACTATGTATAGTTGTTACTGTATTATTATAAATATTTCATATTATTGTATGACTCACGTCACTATCAGAATCCGAGGTTATATTCTCTCCATACTGAGCTTCGCTGTACAAAGATTTTAAAATATGTTTTGTTGTATCCTGAATTTCTTTAATATCACTGGTAGTTTTCTCAATACGAGTCTGTACATTGGAAAGTTGTTTCATTAAATACTCTTCTATGGGATTACAAGCTGATGTCGGTATCGGTAACTCCTCATCACTAAGCGCAAACATATCATCATCAAATGAGTCCATTGTGTTTTCAAAGGCAAACACAATGTTTGATAAAATATCATAATTAACCTAATAGTCAATAATTACTAATTAATAACAATACAATAAATGACTTCCAAACTATCTGTGATGTTTCGCGGGACCATCGTCAAATGAAGAAAACTAATACTATATACATCCTACATAAAATTAACTGGACACGACTTTCCGCTGAAGCGAGTCAGTTTATTTTTAGATATAGAAGGGGTAAGGGTGAACATTTTTGCATTGTACAATTGATTTAAAAATTGAAACGTTAATTACAATAGAATTTGCAAAATTAAACCACCTATAAAAGGTTTTCTCCCATCCGATCGTTGCGCCATCTATGCAAAAACGGCGGAAACTAGTAGCTCAGTTATCGACGCTTCTCCTGAGGTCGGTAAATTATCGACTTATTAATCAACGTTATCATGGTCGATAAGTTTTAACTTCGGGGTCCCTGACAACCCAGATGCCTAATGTTGGTATGCAAAGAGTGTTACCAATGCTTTGGGGTCCTCAGAACCCCAGTCGACATAATTCTGGTATGCGGTATTCGGGATGCTTTGGGGTCCTCGGAACCCCATGTGAATATAATTTTGCTATGCCGAATCAGTGATGCTTCGGGGTCCTCGGAACCCCAAGTGAATATAACATTGCTATGCAGAATCATTGATGCTTCGGGGTCCTCAGAACCCCAAGTGAATATAATTTTGGTATACAGAATCGACGATGCTTCGGGGTCCTCGAAGCCCCAAGTGGATATAATTTTGCTACGCAGAATCATTGATGCTTCGGGGTCCTCAGAACCCCAAGTGAATATAATTTTGCTATGCCGAATCATTGATGCTTCGGGGTCCTCGGAACCCCAAGTGAATATAACATTGCTATGCAGAATCATTGATGCTTCGGGGTCCTCAGAACCCCAAGTGAATATAATTTTGGTATACAGAATCGACGATGCTTCGGGGTCCTCGAAGCCCCAAGTGAATATAATTTTGGTATACAGAATTGACTATGCTTCGGGGTCCTCGAAACCCCAAGTGATTATAATTTTGCTACGCAGAATCATTGATGCTTCGGGGTCCTCAGAACCCCAAGTGAATATAATTTTGGTATACAGAATCGACGATGCTTCGGGGTCCTCGAAACCCCAAGTGATTATAATTTTGCTACGCAGAATCATTGATGCTTCGGGGTCCTCAGAACCCCAAGTGAATATAATTTTGGTATACAGAATCGACGATGCTTCGGGGTCCTCGAAACCCCAAGTGATTATAATTTTGCTATGCAGAATCATTGATGCTTCGGGGTCCTCAGAACCCCAAGTGAATATAATTTTGGTATACAGAATCGACGATGCTTCGGGGTCCTCGAAGCCCCAAGTGGATATAATTTTGCTATGCAGAATCATTGATGCTTCGGGGTCCTCAGAACCCCAAGTGAATATAATTTTGGTATACAGAATTGACGATGCTTCGGGGTCCTCAGAACCCCAAGTGAATATAATTTTGCTATGTAGAATCGACGATGCTTCGGGGTTCTTAGAACCCCAAGTGGATATAATTTTGGTATACAGAATTGTCGATGCTTCGGGGTTCTTAGAACCCCAAGTGGATATAATTTTGGTATGCAGAATTGTCGATGCTTCGGGGTTCTTAGAACCCCAAGTGGATATTATTTTCGTATGCCGAATCGACGATGCTTCGGGGTCCTTAGAACCCCTGCTGGATTTAATTTTGGTATACAGAATCGACGATGCTTCGGGGTTCTTAGAACCCCAAGTGGATATAATTTTCGTATGCAGAATTGACGATGCTCTGGGGTTCCTAGAACCCCAAGTGTATATAATTTTGATATGCAGAATTGGCGGTGCTTCGGGGTCTTTAGAACCCCAAAATGATACTAGGTCGGTATACGGAGATTACCACTGCTACATCGGGGTCCCTGACACCCCGAATGCCATAATGTCACTCTTTTCTAAATAGATGGCGCAGCGAGCGATTTTCTAAAATATTGTTATAAATAATGTTGTTCTTAATAAAGAAATGAGTTTCATTTGTACAGGGCAGTACAAAATTACAATTAAAATGAAAACATTATTATGTAAGTCATTTGTATGTCTCTATTTAAAGTATTTGTTAATTTGTATTATTACTTTATGTTTTATTATATTAAAACAAATCATTTTGCAGCTAAGGCAAACTTTTCAGAATTTTCATTTGTACCAAAATGTAAACCAGTAAACGATTCAGATGTATTGAGATTAAAGGAATTCATCGATAGCCACAATAAAATATGTATCTTAACAGGAGCAGGAATTTCTACAGAAAGTGGAATTCCTGATTATAGATCAGAAGGTGTTGGACTTTATGCAAGAAGTACTAGAAGACCTGTGTTATATAAAGACTTTTGTGGAAGTGAAACCATTAGACAACGTTATTGGGCTAGAAATTATGTTGGTTGGCCAAGGTTGTAATTTATTCTTTATAAAAACAGCGATAAAGTTACAAAGTAAATTTGAAATTGTTAAAATTATAGGTTTTCATCTGTGAAACCAAATATTACTCATGAGATATTAAAGGAATTAGAAAATGCAAATAAAGTAAGATGCATTGTTACCCAAAATGTGGACAATTTACATACAAAAGCAGGTAGCAGGAGAGTCATTGAATTACATGGAACTGCATTTAAGGTAATGTGTCTTAATTGTGACCAAAGAATATGTAGATATTATCTACAAGATATTCTTGATCACATGAATCCAAATATGACAGTAACTACTCAAATGATAAGACCTGATGGGGATGTAGATCTATCACAGGTGAGCAATAGACAAATCCAAATGCTAGATGATTGTCAGAATTCAAAACAATTGAATGTAAATTTTGACAGGAACAAGTGGATGGTTTTAATGTTCCATCCTGTGAAAACTGTGGAGGCATTCTGAAACCTGATATCATCTTTTTTGGTGATAATGTACCACGTCAAATAGTAGAAAGTGTGAAATACAATGTGAAACATTCAGATTCCCTACTGGTTTTAGGAAGTACATTAACTACATTCTCTGGTTATCGCATAGTATTGCAAGCCAAGAACGCTGGATTACCTATAGCCATATTGAATATTGGTAAAACCAGAGCAGATAATTTTGCGGACATTAAAATAAACGGTAGATGTGGTGATGTTCTTTCAAGAATTTTTATGAGCCCCCCTCCATCACGCTCGGCGTCCCTCTAAAGTCTAGACTATAATTAGCTAATTGCAACGCTATCGAGACTATACTATAGTCACTGATCTTGTAGCGACTTTCTAATATAGGTTTGTAGATGGCATCACTGTTTGAAGATTAACAAAATGTCGCTGACAAGGTTAGTTGTTTGTGATAATTATTTGGCTTTTATTTTCTTTATTGTATAGAAAACTATTAGTTTTAGACTTTCTGCATTATCTAATAGAGTTTGTCTATTAATAGTAATAATAAAAGGATAGTTTTCATTAGCAGGTGCATTGTAGTTGCTGTGGTAAAGTTGACGAGTACTTGTTAACCAAAACGAAATATAATAATGCTTTAATTTTATTTATTATCTTGTTAGTTTACTCACAAATATGCGCTTTTCATTTTTATAATCACTGTACGTTTACTCTATAGTAGTTTAAAATAATAATTATTACCTCTTTCTTATAGTTTGTTACCTGCACCCTCGCAAGTGGTGTGGGACAGGGAAGATGAAGCGCGTGAACAAAAGTTACGTCAAAGACCTGTATCAGCTTTGGTCAAAGCTGTTGTTACTGCTCCACCGTATGGACAACGTAAAGGATGGGTGCCCAGAAACCCAGAAGTAAGTTTGAATAACATTACTTTCTCATGTTGTATAAAACTATCTGTTTTTACCAAACAAACATATAAAGACTCATATATAATATCTAGGATTTTGGAGATGGTGGAGCATTTCCAGAAATTCATGTGGCTCAATATCCATTGGGGATGGGAATGAAAGGAAAAGAATCCACCAGTAATGCTTTGGCAGTTCAACTTGATGCTCAAGGAAAAGTAAAATATGATGTAATTGCTAGACAAGGCCACTCTAAGGACAAGGTAATTCGATGAATTACAATGAATATAAATACTGACATTTGGTATATATATTATTTCTATTGTTTTTCAGATTGTCTATAGCAAACTAAGTGATCTATTACCCTCAGAAATAACTAGTGAAGAGGATCCTACTCTGCAACGTCCGTCTACCGAAGAAACTGATGAACTTACAGAAAAAACCAGAAAAGCTTTAGAAAAAATAACAAGATCAAAAATTGCTGCAGCCATGCCAGTGAGATGTGCTGAGAAACAAGCACCTGCACAATATATTCGATATACACCTTCGCAGCAAGGACAATCTTTTAATTCTGGGGCTAAACAGAGAGTTATTAGAATGGTAGAAGCTCAAGTAGATCCATTAGAACCACCAAAATTCAAGTGAGTTTTGTAATAACGAGAATATTTTGCAGGTTAACACTAAAGAAATTGTGTTCTGAGTAACAGACATTTATTATGTTGTGAATAATTTAGGATTCTTCAATTTCAGAATTAACAAGAAAATACCGAGAGGGCCTCCTTCACCTCCGGCACCCGTTATGCATTCTCCTACGAGAAAAGTTACAGTGAAGGAACAGAAAGAATGGAAAATACCACCTTGTATCAGTAATTGGAAAAACGCAAAGGTAAGTAAATTGTTTCAAATGTAACTGAACAAAACTTTGAGAAAAAACACTGATTTTAGGGCTACACGATTCCTCTTGATAAACGTCTAGCTGCAGACGGTCGCGGATTGCAGCAAGTTCACATTAACGAAAATTTTGCCAAGTTAGCCGAAGCTCTTTATATCGCTGATAGGAAAGCTCGTGAGGCGGTAGAAATGCGAGCACAGCTTGAAAAGAAATTGGCCCAAAAGGAAAAAGAAAAGAAAGAAGACCATTTGAGACAGCTGGCACAGAAAGCCAGAGAAGAGCGTGCTGGTTTGAAATCTGCCGCATTAGGTTCGTATAGAAACTTTATGCACGTTGCATTGATTACTTTAGGGCAGTTGATAATTTAACGATATTACTTAGAAAAATCAGAGGACTCGCGTGAAAGAGATCAACTTAGACAAGAAAGGCACAAAGATCGTGCTCGTGAACGCAATTTGGCGCGTGCGGCACCTGATAAACGTTCCAGACTACAACGTGAACGCGAAAGAGACATTAGCGAACAGATAGCGCTTGGTTTACCAGCGAAAAGTATTCCTAATAGCGGGGAGGCACAGTTCGATCAACGACTGTTTAATACTAGCAAAGGAATGGATAGTGGTTATGGTCACGACGACGAGTACAACGTTTACGATAAACCATGGAAAGATTCTAATTCCATTGGTTCTCATATATACCGTCCTAGCAAAAATATCGATAAAGACACCTACGGAGATGATCTGGAAAAACTCGTCAAGACAAATAGGTCTGTATAATTTTCTAATCTTCTGTCGTAACGTCTATTTTAATTTTTTACTTTGTTCCGTTAGATTCGTTCCGGACAAAGAGTTCAGTGGAACTGATAGATCAAACACACGTTCTGGACCAGTACAGTTTGAGAAAGATGAAGAAGATCCTTTCGGTTTGGATCAATTCTTGAAACAAGCTAAGCGTGCTAGTAGTTCAACTACCACCACGACAAAACGTAAAGATGAACAACGGAGAGATGATCGTGATAAGCGAAGGAAACATTAATTTTCCTAGTTGTTTAATCGTTCTTATTATTTTAGAACAAATTCTAACATTCTTTTTCTCTACACGCGTATGAGTTATTTTGCGAATTAAAATAACGGGTATAACTGTAACTACATACTTATTAAGGAGTAGCCCTTTGTACACTGTATAATGTGTTATTTGCATTAATTGTATATATTTCACTAAAGCTCTAATAAACAATATTTTATTTCACAGGAATGAGACTGATTAGATTTATTCGTTTCAGACTCATAGTTCTTTATTAACACAATGTGCATACAGCGTTCGTTAGATTAACAAAGGGGAGCGATTGTTACCTCTTAATAATAACGTAGTGATTTACTTTCTCATCAAATTTTTATCGAATGCACCAAGTTATTGACACGTTTAATACACGTGTTGCTTTTTTTTTATCGAAGATCGCGTCAAATCGAACTGAATCCTAATCACAGTAGATTCGTGATAATTATGCGTATTGTAATTATGTTTCACAACGTTGTATTGCTTCGATGTCGTACAATCACTTTTTCTGTTCCTGTTCTCACAATTCCCAAAACTGTTCTTTTGAAAATTTCCATCTCTATTTTTGTACTCGTTAGAAACCGTAATTTATTTTTCTCTTGCAATAATGTAACATCGAATATAGATTTATTGAATTTTTTATTCAGTGTATATAAGACCGTGCAAGAAACTTTGATAGATTTAAGTTAATTTTATTTGAAGGGTAGGAAAACGTGGATTCGCGAGCATCAATTATTTGATCGAAAAAGACTCACGTTTCTTATAGTCTTTGTCCAAAAATTGGAAACTGGTGGGTATTGTATTTTTTTTTTTATAAAAATCGTCTTCACATCGTGTACGATATAGGAATCACCAGGCAAGGACGAGTTGTGAAAGTATCTACGAATAAGGATTTTACGTTCTCGTGAACTTTTCTGTAAACAGGGCGACATAGAACATGGTCTTCTTAATCAGTCTTTTTCTTTTTTTCATTCGTAAGAAGATTATCACAGAAGCATTTCCATAAGTTGACATTTATTCTGGTTATTCCAAACGAGCGATTTTCTTATTCGTCACGCAAATTGACGCGATCCTAAGTTATGGTTGATCTCACATTCTTTATTCTATCCACATCCTTACGAGCTACATCAAGGTTTTACCTGACGTTTTTGTTTATGGAATTGTTTCTTTCGCGATATTACAGCATACCGGAGAATTCTCCTGATGAGAAAGACTAGAATTAATAACGCTGAAGACTACAGACTGTTACGGATCATTGGGAGTATATGTACATTCATGGCGAACACTTTGTCAACTGTTGCTTTAAGTTGTGCTTCAGTTATTATCTTTCTTTAATCCCTCAGCTGCGAAGGACGTCCATCCTTGTGAGATTTATTTCATTATTTCAAGAACGTGATTAAGTATTTTCTCAATTTTATAACAATTGAACAACAAACGTTTTACTTATTTTGTAGCAGCCAGAGTTAGTATGAAAGGTAAAATGTAGGAATTCTTAGCTGCCCCTATTAATTCTATTTATTATTAGTTAACAAGTATCTTTGTCCGAAGACTTCTGCTGAATAAAACAAGCAGTTACTTAAGTAACTTTGTAGCAGCTGAAGGGTCAAATAAATTAGTCAAGAAAATAGAATTTGGAAACAGATGTTAGAGTGCTCTCCAACAGCAGTGCAAAAAAGTAGATTACTCCCGTTTCAAGATTGTTAAAAAACTATGAAAATAAATTTGATGGTTTATAAAAAATGTGTTTTACAATGAGAATGCAAAGAAACTCCCAAAGTCCGAAATGAATTGTGTAATGTACAGTGTATGAAACTTCACTGATTAGTCACTTTGAATTGAAATTAATGAATTATATATATGTATATTTTATTACTATTACTTGGTATTGCGATCGCTTGATATATACAAGATATTCACTTTTCCAATGTAATTCCGCAGCGTTTGAAAATTCTCTACTATCTAATATATAAAGTGATTAATCAGTTTCTCATCCCCTAATGATAAAATTGTGGCAGTATATAAGGCATACAAGTTGTCCTCTTTTTATTCGCGAGTTTCCATACCCGTGTTTATCCTTATAACATTATTAAAGTGATCTTCAAAATTGTCTACGTACTACGAGACGAGAAACCAACTAATTCCTATCACTTTTCTTTTTACGTAATTATGCTGTTTTGGAAACAACGAAAAGAAAAATTATTGTTCAAGTTTCAAACACACAAGCAGAACTACAACTTGCATATGATTACAAATGTACCGCAACAATGAAAAAAAAAAACATTTCTTTCTCTTCCTTCTCCCTTTTGAAATGTTAATACTTACAAGACTGCTACATTCAAACTTCCATTGCTGTGATATTAAAAAGTTGTTAGACATCAACATGCACCTAACATTGAGAGGGATTGCTTATCGTTTCCTTAGGCTACGTTTTGTTACAGAATTATCATTGTAATCATACAATTATTGTTATATACCTATTATGTACAATCGTTTCAAGTATAACTACATCGACGATACTTGCAAAAAAATACGACATTACTTAAGAACCACTCTCCAAGAACCTTATTCTTTGTTGCGTTAAGAATAATCCTTTCTTAACGTACCGTAACATGCTTAAAAACCGGTCTAAGCGGTGAACGAAACGATTATTATCTACATACGCAGAACAGATCGACGCGAATCGAACCACCATTGGAAATTATAAATACTATACGAAATGAAACGTATCGATTCGACTTATTTTTGGGATTAATAAATACTATACACGTGCCAGTAAGGGCTATTTCGCATTTCATCTTGCCAAATCTTCCACTCCTTAGAATGATCGCGATTGGATCCGGCCCAATCCCATAAATTTACATCTTGTTATTAGTTACCTTCGTGCTTTCCAATTTTTTTTCTTCCTCCTCGAACCATACTTCTTTCGTCCTTTCCATTTGCCAATTTCTAATCCGGTAATTTTTTTCTTTCTTCCAGCTTCTAAATGTACCTAGTGTCGAGGAAAGCAAGAGGAGTTTCATCCGACAAAGGGACTGCACGACAATTGAACCATCGGCTGAAAATTTGGCTAGGCCAAATGCCAATATTATACTCGGGTTCAAATTACGTTTCCTAGACTCTTCTATACCCCACACGTAACATCATAGTTTGAAATAAAAAATGGGTTCTCCGAAATGTGTCCATATGCTATAAAAAACTATGATGTTACATATACAGGTATACGTATTCTCTTGATAAACGTATGAAAAGTGCATGTTACGCGTTTGATATGCAGCTACACGCGATGCGTCCCCTTGTGGGTATCCAATTTGGTCTGTTATTTGTTAGGTAGCACCGGAAGGATATATTATACTTCCGTGGTGCGACTGTAAGGGCCAGATTCCTCCGATTGCGAAAGCTTTCGTTCCCGTTTGGCGAATAGACCCCCTAAAAAAGACGGCTGCTGAGCCAGTCCCTTAGCACCACCAGGGATTGTAGCCCCTGGATGTATAGGATGTCCCGGATGTTTAATGCCTTGGCTCATTGAGCTGGCAGATGTAGATTGAAAAGAAATCGACATACCACTATCTAGCGAGCCCACGCTTCCACGTCGCTGTGGTTTCTCACCGGCAACTGTATAACAAAGCATCGATATTGAAGGATTATAGGATATTAAAAATTGACATACCAAAAATATTCAGACTCTATAAAGCAGACCTTTCCAAGAGCGGCTCTGGAAGCCGAAGATCCTTCACTCTACCTTCGTTTCCATGGTGTTGGTTGACTTGGGGTGTTAAATGGAATATAGATACTTGACTTGGACTACTTTCCTCAATGATTTGTTTATTTCCCATGGAAAGGTCTACCATAGAGCATCAAGCAATTCTACTTACACTGCTCGTGTATATCCAGAAGCGAGTTACTAAGAGCAGAGCGTTTCAATTGCGTGTCCATGTCGGTGGTTTCTGACTTCTCCGAGCAAGAACCCGGGCAAGGACATATCTCGACATCCGCCACTCCGGAGTCCCTGTTCTCCGCACCTCCTCTGGCACTTCTACTGCTCTTCTGTCGTTCCAGTTCCGTCTCAATCCGTAAGGTTTCCATCTCGTCCATCTCGCTGATGGATTCCCTGAGATCCTCCACGAACTTGCACCTGTCGTGCGCGTTTCTAGCATTGAACGTGACCAACACCTTTCCATCCACACGTTGGGAGAGTCTAATTCCATACGGATAATCTGGCAGAAAGTAAATTTTACGAAATTATTAAGTGTACAATTTAAGGGCGTTCCATCATAGTTTCAATAAAAAAAAAAAAAACTCACGAGGAACTTGAAACAGGGTGACGATCATTCCGCACAATGGGAAGCTCTGTCTGAAGGTATAGGTGACGCTATTTTTCTTCTTGCTCAAGATCTTCGTCACAACGAGCAGATCATTAAAAAGGAACACTTCTCGTTGATGTACACCTGGTCTCTCCTTCTTGTTGATATCTGGAATCTCGTATAGCCTGCAATAGCAGACCAATCTCCTATGTGGCAAAGCCATATTGGGTTTCTTGCCCACTATCGTCGCCTGAACCTTCATCACTTGGGAAACGTGGTCAGATCCAGGTTTGAATTCGTTTTCCTTCACTCTCTCGTATATGCCCATCAGTATATCTCTGTCGATGTCTCCACAGTCGTCTATGCCTCTGAGATTCTTGATGAAATCCTCCAGCCTCATTCTGCGGTCTGGTTTCAGGTTTGGCGTGTGTAAATCGGTGTTCAGCATTATGATTGCGAACGCCAAGACAAAGACAGTGTCTGCTGAACGTAGCCTGGACACTACGTCCGGATTGCATTGGCAGTAACGCTGGCTGAAAATCTCCATCAGTCGTTCTATCTTCTGGGCTTCGCCAGGCATCCGGAAATATGCCTGGAATTTCCTTAGGGCAACGTCCACTTGCATTCCGGATAGGTCTAGCTCTTGGGAGAAGCATCTGGAATGTATAGAACACTTTACAATATTTGCTCCCAGGATCTTGGGATACAATTAGACTTTTATTGCAAATATAAAATTCTACGTGTTCTTTTATGAGGGGTGCTTTTGGTTTAGACTTGACCAGTCCACAGTCAACGTTTACGTTCAAGTGTTTTGGGTCTGGAACACGTGTTCTGTTGTGTGGTCCAGGTGCATTGGTTCATCTTACACTTGTCACGCTAATTGTACAGTACAAGAGAGAGGCTCTAGAGACCCTACTTTAAAATTCGAAACCCGGTCGTTTTTACAATAGACCACCCACGGTGTGCTGCGGTGAAATCGATGTTTCCTTCTGTTTCAATGCCAAACAACTAAACATATCTACTCGATCGAAACAATTACATGTTGAAAAAATTAGCGAGACAAGTGAAAACGGCTTTCTATAGTAAATAATGGTGAAGTACGATTTGGAGCTGTTCGTTTCCGCTACGTCGATCGCCAATCATAGTGATAAACGGTCAAACTTTCACCGAATGCACCATTGCGTCTTTTAACTGCTCGACAATTCTCTTTCCAAAACGACCAGGGAATTACTTACTCGAGCACAGCCATGTTGAAAGGGTTCTGCAAGTTCCCAAGGTACTCTCCTATCATCTGCTTGGACAATCCTTTTCTGCTGATCAAGAATCTCGCTACACCTTGCGGGCTGTTCTCCAAGAATCCTCGTCTGATCAAATAACTGATTCCTCGTTCGGGTTTCTTGTTGAACAAATTTAGGCCTACTCTGTACTGACGTTTCCTAACTGTTTCAGAAACTTTGTAACTCGTCTGGGGTATATTTTCCGGATGGTCCATCAACGGAAGTTGGTAACCGGAACTGGCATGCGAGTGACCCATCTCTTTTACGCTGTTCATCATGGTGCTCGAATCTGTAGTGTGATTCGCGCATTCTTGATGTTCCGGCGAGCTTGACTGAAAAACCGAATAATTTCTGAGTAAATTGAATTGAGAGAGAGGCATCAGCTTTCAGGATACGTGAAATTCTTGCTGTACAAATAGCAGTGAGGTACAGTTACACTTTGAAGTAAAGTAACAAAAAAACAGACATCAATGTTGAATGTAGTCTAGCTTAAAGTGTGAAAAAGCCAAGAGGGACAAAAGGCAAAGGGGACACAAAGGCAAACGGGTAGAACTTACGATTCCTTTATGCTTCCACACAGGTGATCCTCTTTGAGCGTCTCCCTCGGAGCTCTCGCAATTAGTGGAATCGCTGCCAGAACTCTGGACCGAGCTTAGGCTACCGTTCTCCACGCTTTTGCTCAAACCATTGTGACGTGGCTCCATAGACCTTGATGTAATGGAAGACGTTCTTTTTGGCACTTCCGGCGGGACCTTTTTCGCGGATCCTCTCGTTCGTCCGGCAGACCCTAGATGACTGGCGTTACTCCAATTTTGAGGCATAGGAGTTTGAAGATTGTGGGGCGTAGACGGCGAGGTGCACGGGGTTCGAAGCAAGTCCCGCGGAGGTGTCTCTTGTCTGATGCCACAAAGAGCTTCCTGAAACGATAACACCAACACCTTTTTAGTCCCTTCGAAATTCAATTGAAATGATTCGAGGCTTTCGAAGATCGGATTTCCCAATGATCAATTATAATTAATCTTTCAATCACCTGTGGGTTGTAATAATGAATGCTAGATCCGCTCTCCTGAGAGCTAGACTCCCAGCAAGGGCTAGGCGGTAGTTGTTGATGTCTATTGCAAGGGCTGGGCGCCAAAGAAGGCGTGTGTCTGCCACTCTGATGAATATTATGATTCGCGTGCTGATGACCGGTAACCTGAACCTCGCACCTGCCGCTCTGACTTCGAGGTATCGGCGATTGCGAGTTCTCCGCGTGCCTCCTCTCTCTCAGAGACATGCTCCTGATGGGCATAGGTCTGTTCGCCGTCTGCGGCTGTTGAATGTAAATCTGGCTATGATAGACCATCTTATCGTGCTCGTTCATCCCCGTAGCACGATCCGTCGTCTCCTGCAATTTTCTGCTGAGCCTCTTTTCCGCTTTGGCCATCGCGGTGATCGCTGCGAACTTCTTCAACAACGTGTATCTCCTGAAAGCGCGCTGGATGGTCAATGCGGCGTTTCTCGCCTTCACACCGCCATACTTTCGCTCCAGCATCTCGATCTGCTTGTCTAAGAGATCCTGAGACAGCTCGTATCTGTTTCAAACGGAAAAATCCTTTTTATTAAAAACGAACAGGCGTAAGGGTGCTGCGCGTAAAACGAAGCTGAAATGGAATTGAACTGGCAACGAAGACGTGCAAGTACCAAATTTCCGTTCTGAAGCAATCCCATTTGCCTCTCTACGTAGCTCTACTAGTAAATTGACTCGTAAGAGAATTTCCAGGCTCGATTCGATAAAATTTAGAAGGGCGAATCAAGGAAGCCGAGACAGCCCTATGCGTTCGCAGCCTGATCGACGCGCAGGTGTTCCACTGACAATGAGAGCAGAGAGAAAGCGAGAACGATTAAATCAACGTGGAATCTTACGCAGTCTGCAGCCGGCATCTCTTCAGCACGTCTCCGTTACGTACAGGTCCTTTTTTAAGGTGATTCTGTTGATACCCTGTTGCCTGAGGTTGACCACCGTAGCCCTGCACCATGGTGCCGTAGCTTTGGGGCTGATTGTAACCCGCGTGAGCGTAAACCCGAACGTTCGACGACGAATTGTACGGGCCGTGAGCGTAATTTTGATTTTGTACGTATGACTGGCCCGTGATGTAGGAGGTCGTCAGGGATGTTTGGCTCCCGGACGAGTACACCCCGTGCATGCCACCGCTGTGCACCTGGTTCACGTTCGCCGCGTGCTGGGACGGCCTCTCCATTTTTTGCGGGAAGCTGAAAAAGAAAACAGATATTCAGGAACGTTCTAGAAGAATTTGAAAATTCTTCGAGCACTGAAATTGACGCGGGGAAAATTGCATAACGACGCTCTACCGTGATTCGCTCAGGTATACTCGGCGCAAGAACGAGGCTGCATCGGCAGCTGCATACGCACACAGACGCACACTGTGGTTATACGCGTTCCCTTTCACGGTAACGATATCATAGAAAGGGGTGATGCTACTTCTGCGCACTATCTTCCCCTTCAATTTTATCCTACTCGATTAAACTCTTTTTCAAGGGAAACGCGTGCTGAATTTGGAGAAGAAGGTGGTTATCCTTCGCGATGCTAACAGCACGCGAAAGTCTGAAGAAACTTACAGGTAGAGTAAATAATTCCATTGTTCTAGATGAATATCCGAATGCAAAGATGTTTCATCATTTCTTTTTTATCTGTTTTTATTCGCATCGCGACCTATTTGTATAAACACAGGTCAAGAACGAAAGATAAGGCTTCTGTTTGCTCATCAAACGAGTTTGTGAAATTAAAAGAATAGATCATCTAAAGCGTTCTCGATCGGGATTCATCTGGTTGATGAAACACGATAGGAATTTTGAATGAAACATCATGCCTGCTTTCGAATTGTAGGTTCAAACACGTTATAACGGGGTTATAGCGTGCGATTTGCAAGTTAATCTTATCGACTGATCTCGTTTTTCGTCGTATATATTCATATATGGGCGCCGTCGCTGGTTTATTCAATATCCGCTCGTTGCGTGATTGCCAAACGTGATTTCCGGAGATTTCACTTATCGTATGTACAGATAGGCCCACGGTTTCCACCGAAACGCGTTTCTACAGATGCCGGGTAACTATTTACTCCAACATCCGTTGCCGTTCATTCAATTCTACCAACATTTTCCATTAAACCGGTGTAGAATCGTGAATTTATAGAATTTCCGATGCATTAGAAACGTGGAACGTTTCATCAAACCCGGCGCAAAACACCACCCTTGCCCGTCAGCTGTCAGCAATTACCATTTCGTAGAATCGTTTTACGTTTATGAATCATACGATGAATCATCCCTGTAAATTCACCCCCGTACAAACGACTTACCCCGTGAGAAAGCCAACAACACAGACCACCATGGTTAATGTTCTTCTATGTCGTTCAACCTCGTTCAAAATCGTCTACTCGAAACTTTTTCAACACCAAATTTTCCACATATACGTACAACTGCACTAAAATATTTCTATTGTAGAACTTAAGATTCTCGAGGTGGTTGGGTAATGTTTCACCATAAATTAAACTCGAGCTTCTACACCGAAGGATCAAAGGTTTTAAGGTAATCGAATGAGGCAAAGTTCTGCTAGTGGAACTAAAGGATTTCGAAGACTTGCATGGAGTTAGGGTTGGACGAGAGAGTTTTGGATGCGAACGGTAAGAAGGATCGCGATAGTCTGACGATCTCAGGATAGACTGGAAGATCAAGGAGGAGGAGGATCACGAGCAGCTGGCAGCCAGAGGCATTGTTCGTCCTCGACACGAGGATCGGAAATCAGTGAACACGACATCTAGAGGGGCGAGGGGTACGAAAGCACGTGCACACCGGCCTCGACAGTGGTGAGCAACCTTCTGCTCGAGGATCGATTTAATCCATATCGAATAATTTTACCAACACGCTAATTATTTTCTTAACTCTGAAACAACAGAGCTGGGTCTCTGATCTCTTATCTGTTGAATTTTAGCAAATAATTAGATCACGAATTTAATTGGCAAGCTAATATTTGGATCTTCGAGTAGAACTTGGGAGCTAGGAAAATGGGTTAAGGAGATGCTTGAAGACAAATCGCGTGTAACCAGGTGAGCTTCGTTATTCCACGAAATGGAGGGGAATGGGGTAGGTTTTTCTAGCAAACCCTCGAAAACGTGTCAGCAGGTATACGGCTGGCTATCGATGACGACGACCGTGACACTCAACCTTCTTACGCAATTCGCGTCAATTAAGGATCCTTACGTAAGGGTCCAAGATGTATACCGGATAAGCAAACGCGTTTATGGCTTGCGTACCTTGCAATCAGAGACCTGAAAAGTTCCCTCTTGATTGGATTTCGCGAGGGACACGTGTCGACTCGGTCACGTGACTGGGATCAATTTGGAAAAATGATTACCTCACAATTTTCTCAAGCGAAAAGACGACCCGGTATCACTTTCGCACCGTTCTTTTCCATCCGAAGGAATCGCATTTTTCTTTTCAACCGTTCCACCCGCGGTTGTCTTAAACGAAACGTAATTGCAGGAAAAGTTTCCCGCAATGCGAACGGGAATTGTATTTAAAACGTATGCTTGCCTATCTGCCAAGTGCACAGACGTTGCTCTTGAGAAAGCAACGTCTTTGTATTTCAATGAGAAAACTGTTTTGCTCGATCTACTGAATTGCTTTTCATCGATCAATATATTAAAATACAAGCAGTTAAGAAAGTTCATGACTAAAGTATGCACGTGTATCTGTAAGTGCAAATGCAAATGCAGATGCAAATGCACTTTTTTTGCAAGATGGCAATATTTCATCGTTATTCCTAGTATCATGTAATTTACATCTGTTTTATCTATAAATATATCATCTACCCCAGTGGAAGAACGACAAATAAGTCATACGACGCGTTTGTTCGCAAATCAACTCGAGTTAGTTTATTCTATTCATCGATATGGTAATTGAAAGAAGACCAGCAACGTGTCGCGTTAAACGAAAGTGTTCTATTCAAGAAGAATTACTGTTAGAGAGAGTAGAGCGAAACTGTTTATAAAAAAAACGGAGCCAGGTGCACATTTCGAGGTATATGTGTGGTAATAGGACGCGTGCACCATGGCACGAGCTTCGAACAGCCGACAAGCAGATGTTTCGCCTCTTGGGAGGCTTTAATGCCGTCCTGCCTCCAATTTATTTCTCTTCCTGCGGATCATCGACCGCCCTCTAACGCGTTCGTATTTCCAACTGGCCCCTTTGTGCACCTTGAATTTCTGCTCCGCTCTGCCAGGTTGAACCTTCGAGAGATTCTTCAACGACGAAGGGCCTCTGGTTTTATTCTCACTGGTCATCGCTCCGATATTCCTTTCGACATGTAAATTTCACGCTAGGACACTTTCAATAATTCGAACGCCATCGAATGATTGAAAGTAGCCAAGCAAACTGATAAGTAAAAGTTTCCTCAACGAAAGAGGCGAAACGGTAGCGCATGGATCCTCTGATTCGATTTAACGCGTCCGTGGCGCTCGTTGCGAGAATGAAATGCCTTTGCAATCCACTCTGTTCGCAGTTTGCGCCCTCGATAAATCCTCGTAGTAGACTTCTATTGTCTTAGAGTCGGGAAGCGCCGTTTGACTTGGGCGCGTCCACGACGAGGAAGGGACAATGAAGATAGGGTTGAAAGAGATAGTCTAGCAGGGGCCACTCGTGCGTTTCTACCAAGACAAAACCCTCAGACGCGTAGGCTTCAGGTGAAGAGCATCAGCTGCCACTTGGACACGCGCCATAGAAGCCTCTACTGTGTTTCCTACTTTTTTTTCTTTTCTTCCTTCCTACACCTAATTTTCGCGCTTCTTCTGTGTAGTCAGTTTTCTCGCCTGGAATAAACTTGATACCGAACGGTGCACGTTTTCTTTATTCATATTCCCTAGTTTCGAATTTTTGTAACTTTGAAAAAGCTATAAGTTCCCGGCGATGTTTGAAGGATAACAGCAGCAGCAAAAGGTTTGCGTGTTGCAAGAGGAAATTATTTCACGGAGCTTCGAGTCTTTCAAACGCGCATACACACACGCGCGCCGTTAACGGCAATCAACGGTTGTTAATTGCTCGATGATAATTAGTCGAGACGGAGAAGCGGCCTCGCACGGTAATGCATCACGCCTTAATAATTCCTTTAATGAATTCGAGACACCGTGCGCGGCTTCTTCCGCCCGATAGAAGCCAACGAACCACCGTTCCTTCCTTCGATATCCAACTACGAGGATGTCTATATAAACAAGCCCGAGAAATGATGGAAAATTTCTAGATTTTCTAGATTTTCCATAGGTATAGGCTTAGAAAATGATAGAGAAAAGTTTTATACCCTTTTGTGGCGATTGAAGAAAAAATCTCTTTGAAAAGAATTTTCAAGCTTTTCAACCTTTCTATAATATTTGGGTCGTTCCTCCGTTTCGACGAATTACAAAATCCAGACAATGATCCTCTGCCACTGTTATCCTAGTGGAAAAGATAAAATTTCACGGAGTTTCGAGAGAAGATTTATACCGACAGCCGCGTGGGAATCGCGATCCAACCTCGGAAAGATACTCTGCTCCCTTTTATGCATCTAATTAACGCGAATAACTTACACTCTAGCCGTTCTACGAGGGTTATACGGATGAAAAATTTCCATAAAATAGCCGGAAACCGTTTGCGCAACGCGAGCGGCATGCAGCGAGAGCTCGAAACACGAGCTGCCCATCATCCGGAAGCGAGCTACGAATTAGGACACGTTGTTACGAGACATGAAAAGTAATCACCAATTTTTACGTTTCACCTATGTTTATCCTGCGTAGTAGTTTTCATCGAACTTTATGCTTCAAATTGATATGTGACAAGTGCTATTTTCAAATACTTTTCACGATTTATCATTTTCCATAAGAAAAATATGATAAGTACCGGTTAATGAAGTTGGTAGGAGTGGAATATCCCAACTGCAGCCGCGATCTGATGACCTTCTCTTGAACGGTGACCATCCTCGAGCTTCGTGAACTCTGATGCACCCTGGTCGTTCTTATCACCTGGTAACAATGGTGTTTCGTCTGGGTGTTGGACACCCTGTCGCTTCTCGGCTCGATCATCGTGAACATGATCGTTTTCACTGATCACCGTCGAACCGATTCTTATCACTGGATGCAGTCTCACTGTTTTCACTCACGGTATCGTGGTTCATTTTTTTCCCCTTGATTACAGTTCAATCTGCTGTTATCACAGTGTTCTTTGGTTTATCAGCCAATGTCGGAAGCGTCTTACTTATCCAAGATACATTTCGGTACCCAATAGACCTGAATTCGAAAAGAGGAAGCTTGTTCTTTAACCCTTTCGATGCTAAATTGAATTTTTCACATAACTCTACTATCTTTGGATATATTCAAAATGATAGCATCGAAAGGGTTAAAGTAGGAACGGAGAAAACGAAATGTCCAGTAATGTTTCACCCTCGATCCTGACCCATGTCCATGGAACGAGTATTTGATATGGACAATGGATATCGCAACGTTTTCACTCGTTCTTTTCCGGTTAATTGACAACCTATCACGACTTTCTAACGACACGCGATTAATATGCACGAGCATGAATCAAGCTCGAACACGTGCGATATCATTGGACAAAGGAAATGAAACTCGTCTTTCAATTGTCACCAGATGATTTCGAGCAAGACCTCAAAAGAAATACTTGAACATTGCGAATTGGTATTAGTACTATTCCTCCTCGAAATGTGTTTGAGAAATTTTAGGCATCGATAATCATTGTACTCATCGTTATTCCATTCCTTTTTTTCGTACGTGAGACCTCGATACAGTGAACAAGAACAAACGGTATCCACTGACACGTTCTAGTTACACGAGCATCGACTAATTACATGCGAACGATTTTTTTCCTACTTCTTTTTATACCCGAGTCGAAGACAAGCGATCACGATGGATTTTTTCAAATAAAAAATTCTGAAGTATTGATATTATAATAAGATTGAAATTAGAAACTTAAGAAAGTGAGTTGCATCTTATCTATCGCTTAAACGCTATCTAAATTCGCTTCTCGTTTAGCAAAGTATCTTCCGCTGGAAGAAACTCGCGAATCCGTTAGCATAGATAACGCGGAAAGAAAGTTATAAGAGGAGCGCTTTAAAAACGCGTTATCGAATATTAATTACAGAAGTTTTCAATTTAAAAGGGATCGTCTTACAATTTCCCCGCGTTAGCGTGTTGCGGAGTCGAAACATCAGAGAACGGTGCAACACGAACCAGAAATCGTTACGAAATAATTAACCGTCCTCGTTAAAGAACGCTGACCGTTGGAAGGCAACCGGGTACAAAACTGTTACTCGATTTCGTTGCTGGTTGGGACAAAAATCAGGTTGTATTTTGTGGAGCGCGATTTAGACGAATGATCCCGGAATCCCGTAAAAGGCACGTTGAATATCCTCGCCCGTTCCCGTTTTCCGGTCGCACAGGAATTAATCGACTTGCAGGCAACATAGGTGGACACAGAGAACTTGTTACTTTGTTCCCAAACCCGTTACACGTTTCCTGACTTTCGTCCACCGCACGGAATTCGTCTCCTAGCCCGATTAATCATTCGCCATTAGGCTGATTGCAAATTCGCGTGTAACCGTTTCTCCTATCGCTAAAAGCATTGTCCACGAAAACTGTAGTTTAGAATCGTTAAAATTTCAAATCCTACAACTTTAAATCACTGGAGAAGGAAAAAAGATTCCCTTATTGATCGATGATTTTTCCACTGCACGTTGAACAATTTTTATCTTCAAATGAAAGGTACGAACGAAACGATAAGATTGATGGAACGATAGAAGGATATTTGGTGGTATCACCGGTTCAATGACGTTTACAGAGAAGATATCCATATACCTCGACATATCGGCGCGCACGTTGATTCACTAGCGTCAAGTACGGTACTGTTTGCCGTTAGCTTCGATACCATAATGGAACTGTCAAAGTCAAATGAAAGGTGGAGCAGTACGCCTCCCACCGGCCCGGAGATTTCAACGCGCGTATCGGCCGTCTTTCCTACCGGCGTTGTACCGTTTTATAATAGAGGTCAATTTACACTTATACGGAATTCCTACATTTCTGGCAAAAAAGGAACCAACTCCTTAACAAACGTATAATTTAAAAGATATTAAAAAAATTCTCGTTCTAAACGGAATACGTACGCCGGTGTCGCGAACGCGATCGTAACTGAACTGTGGATTGAAAAATAATGATCGTGTTCCAGTAACCGGTGTCGCTAGAAAACTTTCACGTATGCTAATGCACCGTGATAAGGGAGTTTCGCGAAAGGGCCACGGCAAATTTCACCCGTCACCGAAATAACAGCGTTTCTCGATTCGGTTCGAGAACAATTTCTGATCGTTCAGTGAACACGATTTGTAGAAAAGGCATCACGCTAGGTTCGATTGGTAGTCACGAAGCCGAATGAACCCATTAACTGGAATTACCTTAATGCACGATCGTTGCAGATACACGAGGAAAGATGTTCAATATGCCTGTGGCAAAAGTAAAAGTCAGCCATCGAGAGAAAGCCTCGTTGTTGGTCTCGCTACGACCGACCTAGACATCCTAATTGCGACAGCCTGATAGCTGTTCGCCAGAGGTTAACCCCTTTCCCGAATTTACACCTAAGGCTCTTCTTCGAAAGTCAATCGGGTCGAGTTAATTAAATATATTTATAATCACCGAAGATTATTAAAACTCAATATGTAGATATTCGCAGGACAATAGTTACTAATAACGCTTTCAATTACAGAGAATCAATCGCAGATAATCGACGAGACGGTTTCCCAGGGTGATATTTGGACGGTCATCTCGATTAACCTCCTAATCATCGTAATCGTGAGTACATTCGAGCCACGAATATTTCATATAGTATTCCAATGGAATCTATATTAATTGAATCGGTATCGCGATTATCTTATTACGAATATATTCACGCAAATGTAATTTAGCGACCGCTGCCAAGCATTTCATCGACCACGTTTCAACCTGAAAGCCTCTCTAGGAATATTCAGCATAAAATGTTCTATTCCCTTTAAAATTATCGAATTTCAATTAACCAAGGTTTTGTAACAACCAGAGGTAGACGTGAATTGATCAAGTTATTTTCGAATGATGTGCCGTGCACGTCGTTGCTTTGCGCTAGAACTGGAAATGACGTGCATACCGTGTTCCTCGACAGTGTATTGTTTTACATTGACTCATGCACATTAGTGCCTTTAAAACAGCTATTAAATTCTACTTTGAACGACGGTGATATCATATCTTACTCTTGAACTTGCCACTGTAAATTTACCGTTTTTACGTACGCTTCAACAATTTTTATAGCGTATTTCTTGAAAAATTTCTGGAAGTGTTGAGAGCCTGAATTTTCCAGCTGAGTCGAACGACTCGGTGTTCCTTCGTTTCCCTCGTTCGAGACGATGAATGATCGTTCAAGTTCACTTGGACTTCATACGTCACACTCTAATAAGAAGTCGAAGCCGCTGCTTAGATGTAGGCTAACAAGAAAACAACATGCGAACCAAGACAGCCTACCTCTTCTGCGTGGCTCTTTTTCTTTTGCTCGTTTCAACGACTTGCTCGATCGTAACGAGCAGCGACACCACACCACCCACGACTCCGTTCCCTAACTGGAATATCTAAACTGGGCGACGTCGTTTCCCGTGCATACTTCCAATAACTGTGAACGGTGTAAACTGTTGAAAACTAATCAAACTAGAATACCAATTTACTGGCTGAATAACTTTCGATTAATAATAACAATATTTAGACTGTGAATTTTTTCGATTAGAACAACTATCTGTGATAATTAATTAAAGCGAAAGGATTAATCGAGGATGAAGCAGCAAACGTGAAAGTATATTTATACGATAACGATGCAGAGGATCGTATTAAACATATATCGATAATATAAGAGAAAAAAAAAACACGAAAGAACTCGTTTCTTCTCAGGACTCTGAATTTCTACATACGTTCCCGTTCGACGTGCCAGATACATGGAAAGCGAGCCGCAGAAAAAGGAAACGGCAAAACGCCTCTTTTAACGCGGTTACTGTCGTCACCTATCCAATCGAACAACTATTGCATATCACCAAGGCTAGAATGAATAAAATTATTTTATTCGAATAGCGAAAGGGTTAAATCCGTGCATCGAAGCTTCCTCTCTAATTAACCTAACAGAGTGTCAAAGTTCAAAATGGACAAGTTTTTAGAAAAATTCCAAGTATACAATTTCGATGCGAAAGAAAGAATATCCAAGTACATACTTCCAAATGAAGCAAATCACAGGTTAATTACAGGATGCTGCTTCTCAACGGCATTTTAATGTCTCCGTCAGACCAAACCTGTCTTTTCCATCAGTTTTCCTAACGTCGCTTGCGAAAGTGTATACATGAGTCATCCGATCGTTTGTTTAAACGTTTCTGCAACGAGATTCAAAGGCGATCGAGAACAATTTACCATTCCTGTCTTCTGTATTTACACGGTAGCCTGAGCAAAACTTTCGGATTTAGGTGAATATCTGTTTTCACCAAAGTTCTCACGCGATGTAATTGGTGTAGCAAGGGAACAGCGAGTTTTGGCGGTAAACGTTCGTTCGCAATAACGTTTTAAACGAAAGTACGAGCTCGATTGTTCGCTCGTGTATTGTGTCCGAGGTTGTTCTCAAGGAAAAACGAGGAGGTGGAGGAGATCGCGTCATCGATGCTGCTCGCACAATCGTATGCGCAACTACTTTGCCGCGGTACCGCATTGTCCATGAACAGTGTACCTCTATTTTTCAATTTCCCATGTTTTCGAGTTTGAAGCGTTGCAATTCCTGTATGAAATTAATGGTCTGTCGCGTGACACGTATCGAAAGATGACAAGATGTTAGACCGCTGTGGAACTCTTGTTCGGAAAGTGAGAGCTCGCTTTCGTTATCGTTTATAGATTGGATATTACACGGTTTAAAACGAAAGTAAAAGTCGTTTATCGGTGCCAAGTATTTCCGTGTTACTGTGAAATCCGTTTGACGGATGTGTGACGAAGGATATCACGCTGGGATTTATGCTTTAACGAGCTTCCAAGGAGATTAGCGATCATTCTAAAAGATGTTATCTATTGGATAGACTTTGGTAAGGCGCGTTGGAATGCGATCTCCGAAAATTTCTGACCGTTCAAAATTCAAGAAAATCGAGCTAAAAACAGCCTGCGAACGTAATCTCCCGAAATTGCCTCGAGTCATCTTTCGGCGAGATCGTCAACAATTGGCGAAAAAATCTGGCGCTCGCCAAAGTTGCCGAAATGCAGCCAACGATTATCGAGTTGCCCTCGATTCGCGCGTGAATATCGCGTGAAAAATATCGAACTCGGGTCTTTTCGAGGACGTCGCGTTATCGATAACCGAATACGATAACTATGTTAACAGAAGGTCTACTCACGCATCGGACACGTGGAGAATAAACGCGGTGTACGTGGCGTGTGCAATGGTGGTAGTAGTACCGATAGCATTGCTGGTACCGTTAACACGCGCGCATTTTGTTACAGTACCGTTTGTGTGATACACGAAAGTACTCCAACTGCATTTACTTGACACACAGTGACTAGGATGTGAATCGTTCACACGAGACCTGCCTTTTTCGCAAAGATTTTATTGCAAACTCGATTCGATCCTGTCGAATTCGATCGGTTTCGAATTTAAAAAAGAAATGCAACGTTCGTTCGGAACGAAATCGTGAACTTTCGAGTTCCATCAAAAATTCTCCGAGCGCGTATCGCGTTGAAGAAATTTAAACGAGGTAGACAACTCTTTTGCAATTCATTTCGAAGCAATTTAAACGCCGTTACCGTACTTGTATTATAAGAAAGAAGGTTAATGAATGCGGAATAGATTATAATTTTATGATTCCAGCTAAACCGGCACGTTTGCAATTATTGTGAAAGAATTTTTTTTTTTTCTTTCACTTTGATAAAAATTTTTCAGAACGAAGTCACATTTTCTCAATAGCCAAAAATGGTTTCTGAAACTTCGAACGTGACGCGATTATTAGAGCAAGATTTTCTAATGTAACGGAACCCGATTTTCGTCGCGATTATCCTTGAATCGAAATGAATACATTGACCGGCATAATGGAACTGGATTTGTGTAATAACAATATAGACTAAGAATTTTCAGGAAGTACAATTGTATGTTAGACAAAATGATGATTCGAAAAATAGTCTGCCGTTTGTTGTCTTTGTGTTGCAATTAAACCTTAATTACGTGCCTCGACGATGACAACGCGAAATGTTAAACTCATATTTGCGTAACGATGACAAAAAAAAGCGATGGTTCAGCACGTAACAGGGCTATAATGTTTTTAAAACAAAGATCAATAGAAAACAAATGTGCTTTGACACAAGGTCTTCTTGGAATTTTTTTCGAGTTTTCTTTTACTTCAAATTCTATTATTTTCTTATTTCATGCAAATCCCTTATATAACAATTCGATTATTAATTTATCGTACCATCAATTAAAGTTATTTTATCAAAATAAATGCCAGGATTATGATAATGGGTATCTCGAAAGATAAGCGATAGAGATGGTTAAAAATACTTAAATATTAATCCGTATATCATTGAGCAAAATTTCCAAAGCCAACTTTTAAAGTCAAAATTTTCAATTTGAATTACATAAGACATTTCGCTTTCTCCGTGCTAACATTGCAACTTTCTCAATTCATATTTTAGTCTCTACACGTCCTTGCAAATATCTAAAGTTTATCGAAATGTAAAAATTTCAACCATTTCGCTTTCCCCGTGTCAAACCTGACCATTTTTGTACCTAAATATTCTCAAAGGTAAATTCAATTTACTCTAATTAAATTATACAAGCCATTTTCTTTCTATTTCTCTTTCGAATCCCTAACACCTTACCCTTCTTCTCGAAGGCTAATAATTCAATTATCCCCCAATAAAATCACGCAGGACATTTCGTTTTTTTCCCATGGTATCGTTAGGTCAAACCTCCGAAAATACACTGAAATATCCAGGTATCGTCACTCGAGGTTGTTAAACACAGCACGTTCACGAAAAAAGAGCGAGGAACAACGACACCAGCAGCACGACACGCCGATCGGACAGCACTAAAATCCCGTTTGTTCGCCAGCGAAACAACAGGGAATCCGTTTTCAGGGAAACGAGGGGTACACGTCGGTCTTCTTCCGCACGATTTCGCGTCGCCGCTCGGCACCGCATTACGCCCACTCGCTCGTTAAATAATTAGATTTAGCCGCGGTGGACAGTTTTCTAAATTGATGTCACCGTTCCAACGACAGTCGAAGCCTTATGACGCACGAGCCATCGCGATAATACGAGTGATTACCATAACTTTATGGCTGCCAGGTCCAATCAAGGTACACGTCGCCCAATTTTTCATCGTTCATCCTTCTTCTCGACAATTATCAACCGTTCGATCGTGGATTTGTTCGATATAAATAATTCGATATCATTAGAGTTATAAACCGTTCTAAAGTCCACGCGGAAGGAGCATCTTCCACTAATTATATTCTGTTCGATAATCGATGACCAGATGGACTTCGAGCTTCCTTTTTCTTCCTTCGTTCAAACAATGAGATACTCGAGGCAAAGATTGCTTTCAACTAAAGTTTGATGTCGAACGAAATTAACACTCCTTCAAACGATAAATTGCAGAGATTTGTTCGCTTTATTACCAAACCATAACGATCTTGTTTTTACCGGTTAATAAGCGGCCGATTATATCGAACATTGTCTGTTTCTTATATCGCCTTCGACGCGATTGTATTTTATCGTTGTTTCATTGCTTTGACAGTTTCTTTTTATGGACGATCCGTTGCACAAGCGGTGTTTCTTCTTCGTACACCTTGTTTCTACCTTCCGATCGACTTCCATCGATTCGTTACGTTTCAATTTAGAATCAATGCGCGCGCTTTCTCGAAATCGAGATCAGAGCCAAAAAAGCGGCGACGATTTCACTGAAAAAATTCAGTCGTTTCTCATTGAAAAATCAACGATCGAGAAACTCCCGCGGAACCGTGTGTCTTGAGAACAATTTAATTAATACGAACTTTCGGATTTAACGATCCCCACCTCGATCTTCTTCTTCATCTTCGATACAGCTTTATGCCGATTGTTTACGAATGTTCAGCTTGTTTCAGACGAACAGTGCCTGTTGAAGAAACTTTTCGTCAACAGAGAGCAGAGAGAATAAGGCTGGATTTTCGCAAGGCGATCGACAAGAAACAGCTCGACGTGAAAGTCGCGGTGAACAACGTTCTTCCCTTCTCTCTCCACCTCTCCAACGTTGTGTTTGACTTTCCACGGGCGTAACGCGAGAGCAAAACGCTTAATAGACACCGCTGGTATATCCTTTGAACTTCGATTCGATCTCTCGCTGCATCTTCGATTTCACCGTTCGACCAGGTACCCCTTCTCGGTCGCGGTTTCGAATATTAAAGACCCGACTCGCGCGAACTCGCTTTCCATCCAGGTTTACACGCGCTCGATTCCGCGGCAGACCGCTCGGTGCTTTCAGCCGGATTTTAGGCGGGATATCGGTCACGATGCGATTTCCTCGGCTTAATTCGAGCTGAATTCTTTTACCGTCGAATTCGAGTAACCTCGGGACGATTCCTTGATCCGATTCCACCGCGATTCCCTTGAATCGAGCCCACTCGATCGGTGCACGCACCGCATCGATCCCGTTTTCACGCACGACCGTCAATCGCGATCCAATTTCCTTCGATCCGATATCAGCTACACGCGACTTCTAACGCAATTCCGCGCTCTTTCGAACTGCGACACCGCCGACAGGTGAGTCGACCGCAACTCCCGTAGATCCGGCACGATATTCGCGGTGGAAATCGAACCTGGTACACCGGTGTGTTTATTTTCGAGGTGACAGAAAGTTCCTGGCGCCATCGACTGAACGCGGAGAGAACGGAGCAACGAGGCACACGGTGTCGCGGTTGTTCGCGGTTTCAGCTTGACTGGCTGACGACTCGCTCGTTCGCTCACTCGCTCGGATTACTCGCTGCGAAACCCCACCTCCTTCACGATGGACACGACGTGACGTGGGACTCGTGGAATCGCGCCACTCTACCGGCTCCTCTAGCCCTCGATCATACGGCCTTCTGCTTTCGAACGAACGCGAACGAGCGATTAAGAGTTTGGAAACGATCCGGCTTTAGTCCTCGCGGATAGATCACCTGCTAATGGGACCGCGTATGCAATTCGCGAATATATCGCCAAGTTCCTCGAATAAACGGTGCAAAGCATGGCCGTAGAAATGATCGATGCTATCGAGGATGCTGTTGCGAAACCCTTTTCTACGCACGATTGTCCGCGAGAACGCTTGAATCGAGATCGAACGAGATGTCCACACAATGAATTCGAGCGTGAAGCCGGTAACAATGAGTGAAAGTTTCAGCGAGCGAAAGCAAATGGGAAACAAGCGGTGTCGTCGGTGTCTACACATCTAAATGCTACACATTTCACACTTATCTTCGATCCTCCCTTCCTATCATCCTCCACTTCCGTTTGCTTTGCGACAAACGCTATCTACTCGATCCGTTCGTGCTTCTCCCATTCGTTCTTTTCAACTAATTCTGAAGCTATAATATTATATTTTGTTTTTTCTTTTTTTTTTTTTTTTTCACGACTCGTAGACACCGAAAGGTGTAAAAGTTCTAATCGCTCCACGGAAACTCGAATGGTTAAAAAGGTTTGTTCGCGTGGATGGCGAATGGAAAATCAAGCATGCCGTCGGCCGTGTCCGCGTGTCTTTACGTAACGAGTTCTGATTAGCTCGTACCAGGCGGAGACGGTCTGTCGTTGCAGAAGAAATGCCAAGGAACGGTTTGCAAACTGCGTTCGAGGACGCGTGCGTTCGAGGATGCCGATCGCAAGGAGCAAAAGGAAGAGAAAAAATAATGAGAGAAGGAGGGCGAACAGAGATCAAGGAGCAGGGACACGCGTTTCGTTTCTCGTCAAGTTTTGCATTGCTCGTAAAATTCCAACTCCGAGCCCTTTGAAGTTTACGAACCTCCCGTGCATGGAAATTGAAACGATGTTAAGAACGGGCCGGAAGGGAATATCTAACTGTCAGAGATTCAAATATAAAATTAAGAAATGTTTTAAAAATGGAATTAGAAAGTTTTCTAAGAGAATTGAAGAGACGCTCGTGCGGGAATCCTGAATTCCGAAAAATAAAAGAAACAAATGAACGAGCAAGTTTCATAAAGGTAAATCACAGGGTAAACCTCGACGAGTCGACTTTCGCCTCGAATTAGAATGTCTCGAAGAACAGGAGAGCTTGGCCTTTCCTCGACGACCATTTGCATTCGTGGAGGTTAATGGATCGAGGCAGAAAACGGAACTCTACCTTATCCATTCGATTTCGCTCTTGTTTCCTTACCTTTAACCCTTCCTTACAAACAAAACAGTGAAAGTCTTTTTCATTCGATCGGTTATGGGGAAACAAGTTTTTTCTGATTCAGCAACAATTGTTTTTACGTTCGATGAAATGCATCGTTATCACGCGCGAATCCACTGTTTGTTTCAACGTCACGTGCGACGAGTGAAAGTTGTACAAACATGGAAAACTTTAATGACAATAATGTACGCAATTTCCGGACCTCCTACGATCCGCTCTTTTCCCAATGAAAGTCTCTCCCTCCTAGAGACGCCTCCAATTGCAATTTATAATAGCCTATGCACGCGAACTTGACGCGATGCAATTTCTATGCAGTCGAGAGTTCGACGCGTTACAAAAACCTCGGTTTAGTTTACTCCTTAAAGTTGGCCCGGAGTCAATTTTCGACAATTTTAGCCGCGGTTCCAGCCACGGTCCCTTCGCGTATTCTCTTTTCATATTAAAATAGAACGGCTACGTCCTCTGTCCCCGCTCCGACATCAACAATGATCATCCACGAGGATCCAATTTGCATCGGCGAATGCCCAAGAGATACTAATCGGAATCTCGTCAAGAGACTTTCGTGTCTGAGAATTTACTCGCGTGTACTCGCTAGAGGGAAAGAGAAGATTATAAAAAAAAAAGGAAAATTGCAACGATATAAAGTTTCGTGTTATGCATAATACATTTGTTTACTGAACCCTTTGTAGGCCACTCTTTCTGCCGTCGGCGATGAAAAACGCGACGAAATTTCGCGTTACACTAAGTTTTTAGAACGAAGAAGAACGCGATGACTGTTTCTAATCGGCGACCTCGATGCGGATCGAATTAATTTAATATATTTTAAAATCAAGGTTAAAAGTAAATAGATAGATAAAATATTCGATCGAAAAGGATTGTAAAATTCTCTGCTTTGCTCTGGTTTATCTGGAAGCGGCTCTCCTTGACTAAATATTTTTTATCAAAACGATTAGCGTCTAGCAACCAGTATCGTATCTACTTTTTCCCTCCTTTTATGTTCAGTTTCGCTTTTTAAAAAAAACAGCTTTAAATTATGATTCGAATAAAATTTTACTACTTTTCTAATTAAAATCACGAATGATCATTGTTTTTTAATTGTACCTTTCGTAACCGAAACGGAATCGATCATAAGTACTAAAGTATCTCGAGGATTTAGTGAAACGTAACAGTGTAAAAGCACTTTCACTTCCTGTTCCACATAAAGATTAAAATTGCGCTCAGGTCTTTTTTCCCTTTTATTCCTTGCAACGTGATGTGAACGGCAAAGATCATATCCAACCGTGAAAATGATGAACGAAGGTGTAATTGATCGTAAAATCATGGAGCAATCATAAGAGTGCAATAAAATCGCGTTGATTTTCTTGTTGCGTGATCAAGTACAATTACATATAGCGATACAAATTACAATTAAACAATAAGATGTATTGAAAAAATAGTTAATACGAAAAATATGAAGCAACAAAGAACTGATTTGTTACGAGTTATGAAAATAAGTTGGAAAGATGGAAAAATAAGCAGATAAGAGGCGGATAAATACGGAGAAGGAGAAGTTGATAAAACGACCTTGCCTGAAATAGTCCGACTATAGGAATGACCTAGTCTCGGTGAACCATTCACCGATACGATTGCTTATGTTCCAGTATCATAGTAAATGCAGGTATGGAAAATTCTACCTACTACGATCAGAATCCGGATCGTTGCAATTTCTATGCACTCGAATTCGATGCACACACGATTATATCCAGTACCGAGTATTATTCTGTATCGAATCCCTTACTACATCATGATAAGTCTGAAACGAGTACTCGAAGGTTAGGTGATAAACCAGCTGTTTGTAGAGACGACTAACAAACTCGAGCGTTAATATGTTTCTCATTTGATCAAGAAATTTCACAGATCGTTACTCACTTTGCAGGCCGTTCATTCAAGGATTATTGCTTCGGATGCTTACCTGCAACACAGAAAAAAAAACAATACAATTATCATACAATTTAATCTAATTAACTCAAAAATCGCAATCTTCTCATACTTTCTTCTCTTCCCACAAAGCAATATAGCTCAATCATACTTTTCTCTTATGATTTTCGTTTACGCGAGATATCTGGCTAATTACTATAATTCCTTTCGTTAATGAACCTAATCCAAAAAAAATCTGCGATTCATCGATCAATAATTTTTATCACTGACAAGAAGGTGACGTTCGTACAAAGAGATAGATAACGTTGTCTCGAAAGCCGATGAAAGAAAAGCACGATACGGTTTACCTGTAGCTGCATTTCCTCTGAAACACGTCCAGGAAGCACATGACACCGAGAAGCCGGCCTACACACGGAAATCCGTCTTCCGAACGGAAATGCGACATACGGACCAACGGGACGCGGCACGTCGCGACGCTAAGATCGCTAGACTCTCTCTCCGGAACGGCGCGTGTTCGAAAACAACGAAAAAAAAATCAAAGGAAAAGAAAGAAACGAAGCTTCACGCTTCATTATCTTATCTACTCTATCGCGACGATATATATTGTCCTCGCGAGTTGAATTCTATAGAGGAAATCGGCTCTTTAGTTCCGTGTTCGACTCGTCGCAAATAACAAGGGAAGGGTATCTTAACAATTTAACCGAACGGAGGTCAATTAACTTCTCGTACAGGTAGAATATACTTGGAAAATACTCGAGGAATAACGACCCAGCTAAAGATTTGCGAGTGAAATAAATTATAATAATTTTATATATTTAGCTCTTTCTACCGAACGTTCACTTATAATTGATTTATGTTGTTTTTATACGCCTCCAAATGAATTCCAAGTAATTTATCATCGCATTGACCCACGATACTGCATTACTCTGAGTCATCAGATACGTAACATTATTGCTGATAAATAAGTAATTACGCCCACCAATTAATCTTACTATCAACGGTGACGTAAATCGAGGAATCGTCACGACGTATTGAACGTCATTCAGTTTTCACGAGAAACGGGCGAAATGACGATTAGATAAGCGATAAGTGAAAGAAAATTGCGATTGTATATCAATCTAAATGAAATTCGTTTCTCCGAGCGTAAGCTAGTCGGTTAAGAATTAATACAAACAGCCTTCGGTTACATTATCGAAATTGGAACTGTTGGGCGTTGAGAGAATGGTAGGGTACAATAATGGCCGTGAATAATTGGCAAGCAGCAACAGCGATGGAAACGGCAACAGTAACGACGACAGGCCGAGATAACTTTGTGCGTTTGACAGGAAACACGTTGCGTAGCAGTCTCATGAAAATTATATGTTGCACCCTACTGGGTGCGAGGGTGGGTAGCCAGTAAGCGTTATAAACCCTTCGTCGATCAATATGTGCCACCATGGTGTTTCCTACGTCTGTCGATTTGTTTCCCATGAACTTCTGCCTCCTACACTTTATGACGCTCCTGGGTGCTTTTTCCTCTCCTCTGATCTTCAACTGATACAATTTCTTTGGGAACAGTCCCACTCGACAACATTAAGAACCCATTCAAAGATTTCTTTACCGAATCATCGCGAATTTTTCTTACAAAAATATTTCAATTTCCACGTGACGTTATCGCGAAAGTATCGGAAAATATCGAAAAGTATTTTCGAACGTGTTTTTAATTGGAAATACCAACAAAGAGAATCGAACGTTTTCGATATCCATTTCGAACGATAAAGGGAAAAAAGTCGTATATGGAAACATCCATGGTAGATAAATTTGATAGAAAATATAAATTGTTTGTGCAA